ACAGAATTGGTGCAAACTTCCCACACAGAACCCCCATACTTAAGGCCATCCAGTCAAACTCCTCTCACCAGGGCAAGAAAACATAATCAAAGCCCTCCTGACAAAGTGCTATCCATCAGGAATGTATAAGGTGTATATGAAACATACATTAATTTTGTGAATAACTTGGATCTCATCTCCAAGACTTCTCATTTGGGAAATGTACACTTATCCTGCATTTCAGATAAAGGATACCTAGAATCTTTAGGGATGTTTATCTTTACCAATGCTAACTAGATGGGTGATTAGAAAGCAAAAAGGTTACTGAGATTTGGGCAGAAGTGAAGGGATCTGTGTGTATTGCAGGCCTGGGCCAACTTGGGCCCTCCAGGTGTTTTGGACTCCAAGTCTCACCATTCCTATTCAGCCTCGAGCCCCTTCCTTAAGAGGCTGAGGGGGGAAAGGAAAAGGCCTGAGGCTGTTAGGAATTGTGGGAGTTGAAGTCCAAAACACCTGGAGGGCCCAAGTTTGCCCATGGTGTATTGGAAGCTTGCTCCTTTGCCAAACATGGGTCCTTTTTCTCTCAAAATATTGGGTGGGGATACCTTGTGTGACTGTCTTTTGCACAGATCCGCCAGCACTTCTCCATAAGGACAGAGAAGGTATACTGGGAAGAAACAAGAGAAGAGAGGTGGAGAGAAAGTCCTGGAGATGGGTGCCAAGAGATGGAGATGCAAGCAGGGGCTGTGCGCTCCCGGCATGCTGGCCCTTTAAGAGACCAGCCCTCCCAGCTCTGACAGTTCCCAGGGCGATGGCTCTGTTAAAAAGCTCTGAGCCGCTGCATCTTCAATTCATTGTGTGCCCACATCAGCTACAGAGGCTGCAGGTGAGAGCTCAGGGTTGGGGGCTAAAGGGAGAGGGGCTTTGGGTTGGGGAGAGGGCAGTGCCAACGCATAGCTGTGGGGATGCTTATTGGCAAAGCGGTGAGAGTGTGGGTCATTTTTGTCCTTTTAATGTGCAAAGCTTTGCATGGTGATGTTCTGCAGAATCCAGAAATGTGGATTGTGCAACTTATATGATCATTTGAGACCCTAAGAAACTACCCCCCCCCCAAATCCTGTGGTTCATTCCATTTTTGGAGATTGCATGGTCCTGCTGAATTGAGAATTAGGGGTTCATTTCTTCTCAGGTCAAAGTGGCTAGAAGCCCTTTGGATGCATGTCTATGAATTGCCTTGCTAATATGGAAGAGTGTCGAATTTGGGACTGCTGCAACTACTCATCAAATCATAAAGTGAAGAAAGTGGTTGTGGGCAATTTTTACCCCAGGATTTTATTTCTCCTCATACGATTTGCAAGGATCAAATAGAACACTATCCATGCAATTCGGAGCTCCTGGCATGAGGGTTTAGTGGATACATTTTCCCATCCTGTTCCAGTGTTTGGCTTGACTCTGTTGGAGAGCCATCTTAACTATTTTGATAGGTTGAGGCTTACTTACAAGGATGAAAACCCTGTTGAACCTTATGGAGACTATATCAGAATTAGATAGCACAGGATGGGGCATCATGTAGTTCATTGCAGACTTGGAGGCATCTTTGGGATGGGTTGGCTGGTAAGCTCATATGACATTCTCTTCATTCTTTCCCCTCAATGGCTGTAAGATAATTTCTTAGCCTGGATAGCAATGGAGCTCAAGAATGTGGTGTAGCTGAGAAAGCTGGTGGCATGTTCGTAGCTTTAAAAAAAGCTAAAGCCAGAGTTTTCCCATAGAAAAGTTCTGTTGAGGTACAGAGACAGAACTGTGGTTGAGATAGTGAGTTGGGACTAAGGACTGGCCCATCTCTGTGATCAAATCCCCCCAACAGCAACTCTGTGACCCTCTGCACATTAACTCTTTTGCAGGAACCATGAGCCGTAAAGTCGTGAGGTCCAGCAAGTTCCGCCATGTTTACGGACAGCCAGCCAAGGCTGACCAGTGCTACGACGACATCCGTGTCTCTCAGATGACCTGGGATGGGAATTTCTGCTCTGTCAACCCCAAATTCCTGGCCATTGTCGTGGAGGCCAGTGGCGGAGGAGCCTTCTTGGTCTTGCCGTTAGCTAAGGTACCTGAGAACTCCTTAAAAAAAGATACCCCTAGTGCTTTTCCAACCACCAAGTAATTAATTAATTCTTCATTTCCTCAATGTTATTTTGCCTATCCAACTCCAAATTATAATTACATGTATTAGCCCTCCCCAACCTCCCCCCCCTCCCAAACTGTGTTTCCGGGGAACGGAAGATGATGATAGGGAGGAGGAACCAAAGACTTGTGAAATTGCCGAAACGACAGATCTTTTTTGGCAGGTTCTTTTTTGCCTTAAATGGCCCGAAGTGTGAACCTGCTGCGGAAATGGGGCCTTGAGAAAGAGGAAGTGGGTTAGTGGGTTTGGTGCAGGCAGAGCGGGAAGGAAACAAGGAGAGGGGTTGGTAACACAAGCTCTTGCTTTGCTTTGTGTGTTGGCTCCAGTTCCATGTCCACCTAAGTTTATTTAACCCCACAATTGAGATGCCAAAGAACCCATGGCCTTTGACTCTCAGATGCATCATTTATGCTCTCACCCATCCATGAAAAAAATCCCAGAAATGATTATCTGTGAATTCTATATTCCTCCAGGTTTCATATCCTGTTCAGAGGTTGGGGAAATAGCTTGTTAGGCTGTAATGCGTGGATTCTCCCAATCAGGTCTAGGAGATTCTGGGTCCTGCAACCCAAGAGGTTCATTCCCCAAGCTTTGAATTCTTAAACAAGTCTTTTATTGAAATGCTCTGGATTGTGTTCCCATTGTACAGCAGAACCCAGTCCTTGTTTCCCCTACTTTTTGTGATTCATTCCTAGGCTCAGTTTTCCTCCCACTTTCGCTGAGTTGTTTCAGGGCCTTTTGTCTATTTGAAGCCTTGACAGGTCCACGGTTTGGTCCACAGTACAATTATACTTTGCAAAGATTTGAAAAAGAATCTGGTTACATAGGGCATGATGTACTGTGGGTCCATTATTTCTTTCTATGGCTACTAAGTTTAGAGATTTGAATTAAAGCTGGGCCTGTTTCACCCAATTTCCTCCACAAAGATCTTGTGCTTGCCCCTAGGATATGTCTCATGATTCCAGCGTGATGTGGGAACGAGGGACACATTCATGCTCTTCAGAGAAAGCCTAACACAGAGCAGAGCTGTGGCAGCGGGGGGAGTCAGAGGGAAAAACCACATGAGTTTTGTTTCTAGCACTCTTGCTGGGAAAACAGCCCCAAGTGCCTTTCCCCAGCCAGGCAAATGGGCCTTGTTTTTGACCTTTTGTCCTTATTTTCTTACTGGGCCTTTGCCCAGGTTGTGGTTCTGGCTCCTTCACTGGGTGGATGGCAGAACGATATATGTAGAGACAAGAAATGGACATCTTTGATCACCAGAAAAGTGGCTTGGATGGGAGATGATTTTCAGAGCTTCTGTGAATTACACTGGGCAGTTTTGGAATGGAGATCCAAAGTGGCAACTCAGGTCTGCGATACTGGTCCAATGTTAATGGCAAAATGTATTTAGACCTTTTAGGAAGGTGCATAAACACGTATCTACAGGTGCCTCGATTCGAGAGGGACAGCCCCAACTAGTTTTCTGTCAACTTAATTTTTCAGTTGCTTTCAAAATGTCTCTGTTACTCTCTCCTCCAACTTTCTTCCCTTGTTCAGGCTTACTTCAACTATTATGAGGTCAAAGTGAAAAAAATAGTTGACACTCCATTATTCATTAGAAGGGGAGAGGAAAAGAAGGAACCTGGTCCTTGCCAGTTGGCTCAGGCAAAAGCAAACTGCTGCATCCTCTTCTAGCTTGTCTTTTCTTCATCATTAACAACTTTTGCCATTTTGAACACATTCTCATATTGCCCCTGCTACATGTTTTCTTCTTGAAATGTTGGGAATATGTAAATGGTCATATGTCAGTGTGTCCCAAACATGGGTCAGTGTCACTGGAATTGATGAAAGAGTAGCATGCATTTGTCAGATTACAGTGACCGTTTCCTTCCCACCAATTAATGTAATAATTTTAATAACTTGTCAGAAAAAAAATGAGCTTCCTCCCTACATCAGGGCAGCCTGCTCTGGTTCCTTAACAACCGCTTGATGTCAGTCACTGAAGGGTTTTCACAGCACGGAGATCTACGCCATCAGAATGTGTGATTCAGATAGTTAAGAAGTGATGGGTAAAGTGAACTGATAAAAATAGTGCCTGGTTGTAATCATGTCAACAGATCAAACCGTGTGTTGAAGGCTCAGGATCAGACACCGGATGGAAATATGGCAACCTCGCATTTCAGGCTGGGATTAGAATGGTGCCAATTGTTGAAATGAGGTTGTGTAGGAGCTGGGGAAAGAAGTGATGTATGCCAGCCTGTGCCTGCAAAGGAACTAATTGGGGAAGGAGAGTGGTGATAATGGGGTGGGCGGGAAAGAAATAGAAAAAGGATGTAGGGAACTTGGCAGAAATAACTTGAGGAGGAGGGATGCAAAAATCCAGACATTCAGGAACTACCAGTGCCTGAAGTGAGTCTGGCAAAGGACTGGATTGATTTCCCTTCTCATCTGGTGTCTTAATTGGTCTTTTGGACCCACTGGAGGTTGCAAAAAAGATGCAGTGAGGTTTTAGGGCAAGGACAGCACGAGAGAACGGCCAGGGATTGGCCAGGACTCACAACATCGTGTGTGTTAATGTGGGGATGTTAACTGCTGATTCCACTTTAACTGCCATGGCAACACCCTATGGGATCATATGATTTGCAATTTAGGAGGAGGTATCTAGAATTCTCAGCCAGAGAGCTGTGTTGCCTTACCAAATTATACATCTTAAGATTTTATGGGAAGCAGTCGTGGCAGTTCATGTGGAATTACAGAGCAAGAACTATGTTGTATGAAAAGATCCAAGGTCTATAGGAAGAGGGCAAATGATGGGTCAGTGGTGACAGTGTGAAGAGAAGCTGAGCATGAGGACTTTTTCCTCAAGTGACCCGCAAATTCTGAAGCTGTGTGCAGAAGAGCTTAGGTCCAGTTTTAACTAACATGGCTGCATCCTATGGAATCTTGGTGTTTGTAGTTTGGTGAGACACTAACTCTAAAATTCTAAAAATAGTTCCACAAACTGGAGAGCTCAGGATTCCATAGGATGTTGTCATGGCAATTTAAGGGGAACCATAACACTATAATTGCCAAATGTGAAAGGGCCCTATTTTTACCAGAGCTTGGAAAATGAATGTTACTTGTAGCAGAATTGGCCATAGCGGCTTAGGGATTCCAGGACTTATAGTCCAAAACAGTAACTTGTTTAGATGGAATGGGCTGGGATATCTTTATGAATGTTGAGGAACACCATACTGGATTTTTTTAAATATGGAAGGCACAACCAATATGGTTCACTGTGGAGCTGGGTGTCTTGTTCAGGATTATCTTGTGCTTGAAAAGTGATCTGGTGCTATTCACTGACTCTGGAAACGATTTCCTGCAAATTATGTTATGGTGGTGGAACCTGCCATGGGGAGGAAGTGGTGACACGCTCTATTTGAAAGAGGCTTGAGGCTTAGAGCCTCACATCCGTCCTTGTAGCAACAGATACTAGTGTCAAGTATGGCAATGAAGGGGATGAGATATTTTTGACCCTCTAAATCAGGGGCAACCAATCTCTAAAAACCTTTCACACTTCTACCATGGTGCCATAAGAGAGTTTGCCCAGCTAGGTGGCACAGTATCAGCCACCACAAATGGAAGTTAATGATTTTAGTTCAGGAAAGGGATTTTACAGCGAAGTAGGGGATAACAATGGTGGAAATGGCAGTGGTGGCATTGCCATTTGGACCTGCTGAGAGTTCCGTGTAACCAGTGGCATTTTAACTTTGATGAGTGAATTATAAGCTCATTCATTCATCCTATTTTCTATTTGCAGACTGGCCGCCTAGATAAATCCTACCCATTAGTCTCAGGGCACACGGGTCCTGTCCTGGATGTGGAATGGTGCCCCCACAATGACAATGTGATTGCAAGTGGGTCCGAGGACTGCTCTGTTATGGTAAGAAGCTGAGTAGATTTAGGGGCGGGGGAGTCGAAAAATATGACAGAAATTGGACTCAGGTCCTTTCTTACAAGGGGGAGACTGTTATTAGGTGTGTTCTGTAGACACTACATATCACCTGTCCTGCACTTCCTGCATTAGCTTCTAATGTGCTTCGAGGGTGATGGTTTTGACATTTGAGGCCCTGAATAACTTGGGATCAGGATATCTGAAACTATGCCTACTATGCCCCCCAAATCCTTGTCAAAGGTCCTGTTGCATGTCTCATCCCAACAGATCCTAGATTGGAGAATATAGAGTTTTCTCTGTGATGGCACCTTGGCCAGGATGTCAAGACTGCTCCATTTCTCTTATGCTTGTAGCAGACAGATAAGACTGTACTGTTTTGAGTGAACTTAATCTTTAAAATTAATGCTTTCCAAGCTTTCTCCTCACTCATCACTATGGCATGGGTATGTTGCAGTTGCATATGGAGTTGGATTGGCCCTATAGGAAGGTGAAATAGTGGAAATAGATGAAGGGGCTATAGATAAGCCAAATATTTCTGAGTCATGCTCCGTCCCCCGTCCCCCCCCCCCGCTTTGTCCATCTCCCATTGCTACATTCTCGCCTATCTTGTTGACAGGTCTGGGCAGTGCCTGAAACCGGCCTCATACGATCCTTGAACGAACCCCTGGTGACTCTTGAAGGACACTGTAAGCGGGTGGGGATTGTCACCTGGCACCCGACCGCACAGAATCTTCTGCTGAGTGCAGGTAAGGAAGGATGGTGGTGGGCTTAGGCAGATGGTGATAGTCACAGTCTTGCCAACCTATCCCTCACCCACCCATTCTCACAAATTGTCTTGTCTTCTGATTTATGGACTTGACTTTTCTGCCCTTTCTTTGCAGGATGTGATAATGTGGTGAAAGTCTGGGATGTGGGTGTTGGGCAGGCACCTCTCTCATTAGACGAGCTGCATCCAGATGCCATCTATAGCGCATCTTGGAACCGGGATGGATCGCTTCTCTGCACAACCTGCCGTGATAAGCACCTCCGATTGTTTGACCCACGCGCAGGGCGCACCGTTGCCAATGTAAGTGCAGTCTGCAAGCAGGGTGAATGGTGCTGGAAGAGACAGAATCTTACCAGTGTGCGAAATGTGTGTGTGTTTATGTGTCTTCAGAGTGCCTCTCTAGAAATGTCTACATCTTCCAGATTGACTCTATAGCAAACTGTGACTAGAAGCCAGATAATGTAATGCAATGGTGATTGGTCATATTAAGTTTTAGGTAACTGTTGTCACCTGGAAACATTTCCCCTACAGATACAAGAGTCCTTTTTGTAGCCCTCTGCCAATATTCTAGACCCAAACCAAGCTATGTAGGGTTTTCAAGATTATAGCTAGCAATTTGAATTTTGTCTGGAAACAGATTTTCATAAATTGTGTCACTGTGTCAAACTAAAGGCCTTCCAGGGGTGGAAAACCTGTAGTAAAGATGCTGCTGGAACACAACGCCCATCATTCCCGATCACTGACCTGGTCACAACTACGAGGGCCAATTCCCCTCCCACTGAGTGTCCTATGGGCTGCCATTCCACACACCATGGTCAAAATACTGTAATACTGTGGTGCATGAGATGCCCATGGCCATCCTAACCCCCCAAATTAAAAAAAAAACTATTTCAGAGTGGTTTGGGCACAAATTACCCTTTGCAACATTTTCAACAGGTCCCTTTTGTTGCTGTTAATATCTGAGGACAGAGTTCATCTATTCACCATATTGACTCATGCTGTAAAAAAAAAAAAGAACCCTACTTCTGCTAGTGGCCTTCCCTGTTGACTGGCCACAGAGAAGCACTTCCTTTTGTTCATCCTGTCCCTATTGCCAAACAATGTAATTGTGCAACCCCAAGATCAAGAGAGCTAAGAAGATATTTTGCAGTAGGGGGAAACAGGGCCCAAGCAAAGGGAAAACATGGAAGTTGCCTGCCTCAAAAAGTGCTGGGCTTCAGGGGCCTGGTAGGCTTTCATGTGGGTGATATTTAAGTATCTTTTTTCTGATGCCCTCCTGTCTTCTTCTATCTTGGCAACAGGAACTTCCGCGTCCACATGAGGGATTGCGTCCAGTCCGGGCTCTTACAGTGAACGATGGGAAATTGCTCACGACAGGCTTCAGCCGCATGAGTGAGCGGCAGGTGGCTCTATGGGACATGGTGAGGAGAAAACAAGTGCTCTTGGCAGTGATCATGCTGGGTGGGGGTTCTGAGAGTTGCAGTTTGAAATAGGTCATTTCTACCTCCTACAACTGCTGATTTTCCAGAGAGTCCCAATTAATCCTCTGTTGTCCCATTTTTAAAAAATATATCCCACTTTCTTTCTCCCCCTCCCACTTTCCCCCTCTATCCTGCTTTAATTGCTCAAACTGAGTTCAAAGTGCAAAATTAATTCAGGAGTGAAAAGAGGGAGAAGTGGGATCCTGCCTTTCTTGGTAAGCTCAAGCAAAAGGAAGCTGCTGCATCTCCTAGCATATCTGTTCTTCCTTCCTGCTATCTTAACCACACTGCGACATTGCTTAGCCACACATGTCCCTGTTTTCAGATATGCATTTCTCCTAGTTCTGCCCCTTTCTATATAGCCCAAAAGCCACTTTGATAGTGTGGTGAAAGTCCCACATGTCATAGAGGATTGTCTGATGGGGAAAGCTGGAGACCAAGGCTGCAATACAGCTTACCTGGAGCCACATCATTTCATTTGACAAGAAAATATTACATTTCCATAGTCAACACCTTTATTCTTTGATTATTGCCCTCACCACCATTTCTTGACCTGATGGCTTTCACCCCATATTTATTTTTTATTGATTTGCCACATTTGTATACCACCTTTCTCAGCCAGAGGCTGAGACTATATTGTATACCATGGCCTGTGATAATGTCAGCATTAGGCATGCTGCCTAGGGTTGATATATATTGTCATCCATGCATTTGGGGGAAGTATGACCTATTCTCTGCAGGAGCCTGCAGCATGATGTGTAGTCTGACCACTCCTTGAATAGCTTCATCCAACAGCGGACACAACTGTGTCTGGAATCTTATGTACACATAACCTGGGTTTACGCGTGTGCATGTACTTTTACATTTGTTGTGCCAGGAAGCATCCAGTCCTATGCAAGGGAGTTTCAAAGGGCAGGAGGGTGCTCTTTAGGCCTCTAGTGGGGAGCCCCTGGTGGTGCAACAGGTTAAACCCTTATGCCAGCAGGACTGAAGATTGAAAGGCCTTAGGTTCAAATCCGGGGAGAGCGTGGATGAGCTCCCTCTCTCAGCTCCAGCTCCCCATGAGAAGACATGAAAGAAGCCTCCCACAAGGATGGTAAAACATCAGAACATCTGGGTGTCCCCTGAGCAAGGTCCTTGCAGACATCCAATTCTCTCACACCAGAAGCGACTTGTAGTTTCTCCAGTCACTCCTGACATGAGGGAGGCACAGGGTGCTTGAGCTATATCCTGCATTTCCCACAAAAACAGAAATGAGCGGCATTTAATTTTCTTGTTCTCAAGCCACCCCTCCTTACATCTTTGCCTCTACAAATTTGAATTTAACCCACTCTCCCTTTGTGTTCTAGAGGAATCCTGAGGAGCCACTGACCCTCCAAGAACTGGACACGAGCAGCGGAGTCCTCCTTCCTTACTATGATCCAGACACGAATGTGGTTTATCTGACTGGCAAGGTGAGGTCTAAAAAGGGTGAGAACGAATATGCATAGCCTGGAAATCAACATTACTTGTCAATTACTGATCAAGATTCCTGTGAGAAATGTGTGCCAGGAAGAGAGGTTTACTAGAGATATCCGGGGAGTGTGAAACTGACAGAAAGGTTAGGAGGAACAGAAGCGGAGGAAGACCACGCACATCGTTCAATGGAAATTGTTTTGAGGGCATCTCAGACCATACTTTGGAAGGTTTATAAGGGGCAACTCTCTGGATAAGGAGGGACTGAACCTTCATATGTCACTCCTCAACTACAGGGTGACAGCAGCATTCGCTATTTTGAGCTGACGGGAGAGGCTCCTTTTGTGCACTATTTGTCCATGTTCAGCTCCAAGGAGTCTCAACGAGGAGGCGGATGGATGCCTAAGAGAGGCCTGGATGTCAGCAAATGTGAAATTGCCAGGTACGATATGCCTGTTTCCTCGCATTCTTCTTCTATGGAACTAAATTATATACCTCTTCCCCACCCTCTCAATAATTTTATCTTTCCAATTAACCATGTTGTAATTGATTAACCAAATTTCTTAAACCTGGTACCTACCAGATTTTTTTACATCTCCCACTACATTGGCAGTGATGGGAGTTGTAGTCTTGCCCATCTGGCAACAAGTTGTAAGACACTGCTCTAACCTCTGTATCACATTGTGTCCCTGGTTCAGGGAAGGATGAACATTTTTTTTCCAGAGCGAGGACCTTTGTTCTTTTTTCTTCTGAAGACCTATTTTTGTTCAAACTCTTTTGTGTCTCTTCCAGGTTTTACAAACTCCATGAGAGGAAATGCGAACCCATTGGTATGACCGTACCACGAAAGGTAAAAGATTCCTATGTTCTGTAGCCTGGGCTCAAATGGGGTGATGACAGCCAGGATTTCAGAATTCTCTTGAACTTCATTATAAAACAAGAATACGATTTGGTTGCTTTTGACCAGACTCTTGTTTTGCTCTGTTAGAAATATGCTCACTCACACGTAGATAGCCTTATACGGTACTGCATAGTTTAGGGAGTTCAGTATTGATGGTTCTCTAGATGTTTTGGACTTCTGCTCTCAGAATCCCTAAATATTGTTTATACCCTTCCACACAGCCCTATATCTGAGAATATCAAGGCAGAACATCCCACAATATCTGCTTTGAACTGGGTTATCCGAGTCCACACTGCCATATATTCCAGTTCAAAGCAGATATTGTGGGATTTCGGCCTTGATATTCTCAGATATAGGGCTGTGTAGAAGGGCCCCAAGAGACGACTTCAATGGAGAATTTACCTATTTGGACTTAGGTCCAGAGGGGTGAAGAATTTCTTTCCTTTCTCCTCTGAACACCTGAGTTTTCTTCTTCCCTGCCTTTGACCAGCCTCTTTTTTCACATGCCTTCTGCAGTCAGATCTATTCCAGGAAGACCTTTATCCGGACACACCTGGCCCCGATCCTGCACTGACATCCGAGGAGTGGCTGTCAGGGAAGAACGGCAGTCCCATTCTCATATCCCTCAAGGATGGCTACACTCCTCAGAAGACCCGGGAGTTTAAGGTTAACCAGACCTTGCTACAAGGACCAAAAAAATGCCATGAAGGGACACCACATGGGGTAAGCAGTGGACCCCCTGGGCCATCCAGGCTGGGGATGATAGGTATTGGGAAAACTGTCGGCTCATTGCAAAAAAGGTGAAGCAGCAACAGAAGTTTTAGCAGATTGGAAGTTTCTCAAGCACAGTAGTGGAGTGAAAAAGCTTCAGCAATTATAGGAGCACAATCAAGCTTTAAAAGTTATAAAAGACTTGTTGAAAGCTTTCATGGCTGGAATCACTGGGTGGCTGTGAGTTTTCCAGGCTATATGGCCATGTTCCAGAAGCATTCTCTTCTGCAACATAGCCATACAGCCCAGAAAACTCACAGCAACCCTATAAAAGACTATATTGAAAGAACTACATTTCTATATAGGAAGTTAGAGCCTAACTATCTATATAGCTCTCTGGAGACACCTTGTCTCTCCCAATGTTTACAGAAGAAGAATGAAAGGGAGGATTCAGAGGCTTGCTATGCAGTCTGGACAATTTGAATAAAAAGATGTGTGTCCCTGAGAAGTATCTGTCTAACAAACAGGAGAGAAAGTGAGAGGGAGAGAGGAAGACAAAGAGGGCAATGGGAGAAGGGCTTTCCTTGCCAGCTAACTCAGCTATCTGTCTGTCTCCTTTTTGAGTGGGGTGTGGTTGAGTTCAAACAAAAACCGTTTAGGGACAGCCATTCAAGATCATTGGCAATTGTGGAGGCAAAGATAGGGGAAGATACAGATCTACACTAAGCAACATTAGCCAAAAAAATATCCTTAGAACCCAAATGCTACGAGGGAAGCAGATTTTGTGTAAAGCAAAAGGCCTTTTTTCCTGCCTCTCAGAACGAGGGAAGGGGCAACCTAAATAATGTCCCTTCCTTCTCTGGTGGTAAAGTTGTGGGCATGTTTAGCCTGAAGAAGAGAAGGCTGAGAGGAGACATGATGAGGGCCATGTATAAATATTTGAGGGGAAGTCACAGGGAGGAGGGATCAAGCTTTTTTTCTGCTGCCCTGAAGACTAGGACATTGAACAATGGCTTCAAACTACAGGAAATGAGATTCCACCTGAACATTAGGAAGAACTTCCTGACTATGAGAGCTGTTCAGCAGTGGAACTCTCTGCCCTGGAGTGTGGTGGAGGCTCCTTCTTTGGAGGCTTTTAAGCAGAGGCTGGATGGCTGTTTTCCTGCTTCTTGGCAGGGGGTTGGACTGGACGGCCCACGAGGTCTCTTCCAACTCTATGATTCTATGATTGTGGGTCAAAACTGAAGGTGTTTTTCTGATCTTCCACAGAATTCAGCTTTAGACCAGCTCTCCGAGGACCTGAAGCGGCTGCAGGCCACCATCTTACAACAGGAGGAACGCATCTCAGAGCTAGAGAGGATTGTGAAGAAGTAACATCCCCATCTCTTCCACCCAACCGATCCTGTTTGCCACCAGATACATTGGACTTTGTTTCTCTAGCCTTTGAAATACAAAACAAAAAAACAAACCCTCGGTTTAATTGTGGGTGGATCCTCAGGGCATTATTACGTTCCACCCCAAACTCAGGACAGAAGCTAAGATTGCCAATTCCAGACAGACCCTCCCTATTTGTTAGCCAGGTTCAATAGAGTCTGGGTCCTGTTTGGGCCAAATTAAACATACATTCTCTCTTCTTAGGTTCTCCAGAGAGAGGCAGATACCCATCTCTTGAGGGCTTGATTACATGCATGTCTTTTTCTACATTACTTGCCCACGGGCCTGCTGGTTCCCCATTTCTCTGGAAAGGGCTGGAAAGGGTCTTCTTTTGAGGACAGGGGCCACATTTCCAAAGGTCATTTTAGACTAAAGCTCCCAGCATCTCCCATCCAGGATACTTGGAGCTGTGGCCAAAAGACAAACTTTTCTAAGCCCTGGACTCGGTTACATCTTAAAATTTCATGAAAGTGACAATGTTTTATTAATCTAGGGTGCATTTAATTTTAGCAACTTTTCAAAAATTACAAGTATTTCTCAAAGCTACAGGTTGCAAGGACCATCTGAAAGAAGCATCTCTTGCGCGAGAAACGGGGGGCTATTTCTTGAGACATGTGCTGCGATCCGTCTGCATTTGCCTAATAAAGTACACTTGTTGCTTTAGAACTATTGTCATGTACAATAGCTTTATGTAAATATAATTCAAATTTTATGGAAATTTTAATCAAATTCAGTCAATCAAGATTTCTTAAATGGTGTGGTATTCAAGTTTGTCTAGGTTTTGTTATTTACTCATACATTCATTCTAGGCAGAATATATTGAACAATTAATTCCTCCCCCAGCTTGGCTTAAATGCAATCAAATGAGGCAGACTCAGTCGCTGCCTAATGAGTGATGGACAAAAAGTCATCTTTCATTCCACCATGAAAGGATACTCTCGGCTCTACCAACCAACAGCCACTAGAGGGCAGCATGCTTCCCTCTCACTCTAAGATGCCTGATGCTACCATTTTTCAGTCTTCTGAGGACAGTATCTGTACCCACAGGGCTAGCCTGTTGTCGATTTAAAAACAAACACACAAGCAAGAACACATCCTTCTGGATCAGATAGCAGGGCCTGGAAAAGTTTATTTTTCTTGGCCAGAACTCCCAAAACTATTACCCAAGCTCTTCTCAGATATACAAGCAACTTGGATTCAGAGGCATACTAGCTCTGATATTGGAAATGAGTATTAGCTATGAGAGGACCTCCTGGTGGCACAGTGGGTTAAACCACTGAACTTGCTGACAGAAAGGTTGGCGGTTCGAATCCGGGTGAGCTCGAGCAGTTCAAAAACATGCAAATGTGAGTAGATCAATAGGTACCGCTTCTGCAGGAAGGTAATGGCACTTGGAGGCGTCTACGGACAACACCGGCTCTTTGACTTAGAAATGTAGATAAGCACCACCTCCCAGAGTCAGACTCGACTAGACTTAATGTCAAGGGGAAACATTTATCTTTACTTTACTATTAGCTATGAATAGCCTTCCTTTTCATAAATGTTGTATTGCAGAGGGAGCAAGCTTATTTTTGTTGCAATGGATTCAAACAGCAGGAAAAGAGATTCCACCTAAACATTAGGAAGAACTTCCTGACAGACTTCAACAGTGGAATAGGTGATGGAGTCTCCTTTTCTGGAGGTTTTTAAGCAGCGGCTGTATGGCTATCTGATGGGAGTGTGTTGACTATGTGTTCCTGCATGGTAGGAGGGGATTGGACTGGATGGCCCTTGTGGTTTTTTCCAATTCTATGAATTTGCCCAATTCCCTTTACAGCTCATGTGTAGGACATGGTATCAAGAATTAGCAAATAATATATAACCATATGTTGTCTGTTTAGTCTTTAATGTTGCATGATTCAGTTCCAGTCTTCCTATATTAGAGCATGGAGACTAATTTTTGTACTTTCTGTGGGTGGCACAACGGAAATAAGGTGACATCACTTCCAGTTTTCCACTTGTGTATATAGAAATGGCAAACCTCTGCAATTGTGAACAGTTCAGACCCCCAAAAGAGAACTGAGGGGTGTTCAGAGCATACAGGAGTATTGTGGGGTTCAGAGGCTACATACAGTTTCCCTTTTCTTGCATTAGGGCAAAGATGGCCTATCTGTGGTCTCAAGATGCTGTTGGGCTACAATTCCCAGTATCCTATGCCATTAAATATGCTGTAAAAAGGCCAGGATTCAATCAAAGAAAATCTGGTGCCATTTTAATGTGACTCCTATGATCCCTTGCCTGTGATAAGGAATGCTGCAGCTCACAAACATGTGGAGGGTGAGCCATTGCCTAGCAAGTTAAGAGGACCAAACTAGAGTAGAAGGAGCAAAGGTTGGCTTGACATATATACACCCAGAAATGGTACATCTTTTTTAATTTTCTGCTTCATGCTCTTTCAAGTATACTTAGCACTCTCACAGGAGTCATAAATAGGTCCCACCTCCATAGCATCCAGTTCATTCCATTTCCATTTCTCCCATCTGATGGTGGGACTTGTTTTGGTCATGTCTCTGGCCTGCTGCTTTTCCGTCGAGGGCAAAGGGATAGAGGTGCACCTGTCACTTAGCTTCTTGTTCCTTGGCCCATTGTTCTGGCGTCAGAGTTCTCTGTTCAAAGGCGTGGATATGTTTCAGCTCCTCAGCTAAGAGTTCATTGACCAGACTAGGGAAGATGAGACAACAAAGAAATGAAATAATGAAAAGCAAGAAAAATGCAAAACTATATTCTGGTAACTTTGACTATAGCAGACCATTCTCTCAATCAAGTTTTACAAGTTTCTAACTCATTGCTTTTATCTAGCAGCAGCAACAATTAATAAACATAACAGATTGATGTTAAAGAGGTTACGTGTGTCAAGCTAAAAGGGCTGGAAACATGCTGCCACTATGTAGTCTGGAGAGAATAATAAATTGGTTCATATATTTGGAAGCAAACCAAGGTTTTGCTGAGGGCCATCTAAAAGATGTTAGAAATACAGGATGGTGGAAGTCCTGCTCCTCCAGGGGAGAGAAGTTGAAATTGATTGTCTTTCATTGGATATATATACAAAACAGGTATTTGAGCTCTTAATACATTACGTTGTCAGTGCCTTCTTTTTCCTCCCTCTTAAAACAGTATAAAGGGGTGATATTGACTTGTCACATGTCAAAATGTTTGCAAGTATGCCAATAAAAAGAATTTCCATATAAGGTTTTGAATCTGTTTGCCAAAAGCAAAACAAATTGTGTATCTCATTGGCATTGGATATTGGGGGGGGACGGGGGGACGACTTGTACATCATGTAACATTAGCTTGACATGGTTTTAGATTTGAATACTTAACACATAAGTATACTAAAGGATATACTCCAATCTATTTAGAACATCTGGAAGTTTTTTTGATTTAGTGTTTTCCAGGAACACCAGTCAAGATTACAGGAAGTCCCTGAGTTGCAAACATCCAACTCACAAATGACTCATAGTTAAGAACAGGGGTGAGACAACAAGAAGTGAGAGAAAGAGTTATCATGGAGAAAAGACGTCTCCACTGAAGCTTTATCACCAATTCTTCTTTTCACAACAAGTCAAATTTCTCAAAACAGAAGTGAGGTGAACTCTACAATTTTGACATTACAGTATTGCGACAATAATAATTCAATGAGGTGGGGGAGAGGGAAATTGGACTAGGATAGGTTACTTAGGTATACTTAATTAAACTAAAGATACTTGGTTATATGATTAGCACAAAATAAAACATAAGCTATACTGAATTAACCATTTCATCACACTAGAGAATGAATCTACTTTAAATCTGGTTTCTTCCTCCTGCAGAATTCTGGAGTCTGTAGTTTAGTGAGGCTGTTAAAGACTCCTCCCTAAAATACAAACCCCAGAATTCTGCAGGAGTTAATTCATTTTTTAGTGTGATGAGGTCATAAGTAACTGATACAGGATTCTGGCCTTAAAAAATCCCAATGTTTACATGTGGTTTAATTTCTAGGCCTCTTAGTGGAGGCCTAGAAAAATAGGAAAATACTGGTAGATCAAAGGAAAAAGAGATTATAATAGTGGAACTGATGAGTTTAAGGTATATGTGTGTATTGTTTTAATGGAACAAATAGAATTCTGCTAGTGACAGACAAAATAATTTCCAAGCTCTGCCACCTTCCATATCAAATATTATTCAGAAGCAGACTGCCCGATACTAGAAGTTTTTTTTTCATGTCAGGAGCAACTTGGGAAATTGCAAGTCGCTTCTGGTGTGAGAGAATTGGCCATCTGCAAGGACAATACCCAGGGGACGTCCAGAAGTTTTACCATCCTGTGGCAGGCTTCTCTCATATCCCTGCATGAGAAGCTGGAGCTGACAGACAGGAGCTCACCCCACTCCCTGGATTCAAACCACCAACCTTTCGGTCAGCAGTCTTGCCAGTACAAGGGCTTAACCTATTACGCCACTGGGGGCTCCTAGAAGTGATGTACTACCATCATGAGCAGCAGCTTTACTCTCTAAAACTGGAAGAGTAGAGTCTGTATATGTAGCTCTGAGCTCCTTAGATAAAATACAAGCTAAGAATGTAGGTAAACATATGAGATAGTGATGGCAAAGAACAGCAGATGAGCAAAAGAACAAAAACTGAAGGCACATCAATGAAGAGACACAAAGCAGCCCTAATTTTGGAGTGTTGTGGTCTTTTAACCCTCGTTTAGATTCTGTCATGTTTGGAAAACCAGTAAGGCAAGCCAACAAAAGATCTCTCTTTGTCCCACTTACCGATGTCGCTGTAGCAGTGCCTTCCCTTGAAAACGTGGAGACACTACTAGGACTTTGAAACTTGTAGCACAGCGTCCAGGGGTTGTGTCTTCCACCTCCTTGTGCGGTTGAAGGAAGGGGAAAACAGTGAGGAAAACAATTTAGTACAGTATACATTGCTTGGCAAATTCAAGAACAAAACCTGAGAAACTAGATCAACAGCGTCATGATCAAAGTAGGAATCTTCACATATATGTACCTGCTGCATTACAGATTATCCTTGGGCGAGGAAGAAAATCACATGGAACACAACTAAATTTGTCTAAATAATCATACTTAAGAAAAACTGCAGGCAGAGGATGAATATTCTAGTTTGACCTAATTGTAGAGGATGCTTAGCATCTATGGCCATTTTCTCATCTCGTCAGTGACATTTGTGTCTTGAGATCCTAATATTTCAATAGCTTTTCCTTCAAGGCTTTCTCAAGAAGGTATTTATAATTGCATTGTTGCAGGAAGCTTGGAAAAAGTACTCCGCCCACATGAGCCAACGAATGCCAAGATTTCCAACATATGAATATAGTATGAGGTTGCAATTCTATACACACTCTCCTAAGAGTAAGCTCTGTAGAAACAATGTGTTGTTGAAGGTTTTCATGGCCAGAAACACTAGGTTGCTGCGAGTTTTCCGAGTTGTATGGACATGTTCCAGAAGCATTCTCTCCTGATGTTTTGCCCACATATGTGGCAGGCATCCTCAGAGGTTGAGGGATCTGTTGGAAACTAAGCAAGTGGACTTTATAATATTTGTGGAATGTCCAGAGTGGAAGAAAGCACTCTTGTCATTTTGAGGCAAGTGTGAATGTTGCAATTGGCCACCTTGATTAGCACTGAATGGCCTTGCAGTCATTCTTCTCCCACCCTTGATATTCCACAGATTTATTTATTTATTTATATTTATATGCCGCCCTTCTCACTCTGAAGGGGACTCGGTGGCTTACAAGTTATATGTATAATATATTATATTATTAGCATAGCACAATATTAGTATTATATATTACTATATTACAATACCACTATCCTGTAATATGAAATATAAAATTATTATATTGTATTATTAATATTACTTTGTATTACAAAATATCCATATTATATCTGTATACAATATATTATATTATTAGCACAGCACAATATTAGTATTACAGTGGAATTTGCTCCCCGGGGAAATTAGGTCATCGTCATCCCTCCTCACCTTTAGAAAAAAGGTTAAAACATGGCTGTGGGACCAGGCCTTCGGGCAATCAGGTTAAAGGACAATTGATAATGTTGACTATGGCATGGAAGAGGATTTGGATAAGTTAAGCGGAGTAATCATTAGTAGATGGCTAGCTAAACAGCCACCAGACGGACAATAGCTAATAAGAGTGTAAGTATACTGTTTTAATCTTTATTTATTAATGTTCATGTATAATTGTTATATTTGTTATTCTGTATTTTATGATGCGGCATTGAATTATTGCCAATTGTAAGCCGCCCTGAGTCCCCCCCAGGGGTTGAGAAGGACGGGGTAAAAATGTTCGAAATAAATAAATAAGTTTTGCCCAATTCTATCATGGTGGACTGGTGATTAGTAATATTACATGTAATATGAAATATATAATTATTATATTGTATTACTATTATCATTATACTGTGTTACATTATAATATTATTCATATTATATGTGTATACAATATATCATATTATTAGCACAGCACAATATTAGTATTATATATTACTATATTGTACTATTATTTATTTTATTTCCTATATTTATACCCTGCCCTTCTCCCCCTGAAGGGGACTCAAGGCGGCCTAACAAAAGCATCATACGATGCTAGCATCATAAAAACAACCACAGTACAATCAAAATATTAAAAATTAAAACAACAATTAAAACAATTAATTAAGACACATCCATTAAAATCGAAATCCAAAAACCAGTCCGGGTCAATTCATTGCCATAAGTTGTGTGATCTTCTTCCACTTGCTGCTCACTGATCAAACACTTGGTCCCATAACCAGGTCTTGATTTTCCTTCTAAAAGACAAGAGGGAGGCGGCCAATCTGATATCTCTAGGAAGGGCGTTCCATAGGCGGGAAGCCACTATACTGTAATATACTCTACCACTATACTATTATTAGTAATATTACATGTAATATGAAATATATAATTATTATATAGTATTATTATAGTATTTGACAATGTGGAATGAATTACGGACTCTGAGATGGTGAACGCTGAGTATTAGATTGTTTTTATTGATTTTGATGTATAAACCGACGGTCTTAATTGTTATAATTGCTGTTTACATGTTTTATCCATTGTTATCTTTATGCTGGCATCGAATTGTGCCTTTATAAACCGCCCTGAGTCCCCCCTCGGGGGTTGAGAAGAGCGGGATAGAAATACGCTAAATAAAATAAATAAATATTATTCATATTATATTGTATTATAATATCAGTATTATATGTGTATTGTTGTTGTTGTTCATTCGTTCAGTCGTCTCCGACTCTTCGTGACCTCATGGACCAGCCCACGCCAGAGCTCCCTGTCGGCTGTCACCACCCCCAGCTCCTTCAAGGTCAGTCCAGTCACTTCAAGGATGCCATCCATCCATCTTGCCTTGGTCGGCCCCTCTTCCTTTTTCCTTCCACTTTCCCCAGCATAATTGTCTTCTCTAGGCTTTGCTGTCTCCTCATGATGTGGCCAAAGTACTTCAACTTTGTCTCTAGTATCCTTCCCTCCAATGAGCAGTCGGGCTTTATTTCCTGGAGGATGGACTGGTTGGATCTTCTCGCAGTCCACGGCACTCTCAGAACTTTCCTCCAACACCACAGCTCAAAAGCATCGATCTTCCTTCGCTCAGCCTTCCCTAAGGTCCAGCTCTCACATCCGTAGGTGACTACAGGGAAGACCATGGCTTTGACTAGGCAATGGATCTTTGTTGCCAGTCTGATGTCTCTACTCTTTACTATTTTATCGAGACTGGACATTGCTCTCCTCCCAAGAAGTAAGCGTCTTCTGATTTCCTGGCCACAGTCTGCATCTGCAGTAATCTTTGCGCCTAGAAATACAAAGTCTGTCACAGCCTCCACAATTTCTCCCTCTATTTTCCAGTTGTCAATCATTCTTGATATGTGTATACAGTATATATAATCCTCACTTGCCTAGTTTCCAACAGACCTCACAACTTCTGAGGATGCCTGTCACAGATGTGGGCGAAATGTCAGGAGAGAATGCTTCTGGAACATGGCCATATAACCCAGAAAACTCATAGCAACTTTGTAGAAACAGCTAAAGGTGTGTCTTTATTGTAGAATTAGTGCAGTTTGAGACCACTTTAACTTCCATTGCCTGCTGAGTATTTGAAATCCTAGGAGATGTATTTTACAAGATCTTTAGCCTTCTCTGCCAAAACAAACTACAGCTCCCAAGACTCCATAGCATTGAGCCATGGCAGCTAAAGTGGTGTCAAACTGCATTAATTCTGCAGTGTAGATGCACCCTATGCCTCCTTAAAATCCAGATATCTTGTTTTTTAAAGGCACTGACCACATGCTCGGCCTCCAGGCCCTGAAGGAGCCGCTCCCGCAGAGACTCCGCGCTGAGAACTACAGAAGGCTCCATCCTCGACGAAGATCCACTCAAAATGCAAAAGGGATGGCCAAAAACTCTCAATTTCCGCCTATGGTGTGCGTCACTTCCGCCTCTCGTTAGCCCCCCCTCAGGATCCCTTTAGCCAATCGGGTTGGTTTGAGGCTACATCCGCTTCGGATTGGAACAGCCAATCAGTGATTCCCAATCTTTGACTTCCAGGACTTCATTTCCCAGAAGCCTCAGCTACCTGGGCCAACTGTCAGGAATTCTGGGAGTTGAAGTTCAAAAAGGAGAACTGTAGTCTTTCAAAAATATATAAGTGGGGAGTTTTGATTTCCGGCAGACTTGTTAATGTCAGAGATGGGAAGCAGAGGAGAAGAGGAATCCTGGTGACCCAAAGGTATGAAGTCCCCTTTGCCTTGGATTGTATGGCAGGCAGGAATCCCACCATTGGAGCAGTGCTTCCAATGGAGGGAGTGCAGGGGCTTGGATCTCTCGCACCGAATCTACACTGTAGAATTAATGCAGTTTGACACCACTTCAACTACCATGACTCATAGGAATCCTAGGAGTTGTAGTTTTACAAAGCCCTCTCTGCCAAAGAGGGCTGGTTCCTCACCAAAGTACAACTTCCATAGTTCCATAGCATTAGGCCATGGCAGTTAAAGTGGTGTCAAACTGCATTAATTCTGCAATATAGATGCACTCCATGTTTCCTGAGGACTGGACTCTGGAGCCTTCAGTAGTGCAGTGGGTTAAACTGCTGAGCTGCTGAACTTGTTGATCGAAAGGTCGTAAGTTTTAATCTGGGAGAGGTGTGAGCTCCCGCTGTTAGCCCCAGCTTCTGCCAACCTAGCAGTTCGAAAACATGCAAATATGAGTAGATCAATAGGTACCGCTTCTGCAGGAAGGTAATGGCACTTGGAAGGAAGGTAACGGCGCTCCATGCAGTCAAATCAAATCATTTATTTCAGTCATTGACCAGCACAGAAAATAGTCACATTTTCATACAAACTTGGTATGTTTGGTACATTAAAAATATAAATATAATGTCTGAAGCACAATATGGATGAGGGAGCAGAAGGAAAGGGGAAACAGGGTAAAAACATACAATGCCCAGATCCATCACCAAATTGTAGATTCAGAGAAGATTACTGGACACACAGTTAACTCCATGCAGTCATTCTGGCCAAATGACCTTGGAGGTGTCTATGGACAACGCCGGCTATTGGGCTTAGAAATGGAGATGAGCACCAAACCCCAGTTGGACACAACTGGACTTAATGTCAGGGGAAAACCTTTACCTTTACCTAGACTCCTCTGTGTGTTTTAAGAATAACTTTATTGAGACAGGAAGGAATCTGTTGTTGTTGTTGTTGTGTGCCTTTGAGAGTGAATGGCCATCTGCCCCAATGGACTCAGATGACCCTGGGAGCCAAGGACTGCCCATTCTCTCTCTTAGTGACCTTGAAGGTAACGAGCCCGTGCAAAAACTGGGCACACAGAGGGCGTAAGATACCAAAGTATGTGCAACGATGAAACCACACCAAATCAAGGGAGTGGGGGGAGCTCCTGTCTGTCAGCTCCAGCTTTTCATGTGGTGACATGAGAGAAGCCTCCCACAGGATGGTAAAAAATCTGGGCATCCCCTGAGCAATGTCCTTGCAGATGGCCAATTCTCTCACACCAGAAGCAACTTGAAGTTTCTCAAGTTGCTTCAGGCACGAAAAAACAAACCATAAAGAGTTTTTGACTTGTCAAGCTGGACACCAATATAGTAACACCCTAAAGGACATCTTTGAACTATTTTTCCTTCAAAGGTAAATCTAACTGCGCAATTAGATGTTCCACCCTTTTGTGGCACCCACGGGCCCATGTTTTCTGTTTTTCTATCCTTTTTACTTATTTTCAAAATAAAATTCTTCTTTCTTGAGATCAAGAAACACCTGATTTGTGTCTGTTTTACATCTTTACCTTGGGGTGACATCTTCATGTCATTTCTGATCTAAGGCAACCCTGTCACAGGGTTTTCTTGGCCGGATTTGCCCAGAAGGAGTTTGCTATTGCCTTCTTATGAGGCTGAGAGAGTGTGGCATGCCCAAACTCACATGGCCAGTTTCCATGGCTGAGTTGGGAGCCAAATCCTGGTTTCTAGAGTTATAGTCTCTTTCAGCACACACACACGCGATAATTGATATAAATATACACAATATATATATAGATAGATACAATATACATCTCTTTCAATATATGCACTAATATATATGCAGGATGTCTCAAAAATGTATACACTTTTTGACAGCTAGTCATAGAATCATTGAGTTAGAAGAGACCACATGGGCCATCTAGTCCAACCCCATGCCATGCAGGAAAAGCACGTAGCCATGGTGATTTTTTTGAAGGCTAGGTAAATATATTTAGATTGAGGAATAATTATTTAATCAACTTTAATCAAAGTTACAAGTTTCATTGCAGTTTCATGTAATGTGTTCAAATGGTTGTCTCTGTGCAGTATTTTTTTTTTGTGTCGTGTCAGGAGCAACTTGAGAAACTGCAAGTTGCTTCTGGTGTGAGAGAATTGGCCGTCTGCAAGGATGTTGCCCAGTAATGTACTATTCACATTGTTAAAATGCAGAGTTACAAATCTCACTTAAAGTTTCTCTTTTAATTTTGTGACAATTCTCTATTATTGGAATGTGAAATTACACACACATACAAAAATGGAAACCTTTAAACTTTTTAACATTTTATCTCATACATCTGGCCTGTACTTTGTGCTTGATTTTACTATGCCATTTTATACTGTTCATTTTATTTGTTATTTTATATATTTTGTTATGATGTATTTTTCTGTTTTGTGTCTAATTATGTTGTATTATTTTTGTGCTTGGCCTCATGTTAGCTGCCCGAGTCCCCTTTGGGGAGATGGAGGCGGATTATAAATAAAGATTATTATTATTATTATCATCATATTTTCCTTAATCGTATATAAGCTTCCATACTGTATATGTAGTGATGACACTAAATTAGGGTTATACCATTTTCTCACCCGTAGAGCCCTTGGATGTCTTCAGCATCTGGATGCAGCAATGGTGGTAGAGGTGTGCAGTTTCTTTGGGGTCTATCTCCTCTACTGCACCAATCCACGATATCATGGACGCATCTACATTGGCTTCACAGTCAATCCTGAGCGGCGTATCATTCAGCACAATGCTGGGAAACGCCGAGGCGGAGCCTGGAAGACAAGCGGCCGTGGACCTTGGTAATTTATGGGAATAACAGAAAGCTGCCTGAGTGATGAATTAGACCATTGGCCCATCTAGTTCAGTGTTGTCAACACTGACAGGTAGGGTTTAGAGCCCTATCTGGAGATGTTGCAGATTAAAGTAAAGCTTCTGCTACCGTACTTTGGCCCTTCATATTTCCCCTTTCTATCTACTTTCATTTTTATCTCTGTTGTTCTGAAGGGACTTTTAGGACCTGCTGGGAATTGGGCTCTTGAAGGCATGCATATTGGGAGACTAAACATGCTTCTTCTCTTCTTCCAGGGATATGGTGCTGATTGTCCATGGTTTTCCTTCAGATGTAGCAGCCCTCCGGGTATAGTGCTTTTGTTTGTACTCACAACTGCTTTTCTTCTGAATGTTGCTGTTGTTAATTGCTATCAAATCACCTCTAAATGAGAGCTGGACAGGATAAATTATTAACAGCCCTGCTTGCAAACTCAGGGTGGTCTCTCTGTTGCAGCTATCTTCCATAATGTGATCTTTTTCTTTTCAATTGCCTTTCACTTTCCGTGTATTATTATTTTATATCCAGTGAGTTGTTAGTTTTGTTTCAGAATGAGAAATTAGCAAGACAGATAATTAATAGACCAACTGGAGCCCCTGGTGACGCAGTGGGTTCGAATCCTTGTGCCGGCAGGACTGCTGACCAAAAGGTCAGAGGTTCGAATCTGGGGAGAGTGGGTTGAGCTCCTTCTGTCAGCTCTATCTCCCCATACGGGGACATAAGAGGAGCCTTCCACAAGGATGGTAAAAATATCAAACATCCAGGTGTCCCCTGGGCAACGTCCTTGCAGATGGCCAATTCTCGCACACCAGAAGCGATTTGCCGTTTCTCAAGTTGCTCCTGACACAAAAACAAACAAACAAACAAACAAATATCCCTGCTCAGATCTTACAAACTCAGAGCCGTGTCTTCCTTGCATCTCTCCCCATAATGTGATCTTTCTCTTTCCTAATATAATATAATGTAATATATTGTATATACATATAATATTTATATTATGATGTAATACAATATAATACTACTACTACTATTACTACTACTAATATATTTTATATTACATGTAATATTACAAATAATATTACAATATAATGGTATAGTACAATATAGTAATATATAATACTGATATTGTACTATGCTAATAATATAATATATTGTATGTATATATATATCTTGTAAGCCGCTCTGAGTCCCCTTCAGTGTGAGAAGGGCGGCATATAAATGTCATAAATAAATAAAAATAAATTTTCCATTACCTTTAAAACTATTACGTTTTTCCAGGGGATCATGTCATCTCACAATAAGTCCAAAGTACAATAGCCTCAGCTTAGTTATTTTGGCTTCTAGGGAGTATTTGTTGTGCTGAAGATTTCTCAGTGAACTCTTTTGATTTCGGTCACTTTGTTATTTCTTCCCACAGTTCGAGTGGGCCTGGCAGCACCCGCACTCCTCCCGCCGCCTCAACCACGTTACCCGCCGCACCTCCCGGGAGCGTCAATTTGACTTCCACCTGCGTGTTTTGGCCCACATGCTCCGCACTGCTCCCTGGTGCCGCCTGCCCCTCACCATCCGTTGGCTCAAGCAGGAATACACCCGAGACTTCCCTCCGGATTTGGAGCCTCCGCTGCACATGCCGGTGGCCTATGGGCCAGTGAGAGCTGTCAAGGAGACCAAGGGAGCAAAGGCAGCACCTTCAGAGGGACAGGGAGTGACTCTGAAACGTTGTAGTGTCTGTCTGAAAAGGTTCCAGGTAACAGTCAGACTACATCTTAGTGGGAAACTGGGTTTGTGGGCGAGTGAGGATGCTCAGGATTTTAGTGGTCACTAGAGGGTTCCTGGTACCATCTACTGCTGATCTTTCAGAATTTGTTATCACTTCTCATTCTAAAAGGTAAACAATTCTCTCCTGTGCCATAGGAAGTATGGTGATATTTTTTGTCACATCCATCTGTTCTATTTATGAATTCTTCCTTTGCAGGAAGGAGATGATGACATCCTCCTGCACTGTTTTCGCCCAGGCTGCACCATGGTTGCACATATCATGTGCCTGGCTAATTTTTTCCTGGAGAAAGAACCAGATCACATCCTGCCTATAGAAGGCCAGTGCCCAGGGTAAGTAGGTCGTCCTGGACTATGGCAGAATTAAAAGATGGCAAAACTTGGATCAAATTTGAATATTGGCACCGATTCCCTCTTTTCTTCCTCTTTTTCCTTAGTTGCAAGAATCTTGTGCTTTGGGGAGATCTGATCCGTCATCATAAAGGTTGTTACGGTGACCTAGAGGCTGATCCCACATCYTCTCAAGTAAAAACCTCTTTGTTATTCTTGGTACTGGAAAACCARTTGGTTATATATTCAAATAGGGGATTTATGCCCTTTTTGTATTACAGAGGTGTTTTGTCTTTACGCTTTTCTTTCCCCATGGACACCAGCAATGATTTGTTTGGGTTCTTATAGGTTTTTCGGGCTGTATGGSCATGTTCTAGAAGCATTCCCTCCTGACCTTTCGCCTGCATCTATGGCAGGCATCCTCAGAGGTGACCTCACAACCTCTGAGGATGCCTGCCATAGATGCAGGCAAAACATCAGGAGAGAATGCTTCTGGGACATGGCCATACAGCCCGAAAAACCTACAACAACCCAGCGATTCTGGCTATGAAAGCATTTGACAATACAATGATTTGTTTCCTTAAAATTAGCAAACTMCTTTCCGTTTGTGTTGTTGAAAGTTTTCATGTCTGAAACCACTGGGTTGCTGTGAGTTTGGCTATTTGGCCATGTTCCAGAAACATTCTCTTCTGACCTTTCGCCCACATCTATGACAAGCAGCCTCGGAGGTTGTGAGGTCTGTTGGAAACTAGGCAAGTGGGGTTTATATATCTGTGGAATGTCCAGGATTGGAGAAAGAACTCTTGTCTGTTGGAGGAAAGTGTAAATGTTGCAATTGGCTTGCAGCTTCAAAGCTTGGCTGGTTGCTGTGTGGGAGGATCCTTTGTTCGGAGGTGTTAGCAAGCCCTGATTGATTCTTGCCTGGAATCAATCAGAAAAAAATGCTGGACCACTCCAACAACTACCATGTCAGACTACACAGAGAAGCATGTGGACAATTTCAACAGAAAGGAGAAAATCATGAAAATCAACAAAATCTGGCTACCAGTATTTAAAAAAACTCTAAAATCAGGATAGTAAATAAAGAGCAACACTCAAAAAACAGGGGAATTGCAGCCAAGAATAAATCAGGGTCAGCTAACACCTCCCAACAAAGGATCACCAGCAACCAGCCAGACTATGAAGCTGCAAGGCCATTCAATGCTAATCAAGGTGGCCAATTGCAACATTCACACCTTCCTCCAACAGACAAGAGTTCTTTCTCTCACCCTGGACATTCCACAGTTATATATACCTCACTTGCCCAGTTTCCAAAAGACTTCACAACCTCTGGGGATGCCTCCCACAGATGTGGACAAAACATCAGGAGAGAATGCTTCTGGAATGTGGCCATACAGCCCAGAAAATTCACAGCAAACCTTTCCCTTTATTTGTTAACTCACTTCCCTCAAGGTATATTGTTAGCGGCCTTCAGATTGATTATGACTTACGTCAACTTTATGCCAGCGTTTTCTTGGAAAGATTTATTCAGAAGTGGTTTGTCATTGCCTTCTTCTCAGGCTGAGAAAGTGTGACTAGCCTCAGGTCACGCAGTAAGCATACTCAACTGAGGAAGGAATGAAAACCCAATCTTTCAGAGTACTAGTCCTATGTTGTATAAATTCTATTGTATAGCTTACACATACATGGTATAAGTTTGACTGGTTTTCTTCCATGTAACCACCTTTTCTTTCTTTCATCATTCAGGAACACTGGGCTAATGAACTGCAACTGTGAGGTGCCCTTTTAAAAGGTGATCAAGGTTCCTCTTCCTCCAGATGAATACCCAGGAATGCTAGGATGTAGTGTGGACCACCTCCTTTGACTCTTTTGCATGTGGAGTATTCTTCTACTTCCCTTTTCCCGGCTGGATCTGGGACTTTCAAAGCTCCAGCCCCAGAATCATGCATCCAATGAACTACCGTACCGTGCAATAATGAAATAATGGACCAAGAATTGGGCATATCTATGAAATTAGTATGGTATTCGTGGGACAGGATTCTTAGCCTCTGAGAAGAACAAAGAGTAAGCGCTGACTGGATGAAGAAAATGTAAAATTGGGTTCCCCAACACATTTGGACTGCAAATCCCATAATTTCTAACTTGAACGTGCTCATCGTGGCTTCTGCAGCTGTAGTACAAGATCTTTGGAAGGTGCCAAGTTCCCTTCAATTGAACTAGATTATTGAACATTTTCTCCAGCCTCTATGCCATAATTTCCTGGCAACTAGTGCATTGAACTGGCATTCCAGTGTATCAGATCACTGACATTATAGCTTGCCTATGACTACCAAGAGAAATCTGCTATGAAGTAGGAATAGAGATGTGAAATTAGTGAGCAACTGAACAAGAGCCAGTTCGTTCTGTGGAGGCACCCCCATGGATAGCACTTCCTCCAGCAATACATGTTTTCCTTTCAAAGTGGTGACAGGAAGTGACATAACATCACTGACTACCTAAGACCGTGTTAGAAGGGAGTTTACAGAAAAAAATGCTTAATTTTTTGGTACAGTTTAACACTCACACTTCACTGTGGGAACAATATGTAAAAGCCCCTAGATTTGCAAAGGCTCAGATCTATATCACATTCTTTCAAAACAAGAGGTAGATTCTGCTATACTAAACTGAATCTTCCCTTTTGCCTTAATTTAAATACAAATCCATCTGCACCAGGGATGGGAATCACATGTTGTTTTCCAGGTTCCCATCATTCCTCACCATCAACTCATTAGGGCTTTAGAAGTCTAATATTATCAGAACACTTCCATGACTGGTTACATCCACAGAATAAACCTGCGTGGCTAATAATCCTGTGTTTCCAGCTATATGCCCTTTTGCTAAGACTACAAGGTGCATACAAAAGCAATAAGCATCCTGCTTAAGAAACAACTGTTGGCAGGTTTTATTAAACCAATGTTTGGACTTGTGGGCGTTTGATAAACAGGTTCAGTCAAACCTTTCAGACAAAGTCTAGGAAACAGCAAAATATATTATTGTATTGCTTTTTAAAAGGAATGAAGTGTTTAACAGTCATGTCGGTTTGGCCTCATTTAATTAAAACAGCAAGGTCATACTGCAGTTCTGTGTGATCAATGCACTGCAACTTCCCTTGGACTCTGAAGTCCTCCTTAGCAACAGTAGTCCCTGAAGACGAGCCAGGTGTGTCTCTCTCTTTTTTATTCAGTCTGCTTTCCTTGCAGCTTGGTTTGTCAAATCTTCAGTCACTGTGTCCTTTTGTCTTTAACAACAGCTTGATATGCAAAGATGAACAGGTGACAATTTTGTGTCAATGCTGTGAAACCTGTTGATTGTTGTATACATTGATATTCAAGGAATACTAGCACACCAGGACAGTATTTCTTTAGATCACATGTCAGTTTTCTCTCTAGATCAATACCTGGCATTTGTTTTAACTTGGATTTAGGCTGCACCTCTTTCCCAGTGGGTCACATCCTTTGGTCAGGCACAGACAAAGTCTCGACTGCTGTCAAATAATGGAATAAAGTGTAATTTTTCCCTTGTAAATATGTTTCTTTGCTGCTCAATCGTATTTTGCTTTTACATGCTTTGAGACATCTTGATGGGAAGTCAGCTTCTGGCATTAATACAGCAAAGCAATTCTGGCTTGGTAAAAAAGTTAGCTACTTCATCAAAAATAGCAGTTCTCCAAGTCCTGCCTTCCAGTAGCATCTCTAATGTGGGCTCTGAGTCCAAGCCGGAGGCCACCATGAAATGCCAACTCCTTCAGCAAGAGTGTCAATAGAAATATACTAAGCAGTTTGGAAGCTGAACTCACCATCATTCTGCATCAGGCAAAGTTGGGTGACATTCCTATCTCTGATACTCCCTTCGTTTCCTTGGCTTTCACCAAATGATAGAAGCAGGCAGAGATCTCTGACTTGATCAGGGTGGGTGTTCCTGAAAGTTGCTTGTCTTCTGGCACATTTCACCAGAATCGATCAGACGAGCAATGCATATTTCTCATAGCTACCATCACACTCTGCAACAGCTTAGCTTCTACTCCAAACCTTGCAGCACAAACAGGCGACTGCAAGGCTTTCATGCTCTCCATCCATTCGCAGCCATCGGTACTTTGTCAAGACCTTCCTTGGCTGCAAGCAAAGTTTAAAAATACATTAGCAGAAGGTTAAAAGAGCAAAGCAACCCAGGGCTTATTTTCTCCAGTGGCAAGAACTGTTTATTTTATAGGGAGCTAATCAACTGGTTTCTTGGAACTCAATAGTTAACCAACCTATGTCTGCTGAGCTCAGAAACAAGATCTGTTTTGTTCAATAGGATTTAATCCTATGGAAGTGTACAGAGGATAGGAGTCTGAGACCTAGGGAGTTAAGTCTGAATATAGTACAAATTACTTTTAAGATGACATGCACAGGATTCTTGATCAAAAACAGTCCTTGCCTCTCTCTCTTCTTAAGACTTCACCAGGAATGGCTCATAAAGCTTCGAGCTTAGTTCAAAATGAGGAGCAGTCAATTTTTGTTATTCTAGCAAGAGTTGAGTTAGTGGATTTCTGCAAATCCAAAAGTCCTCCTTCATTCTCAGTGTGGAGTTCATCAACTTCCCTTTTTCAGACTGAACCTTGTAATTCCCTGTTGATTGGGAGCCAAAATGAATTTTTAAAATCTACCTCTTCCTACTTCCTTTCCATTTTGCACACATCTATTTAACAACGCATTCTCTAGCCCAGCTGCATGGTGTTACATTAAAACCAAGATTAGGCACTATCAACACGAAGCTCTAGGTGAGAATGAAAGCATAAGCTACCAATAACCCACCAAGGAAGCCACCAAGCTTTTTCTTACACACAAACAGTCCTGCAGAGGCCATTCCACTAGGCTGAGGAATTTTATAATAACAATGTATACCTCCAGCTTGACCAGGATGGCCCCATTCTTGCTAGCCTTCCGCAAGCAGGTCAAGACTTTATTTTTGCAAGCAGGCATTTGTAGAAGGATAAGGAAACTTTGCTGGGTGGTTGTTGGTGGGATTTTGGGGAAAATTGGCTGTTTAAAATAGTGTTTTAACTGTATTTATTGTATTTTAACTGTATTTTTAACCTAACACACAGTGCTGTTTAATTGTTTTTTCAATTTTTATATTCGCTTTGGTTTAAATAGATCAAACTGTGTTGCTGTAATTGAATCACCTTGAGTCCCCTCAGGGAGAAAGGCAGGGCATAAATAACGTTAACAACAACAACAACAATACTTCAGTTTTTCTTCATTTCCTTTCCCTTCCTCCTTTCCTTTCCTTTTGATGCTGGGTCTTTTTTAGACAGAAAGCCTGAGTCTAAATACTGCCTTGATCTTTTTAAAAAAATTGAGAACTAAGAATGATTACTTACTTGGAAAATATTTCCAAAAGTGTGGTATGAATATAGTAATTTACGGCGGTGTCCTCTCCTATTTATTATGTGTATTATTTTATCATAAACTGTCTTGAGTCCCTTTGGGGAGGTGAAATATAAACCAATCTAGCAAGCAAAGAAATGATATATACATAAGAGGGAAACTGAGGTTTTCTTACCATGAATGGCGCCTCTGGTGGTTGGTGACATGTGAGCGCCGCGTGAACCTCTTCCCGCAATAGGCGCATTGGTGCGGCTTCTCCCCAGAGTGGATGAGGAGGTGCTTTGTGAGGGTTGTGTTCCGGTTGAAGCTGTTCCCACATTCTGGGCACTGGTATGGCTTCTCGCCCGTGTGGATCCTTTCGTGACGGATCAAGTCCCACTTCTTCCGGAATCGCTTCCCACACTCTTTGCAAAGGTGCCGCTTTGTTTCTGGGTTAGACAGGGCCTCTCCAAGGCCTCTGTCCTGGATCATCCTCACAGACAGGCAACCCTTTGGCTGCCTTCCCAATCCGTGCTCACTCATGTGCGATCTTTTCGGATCACCCCTTGGGAAAAAAGCCTCTCCGAATCCTCCCTGAAGTCTCCTTCCTTGCTCTTCCAGCTCAGCTTCTCCCTGGAGCAGATCCTTGGTCCCATTTCTGGTCACAAAGTTCTCTTCTGTCGGGAGAAAAGGGAAAAAAAGTGTTCAGGGCATCTGGTGTTGCATGCAGGGGTGGGCAACAGTGCAAGGGCAATTCATTCATTCAACAACCTCCCTCCACAGGCTAAAATACCTCTTTTTTTGAGTCCCTCTCAACATGACAACTGGAAGTGATATTGCATCGCTTCCACTTGCCATTTTGAAAGCAACTCTAATAAAAAAGAGAAATAAGTTCTGAACATGTGTTCTGCATGTTTGGTGTGCTCTCTATAAGCTGACAGTATTTTTAAATGAGGGTCAGGGGATTTGGAGATATTTGAAATGGGCTTTAGGATTTCAGGTATTCCTATGCAAGAACAGGAGAACTTAAAATTAGGTCATAAATTCAGTATATTAAACAACTGAGATGTTGGGCAATTTTGATTATGCACACAGATGTCCCAGTGTGATTTCTTTTAGTGCTTTTGAATTAACTTGTGTGTTTCATACCTGTGAATTAAAGTGTTCTGAAAGTTTATTGGAAAACTTGGGTCCCTTTCTCACCTTTCACACTTTACTTCCTAAAGAAATCTTATTCAGTGACATATAACAAAATAAAAAAACTGGAGGAAATCTGAGTTCATTTCTGGGTTTGGAATGAAAAATTTCTATAAAGCAGGATTCATTTTAAAAATAATTTTAACATCCTTAATTTTGTAGGTCTGTGTAATCAGACCACTGAGATCCTTTTAGAATTTGGAGGAAGTTGGTCAGTGGCTAGTTATCTGTCAGCCAATGTTCGAAAAGGCTCTAAACAAAATATGACATCAGGGCAAGAAGAAAAACATATGGATTACCATATATACTTGAATATAAGCCAACCCAAATATAAGCAAAGGCACCTTATTTTACCACAAAAAACTGGGAAAACGTATTGACTCAAATATAAGACAAGGATGGGAAATGCAGCAGCTACTGGTAAATTTCAAAATAAAAATAGATACTAATAAAATTACATTAACAGAGGAATCCGTAGGTTAAATTTTTTTGAATATTTACATTAAACTGTAATTTAAGATAAGACTGTCCAACACTGATTAAACCATTATTCTAACCTTCTTCAATGTAAATGTGCTTATGTATCCTTCCAATAACAATAGAGTAAAATAATAAATGTAATAATAATATTAATAGAGTAAAATAATAAAAATGTAATAATAACAGTAATAATAGAGTAAGATAATAAATGTAATAATAATAATAGAGTAAAATAATAATAATATAATAACAGTAATAATAGAGTAAAATAATAAATGTAATAATATGAGTAAAATAATAAATGTAATAATAATAATAATAATAATAATAACAACAACAACAACAACAACAGAGTAAAATAATAAATAACTTTGACTCGAGTATAAGCTGAGGGGGCTTTTTCAGCCTTAAAAAAGGGCTGAAAAACTCGGCTTATACTTGAGTTTATATGGTAATCCTAAATCTTATATATGAGCGAACAGAGACTTAACTCTTACCTAAACAAAAGTAACATCCCTTAATAGAGACACCTTGTCCTTGCAATTACCTTGCAAACTGATACCTTCATTTTCAGCTTGTTTGGCTTCTCTGCGTGGATGTCGCTGTGCTGCCTCAGACAGAGGCTGATCTACAGTGGGAGAATTGACAATCACCATCTCAATTGGCACAATTACCTGAAACAAAATGTTGAAACAAGATCAAGACAGTTGAACCATAGTGGAAAAACTGTTATCATTTTGGAGCTCAGAACTGTTATTGTTTCAAGGACTGCCACTCTCAGTAAACACAAGCATTATGCCTAGGGGATTCTGGAAGCTAGAGTGCTCCAAAGGAACTTTCCCAATCACTGAGTTATATTTCAGAGACAGGATCTGTTTTCCCGCTTGAGTTTTCCATGTTTTGGACCATATGGAACTGGACTGAACACAGGATTTTCACATCCAGAGAATGACAAGGAAATCCATGCGACACACAAGGAAGAAGGTACAGTTATTTCTGCTACGGCTTGAGGATCCCTTATCCAAAATACTTGGGACTAGAAACATTTTGGATCTGGATTTTTTTTACTCGCATTTGCATGTTTTCGGGCTGCTAAGTTAGCAGAAGCTGGGGCTAACAGCGGGATCTCACCCTGTGCCTGGGATTTGAACCAGTTTCACCCACAGTTTCAGCCACAGGGGGCACACATATACGGTACATACATATGTATGCACCACACACATATATCCATATCCATATGGATCAGTGGTTCTCATCCTTCCTAATGCTGCGACCCCTTCATACCGTTCCTCATGTTGTGGTAACCTCCAACCATAAAATTATTTTCGGTACTACTTCATAACTGCAATTTTGCTACTGGTATGAATCATAATGTAAATATCTGATATGCAGGATATATTTTCATTCACAGGCCAAATTTGGCACAAATACTCGATACGCCCAAATTTGAATACTGGCGGGGTTGGGAGTGGGATTGATTTTGTAATTTGGGAGTTATTGTTGCTGGGATTTATAGTTCACCTACAAAGAGCATTCCGAACTCCAGCAATGATGGAATTGAATCGAGCTTGGAACACAGAACTCCCATGACCAAGAGAAAATACTGGAAGGGTTTGGTGGGCACTGACCTTGAGTTTTGGAGTTGTAGTTCATCTACATCCAGAGATCACTGTGGACTCAAACAATGATAGATCTGAACCAAACTAGGCACGAATATTCCATATGCCCAAATATGAAGACAGATGGAGTTTGGGGGAAAGAAACCTTGACATTTGGGAGTTGTCGTTACTGGGGTTTATAGTTCACCTACACTCAAAGAGCATTCTGAATCCCACCCTCCAACAATAGAATTGGGACAAACTTCCCACACAGAACCCCCATGACCAACAGAAAATACTGTGTTTTCGGATTATCTTTGGTGACCTCTCTGACACCCCCTTGCAGCCCTCCCAGGGGTCCCGACCCCTAGGTTGAGAAAGCCTAGGATGGAGAGGTTCCTCACCTGCTGGGCCCACCTCTCCGCCTCCTGCTGCCGCTGCAGGAACTCTTCCGCCAGGACCACAGCCCGGTCGCAGGTCTCAGGGCCGCGTTCCCGGATCCAGTCTTGCATGTCCTGTGGCAGGATGAAAAGGAACTGCTCCAGGATGAGCAAGTCCAGGATCTGCTCCTTGGTCTGGCTCTCCGGCTGCAACCACCGCCGGCAAAGTTCCTGCAGCTGCCGGCACGTTCCCCTTGGCCCCTTAGCCGCCTGGTAGGAGAAGTGCCGGAAGCCTTGGCGGTGCGACTCAGTGGTGAGAGAGTCATCCAGACGCAGAACGGCCACCTTGACCTTGCCGTGGTCCTCCTTGTCCTTGGCCTCTGGGCCAAAATAGGCCTGCCGGGCTTGACCGCCGAGGACGGGCATGAGCCGCGCCACCCACTCTTCTCTTGGGCGCTGTGTGGTGTCTGCCATCCGCTCGAAAGCAGCCAAGTAGGCCTCAGTGTTGGTCCCTTGACCCGCATGAGGCAACTGGAGGCCATCCCACTCCGTGGCGGTCACAGGAGGTGGCAACAACTCCAACACTCTGGGCCACTGACCATCCCAGCCCTGCAACGGCTCCTCGGGCAGCTCCTGCTTCACTTTGGAGAGCAAATCTGCGGTTCCTGATTGGATTACGAAGGGGGATTTTCCATCACCTTCTACGGCAGCGCCATCCCCTTGGCACTGAGCCTCCATTTTCACTTGAGCTTGCAACAGAAGGCCAGGGTCCGCCATTTTGTTCTGCTGGGCCGCCATCTTGTTTGCCTCCACTCTCTCACTGAAGAAAACCCTCTCAGGGCCTAAAATAGTCAATTCTAAGTTTATTTCAATACACCATATTTCGTCGACTCTACGTTTATTCAATATAACACAGTGTGTCAAGTCTACGTTTATTTCAAGATACCATATTTCTTCAATTCTAAATTTACTTCAATATATCACATTTCCTCAATGCTGAGTTGATTTCAATATACCACATTTTTTCCATTCTAAGTTTATTTCAATGCACCACATTTCTACAATTCTGTTTGTTTCAGTGTACCATATTTTTATCAATCCTAAATGTATTTCAATATGCTACACTTCTTGGATTCTAAGTTTATTTCAATTTACCATATTTCTTCAGTTCTAAATTTATCTCAATCTATATATATATATAAATGTTCTGTGTGTAATGAGTATCCTAAAAACAAAAGAACCAATGAATGAAACCACACCAAAATTTGGCAACAAAACATCTCACAACACAAGGAGTGACCATCACTCAAAAAATTATGATTTTGTCATTTGGGAGTTGTAGTTGCTGGGATTTCTAGTTCACCTACCATCAAAGAGCATTCTGAACTCCACCAACGATGGAATTGAAGCAAACTTGGCACACAGAACTCCCATGACCAACAGAAAATACTGGAAGGGTTTGGTGGGCAGTGTCCTTTGGTTTTTGGAGTTGTAGTTCACCTACATCCAGAGATCACTGTGCACTCAAACACTGATGGATCTGGACCAATCTCTACACAAATACTCAATATGCCCAAATGTGAACACTGGTGGCGTTTGAGGAAAATAGAATCTTGACATTTKGGAGCTGTAGTTGCTGGGATTTATAGTTCACCTACAATCACTGAGCATTCTGAACCCCACCAATGATAGAATTGGGTCAAACCTCCCACACAGAACCCCCATGTGGGCCACAGCAACGCGTGGYAAAGGATGGCTAGTATACCATATTTCTTCAGTCTTAAGTTTATTTCAGTATGCCATATTTCTTCAATCCTATTTCAATTTACCACATTGTTTCAATCCTAAATTTATTTCAATGTACCATATTTCTTCAATTCTAAGATGCCACTGACTGCAAGACAGACATTAATTTCAGTACCACCAATGCACCCCATTTTAGAGATGTTTACGTGGGGCTTAAAGCRCGTCAGAATAGAAAAAATACCRTATTTTAATATTTTTAATGTTTACTGTTCTAGTGTATACCGCAGGGGTCCTCAAACTTTTTGAACAGAGGGCCAGGTCACAGTCCCTAAAACTGTTGGAGGGCTGGATTATAATGTGAAAAAAGCATGAATGAATTCCTATGCACACTGCACATATCTTRTTTGTAGTGCAAAAAACACTTAAAAACAATAAAATGAAGAACAATTCTAACAAATATAACTTATTAGTATTTCAATGGGAAGTGTGGGGCTGCTTTTGGCTGATGAGATAGGATTCTTGTTGTTGTTGTTGTTGGCTTTCAAGTCATTTCAGACTTAGGTTGACCCTGAGCAAGGGCCAGATAAATGACCTTGGAGGGTCATATTCGGCCCTTGGGCCTTAGTTTGAGGACAATTGTTTAATTATTATCATTATTATTATTATGGATTCCTGGGGTATTATGATTATGATTATATTTATATTTATGGAATCTTGGGTTTATATTATTATTATTATTAAATTCTGGGGCTGATATTATTATTATTATTATTATTATTATTATTATTATTATTGAATCCTGGGGTTGTATTATTATTATTATTATTATTATTATTATTATTTACAGAATCCTGGTGTTGCATTACTATTATTATTATTATTATTAAATCCGGGGATTCTTTTTTTTTAAAAAATATTATTATTGTGTTGTTGTGAGCTTTTTGAGCTGTATGGCCATGTTCCAGGAGCATTCTCTCCTGACATTTCACCCACATCTATGGCAGGCATCCTTAGAAGTTGTGAAATCTGTTGGAAATTGGCCATCTTGATTAGCGTTGATGGCCTTGCAGCTTCAAAGCCTGGCTGCTTCCTTTGTTGGGAGGTGTTATTATTATTATTATTATTATTACATTGGTTTACATTTTGTTTGTGGGATTATTTGGGGTGCTGATTCAGGAAACTGAATTGGATAGACTGCATCGGGGAATCCTTTGTTGGGAGATGTTATTATTATTATTATTATTATTATTATTATTATTATTATTATATTGGTTTTCAGGTCTGTTTGTGGGATTATTTGGGGTGCTGATTCAGAAAACTGAATTGGATAGACTGCATTGGGCAATCCTTTGTTGGGAGATGTTATTATTATTATTATTATTATTATTATTATTATATTGGTTTTCAGGTCTGTTTATGGGATTATTTGGGGTGCTGATTCAGAAAACCACACTGGATAGACTGCATCTAGTCTCTTAGATTGGGTTATCATGATTTTTTTTTATGGTAAGCAGATGGCAACTGATAGATAGCACATGTCTCAAAAACTAGAGCAGATAGATTGTTTTAATTGTTTGATTTGCTTGATTGTATTGTTATGTTGTATTGTTGTGGCCTCGGACTGTTGTAAGCCGCATCGAATCCTCTGGGAGATGCTCTGGGGGTACAAATAAAGTTTAATAATAATAATAATAATAATAATAGGGGGAAACTGGTGCCATTTTTTGATTTAGCAGATCAAAGATTCCCAGAAACAGGTCTAACATTTGAAGCACTAAAATCTGTGTTATTGTTGTTGATGATGATGGTGATTATTGTTATTATTATTATTTACACCTCACTTTTGTCCCTTGATGGAGACACAAAGTGTTCGTAGCCTGCAGTGCTCTCCTCCAGATACCTGCCATTTTTGGCAACCCATTTAACCGCTGGAAGGATCCTATGAAAAAAGAAGGGGTCTGTAATTTATCCAGATGCAACACTTAAGCAAAACTAGCTTTATACAAGTACCATTTCTGAAATGACAGCTGGAGTATCTATATACTATCAGTTCATTGGGTTGCTGTGAGTTTTCCGCACTGTATGGCCATGTCCCAGAAACATTCTCTATCAGCTCCTTTGTTGTTATCTACTATTATGATAGAGAAGCATTATGGTGAAGTTATTTGAATGCTGAACTATGGGTGCATCTACAATGTGGAATTAATACAGTTTGATACCACTCTAACTGCCATGGCTCTGGAATCCTGAGAGTTTTACAAGAGCTTTAGTTTCCTCTGCCAAAGAGTGCTGCAGCCTCACCAAACTGAAAAACCCCAAGATTCCTCAACCTTGATCCATATTAATTAAAGCGGTATCGAACTGCGTTAATTCTGCAATGTAGATGCATCCTAGGACACAGAGCAATGGATTCAAATGTTTAGGGACACCTAAACATAAGGAAGAACTTCCCCTCCTGGCTGTTTTGAGCCCCTATCATCTTCCTCCCATCCCACCAGGACTCACCCTTTGCAGCTTCACTTCTTTTGCTGGAGGAAAAGGACATGCAACCTTCAAAAAGCACAGTTTTCTTGGGCGGAAAAGGGAAAGTCCAGCCGCATGTTGGGGACCTCCCTGGAGCCCTTCTGTAGCCTCTCTAGGACAACTAGCTTGCCGTTTTTGGATTTTTTAACTCATTGCTTCCCAAACTTTAGTCTTCTAGGTCTTTGGACTTCAACTCCCAGAGTCCCTATTCATTGGCTGAAGCAGCAGAGGCTTCTGGGAATTGAAGTCCAGAAGCCTGGATGACTCTGAGTTTGGGACAGTTGCAAGCTTGAAGATCTGCAGAAGACTCATTTGAAGTGTTTGATAACAACAACAACAAAAAGGAGGAATCTTGCACTTATTTATCTGGCTGTTTTTCAAGATAGCAATAGATCAGAATCGTCCTGTTTATTGCTTTGTAATATTTCTCTTCTGCTACACATGTATGTCAGTATATATGTAAATAAAATCTTAGAGCCATATATATATGGCACTAAGACTGATAAAGTAGTGTCAAACTGTATGACAGCTTTAAATTGACGATTGTTTTAATGTTTTATGATGTCTTATTCTGTTTTATTTACCCGTATATTCCGGCATATAAGACGACTGGGCATATAAGACGACCCCCAACTTTTCCAGTTAAAATATAGAGTTTGGGATATTTCGCCATATAAAACTACCCCTCTTCCAACGCACACCAAATAAATAATTTTAAAAGTATCAGATTTGATTTCAATATGGTAATTTTCCTAATACTGTACCTCCTTTTCTGCCTCTCASATCTCACACATGCGCACCTGCACTGCTTATTTATTTATTTATTTATTATTTGGTTTACTTTTACCCCGCCCTTCTCACCCCGAGGGGGACTCAGGGCGGCTTACATAACCAAGGCACAAKTCGATGCCCATAACATACAACAGTAATAAAACAAAATAGCATAAATTAGCCATCAACAATGATACATTACATCTATAACCGATAAAACCAATAAAAATTTCATACAAACCAATACAAACCAATTACTCCTTATTGCCGGTCCATGTTYGCTATCTCATAGTTCAAAGTTTCCATTCCGCTTTTATCAGACCTGTCTGGTTGTCCTTACCTAGTTAGCAGATTACCCGAAGGCCTGGTCCCACAACCACGTCTTTACCTTCCTCCTGAAGGACAGGAGAGATGTTGATGCCCTGATATCCCCCGGGAGTGAGTTCCACAGGTGAGGGGCCACCACTGAGAAGGCCCTGCTCCTCGTCCCCACCAGCCTCACTTGGGAAAGCGGTGGGGTTGAGACCAGGGCCCCTCAGATGATCTTAAATTCTGGGGTGGGACGTAGAGGGAGATACGTTCGGACAAATACACTGGACCGGAACCGTACAGGGTTTTGTAGGTCAAAACCAGCACCTTGAATTGGGCTCGGAACTGAACCGGCAGCCAGTGGAGCTGACACAGCAGAGGGTGGTGTGCTCTCTGTATGTCGCTCCAGTGAGCAGCCTGGCTGCCGCTCGCTGGACCAGTTGAAGTTTCCGAACGGTCTTCAAGGGCAACCCCATGTAGAGTGCGTTGCAGTAGTCTATTCGGGATGTAACACCGCTTCACTGCAGTCTTCAGGAATGAGATCTGAGAGGCAGAGGAGGAAGTATGGTAATAGGATACAAGAGCGGGCCAGACAGGTGTTTTTCTGGGCCCAGAGCCACTCTATCTCTTTTTCCCATGCCCCGGGCACCCCGGACGTTTGCAGCTTGCTCCGCCCTTCACTTACACCTGGTGAGGCGCCCCTTCACCTCACCATCGGGACCGCATTAAATCCACGAATCCTGATGAATGGTTTTTCTTCTACTGTACTTGTACAGCATCACCTTTAATGCTTTCTTACAGTCGCTGCATACAGCAGGGACACGTGCCATTTTTGAGCTTCCCCCACCATATGCGGCAACCACAGGTTCTCCAATCTGGATTGGAAGTTTCAGTACCCTCTCTATAAGACGACTCCTGGCGTATAAGACTACTCCAGCGTATAAGGATACTCCCGTGTATAAGATGACCCCGCGTATGACACCTGACTTTTGAGAAGATTTTCTTGGGTTAAAAAGTAGTCTTATACACCAGAATATATGGTAATATGTATATCTATGTTGTTGTTAGCCGTCCTGAGTCCCTCTGTGGAGGTCGAGATAGGATGGAATATAAATGTCCTAAATAAATAAATAAAGAACAGATACTATTGAATCGAATACACCCATTATGGCAGGGGTGTATTGGGCACACAGAGGACTCGGCGACTTGGAAGGCGCTGAACCGACTGCGCTCTGGCACCACAAGATGCAGAGCCAACCTTCAGAAATGGGGCTTCAAAGTGGAATTCTCGACATGCGAGTGTGGAGAAGAACAAACCACTGACCACCTGCTGCAATGCACCCTGAGCCCTGCCACATGCACAATGGAGGACCTTCTTGCAGCAACACCAGAAGCACTCCAAGTGGCCAGATACTGGTCAAAGGACATTTAATCAACTACCAAACTCACAAATTTTGTATTTTGTCTGTTTGTTTGTTTTGTTCTGTTAGAAATGTAATATAATTGGTGGTTGCCCTGACACGAGAAATAAAAATAAATAAATAAATGGCAGGGGTCCTCAAACTTTTTAAACAGAGGGCCAGGTCAGAGTCCCTAAAACTGTTGGAGGGGCGGATTATATTTTTTAAAAAAATGAATGAATTCCTATGCACATTGCACATCTTATTTGTAGTGGAAAAAAACAATACAATAATTTAAATGAAGAACAATTTTAACAAATATCAATTTATTAGTATTTCAATGGAAAGTGTGGGCCTACTTTTGGCTGATGAGATAGGATTGTTGTTGTTGTTGTGTGCTTTCAAGTCATTTCAGACTTAGGTTGACCCTGAGCGAGGGCCGGGTAAATGACCTTGGAGGGCCGCATCCGGCCCCCGGGCCTTAGTTTGAGGACCCCTGCATTATGGCATTAGATTGCATCACATGATAAGGGGATATATTTATTGGAGCATGCAAGAAATCAGTCAGTGTGCATGTTTCAACTGTAAAATAAGATGCAAGAAGCTGATTGGTCGGGCAATGCCCTCGGAGCAGGCTGAGCCTGGGACTTTTGGATACTGTTACATTTTTGTTCAGGCTCGAGCTATGCAAGTGCAGAAAGAGACAGTTTGAAGAGAGAAGTAGAGAGAGGCAGAGTTTGGAGTGTGCTCTTGCTTCATGAGCCGCTGGAGGAAGATTCTCTACGTGGACAAAGAAAGACAATTTTAAATCTCTCATAAAAGGACATTATGTGACTGGATGCAACAGATTACATGATTGTAAATATGGTGTTCTGAATTACAAAGAGTGAACTAATCTGCATGGCATATTTTCTTTCTCTGGCAAGACAGCGTGTGGACTGATCAAACGTGAACTATGTGGTTTATTTTACATTACGCCAACATATATATGGTAAGGTGAAATATAGGTATAAAATGTCTGTGTGTGTGTATGTATGTATATATATATGAGTGTATGGAGGGGATAATTATATATATCTACCCACTGTATATGTATTTCATAAGTTTTCATTTTATTGTCTGATGCAATCGAATGCCATAATATATGTCTTATGGTGCATCTATGCAGTGGAAATAATGCAGTTTGATACTACTTTTATTTACTTGACTCAATGGTATGGAATCCTGGGATTGTAGTTTGGTGGGATCCCAGCTCTCCTTGGCAAGGAAGGCTACAGACCATATGAAACTACAGCTCCTAGGACTCAATCACATCTAGCTATGGCAATTCAAGGGGTGTCAAACTAAAAGTTAAAAGGAATGTAGCAAGCAGGGCTGGAATTCATATTTTAAGCCTCTTCACATTGCCTTGAGTCCCACCTTGGGATAGGGTGGAGTATAAATAAAGTATTATTATTATTATTATTATTATTATTATTATTATTATTGGAGTTATAGCTGCATGAATCCACTTTAATGGCCATAACCTTTGGAATCTTGGGGTTTGTGGCTTGGTGAGGCACTAGAGTTTTCTGGGTTAGAAATCTAAATATATCCCCAAATGCAAACTCCAGAATTCTATAGGAAATTGTCTGTATTGGAATTCTATAGGAAATTGTCTGTATTGTCTGTATTTGTCTAGTATGAAAGAGCTTCTGCAAAGTGGATTTCAGGATAACAAATCCTTTTGAAGATGCTGGGTACCATTTAGACATAGAGTTATGGGGAAATAATTCCATGGAATAATGACTACTGACTATATTGACTGAAGGATTCTCAGATTTGTCTCTGAATAAGCAAATTTTCCAATCTTGTAGCCCCACAGTGGATGCTGACCCTGTTAATAGCAGATGGTTTGTAGGACATTATAGTACAATATATTACAAATATAAACACAACAATTCAGAGGTGCAATCCTAAACACCCTGGCCTGGCATTCAAGCCCATAGAACTTGGTGGGATTTACTCTTGAGTAAACGTACAGCGAACTGATCTTCAAATGTAGCAGAAGCCACCTTTGAACTAACATTAGCGTTTCTCTCCCAACCATATTTAACATTCCAGTGTAGGTGTAAATGTAATATTTGTCAATAATGGAACTAGGTGAGACAAGAATGACAGAAAATTGAATAAATACATCAAATAATTTATTCTTCTGTTTTCAAATCACATATATGGCTTTACAGTTCATTTGCACTTTTTAAAAAAATTCATTCACTTTTTTTCCAAACTCCCAAGAGTTTGATATAATATTTTATGCCTTTAGTTGCTTTGTGGCTCCTCTTTGGGTCAAGACAGTGGGGACCACGGCCTATACAGGGGAGTTTAAATCCTTCTCCCCACCATGGCCTATATCCGAACCAGAAAGATCTAAAGTTATTCAAAATGAGAAATAAAATTAAAAATTTAATGTATTTTAAAAAGCTATAATAAATATGAGAAAAAAGATAAATATTTTTTAATTGATGTCATATTTTATAAATACATATTTCTAGGTCACATTTAAAAATTCCAAATCCAATTTCTTGAAAATGGATGGGCTTTCCATGAAGGAACATGACACATATGTTTAAAATCTGGCCTTGAGCATCAACCTCTCCTCTCTAAATATACAATTCCTTATGTACAATAATTTATGGTAATCCTTCTGGTTTGATAATCTAAAAAGAAGTCTTACTCTATTCAGATGAACCTATAGCAACAGCACAAGTGGGAGGATGCAGAGCAAAGCGAGGTTGACTTGTGGCCCTTCACATGCTGGACTGCAACTTTTATCAGCTTGCTGCAAGCACTGTCAATGGTGGGGGAAGATAAGAGGTGAAGTCTAATAAATACATAGAAGGCAACATATTCCCTATCATTGCTAAAGAGGAACGGTCACTAGCAAAGGATTGGTTATCTAATTCACATTCATTACTTCAAAATATATCAGTCTGACAAGCTCTTTGATGTGACATAATTGACTTGAGAACTCCTTTTGTTTTCTCATAAATTCATGGAGTTGGAAAATACCACAGGGCCATCCTGCCGTGTAAAAATACACAATCAAAGCATTCCTGGCAGATGGCCATTCAGTTTGTTTAGAAACCTTCAGGGAAGGAGACTCCACCACACTCCAAGGCACAGTGTTTCAGTGCTGAATTATCATCATCTTTATTGATACCCACTAGTCCTGGAATGCTACAACCTTTAATGCCTTTTCCCTGCCATTTGGAAATGTCTTCTGTACTAGGCTTGTGGGAGTTATAGTTCAAGCTCCCACAATCCTATGCTGGGTGATTTGGATGGGAGTTGTAGGCCAAATGTTCTCTGTGACTTGTTCTAAGTGGCATCTTTGTTCTGTGGAAGCCTATTCTTGGGGGATGAGGAAACCAACGTTTTTGAGATTGAGGTGAGATTGTGCTGGTCCTGCTTGGCCTCTGTCTTTTTGAAGGAACCATCTTTTCCATTGGGCTGCGACATGCAATTCTTAGGGGGGCTTGGGACAAGCACCCTGGTGGGCTTTGTCTTGGGCTGGCCCCTGGCATCTGAATGCACCCGGCTGTGCTTTGTAAGGTGCGACATTTGACTGAATCTCTGCTTGCAAACAAGGCAGGCATAGGGCCTCTCCCCGGTGTGTGTGCGCTCATGCTGCACCAGGGTGGACCGGTCACTGAAGCTCTTCGGGCACACAGAGCAGGAATAGGGCCGCTCCCCGGTATGCACACGCTTGTGGATGGTGAGGTTGGACCGGTGGTAGAAGCATTTGTTGCAGACGGAGCACTGGAAGGGCTTCTTACCTGTGTGGATCTGCCTGTGCGTCCGCAGGTTGCAGCTCTGGGAGAAGGTTTTCCCGCACTCAGGGCACTTGTAGGGCCGCTCCCCGCTGTGTGTACGCTGGTGGATGTGGAGGTGGCTGGGGTGCCGGAAACATTTGCTGCACATGCTGCAGGCGTAGGGCTTCTCCCTCGTGTGCACATACTGGTGGTGGCGCAGGTCGGCCCTCTGCTTGAATGATCGCCCGCACTCCAAGCAGGTGAGGTCAGAGACAACAGTGGCACTAACGGGAGGGTGCCACGTGACACATGCAGTGGTGACTCTGTGGGGCTTCGCATTTTCATCTGGGGATGGTGCCTGCTGTGCCTCTTGTTGCCTTTGACTCTTCTTGCAAGGAGAAGTCTTCTCTGGCACCGGCAATTCCCCCTGCGATTCTTGGGGCTCTTCCTGAGTCTTAGATTTCTTCTTCATCTTGAAGTGCTTTTCTATCAGCACTGCTTGCTTCTTTGGTTTCGGTGGCCCGCTTTGCGATGGTGTTACTTTCTTTCGCTTGCGGGGCTTTGCAACATCTTCAGGTTCCTGATTGTGGGTTGAAACGGCATCATCACTTAGTTCCTGATTGTCAGGTGCTTCTCTTGGCAATGAGGGTGGAGACTGCTTTCTGTTGGAAGGAGGCCCCTCTGGGGTTGGTGGCCGTCGTTCCTTCTTTTGATGTTTTCTACCCTTTGGAGATGACATTCGCCTTTTTGTGGGTTGGGTCTTGACTGAGGGCACCTTTGTAGGGCTCAGAGAGATAGGCTGCATCTCGGGGCTGGAGGGCTCATTGCCAAACGACTGGACTTGGCCTGAGTGCTCTTGAGTTTTTTCTGCTGGTTTCTTCGCTTTCTTTGAAATGCCCTTCTTTTCCATACAATATTCTTTAGAAACTGGAAGTAGCAAATTTCCTGTAGCAGAAAGCAAGAAAAGAGGATGCAGATTTATCCGATGTTTAAAAAGAGAAATAACTCCTTCTGTTGGTCCCATACCCCTTCCCTTTCCTCACCTGTGAGTTCATTCTCTAAGAGATATCCTCTTTCGGCACCATCCTGAAAATCCAGTTTTCCTCCTTTCTTTATCTGAGCAATGAACTTGTGTTTCTCTCGAGGAAATCCTGTCAAAAGGGAAAGAAAGAAACATTTGTCACAAGTAGGGCTAGAAAATGCTTAAATGAAAGACTGTTACCCTCAGCATATTTACTTGACTTATTTAAGTAATAATAATAATAATAATAATAATAATAACAACTTTATTTTTATACCCTGCCTCTATCTCCCTGGAGGGACTCAGGACGGCTTACATGGGGATGAGCTCGAACAGACATGGTTAAAATATAACACACTAAAATATAAAAACAACACCATAAAACAGAATAAAACAACATTATAACAGAATATAAGAGCAACCATCAAACCAACTACCAATGAACCTGCAATAATAAACAATTTCTGGGCACAGGTGGGCAGTTTTAGCATTATTTCATCAGCTACATCTCATAAGTAAGGGACACTGAGAAAGCAGATCATCAAAAGTGCTAAAAAAAACTTGTTTTTTTCAGTCCTCTCACAGTTCTTAAGGGGGAAAGCCTTCTGCAATCCAGGGCTAAACTGGATGTGACAGTATTAATGCATTTAGCAAGGACTCTGCGGTGGTGCAATGGATTAAACCCTTGTGGTGGCAGGACTGCTAACCGACAGATTAGCAGTTCGAATCTGAGGAGAGCAGGTTGAACTCCCTCTGTGAGCTCCAGCTCCCCATGCAGGGACATGTGAGAAGCCTCCCACAAGAATGGTAAAACATCAAATATCCGGGCATCCCCTGGGCAACTTCCTTGCAGGTGGCCAATTCTCTCACACCAGAAGCAACTTGCAGTTTCTCAAGTTGCTCCTGACACGAAAAAAAATGCAGTTAACAGTTTCAAAGAGGGAAATAGTAGACTGGGTGTGGGGAGTGAGCCATATCAGTAAATCAGATCTCACATTATTCATTTTTAAGATCATTGTGGGGAGGGCAATAGATCAAGGGTGTATTATTAATATTGGGATTGATATTAGGATTATTGCATATCATGCACTTTCCCTAATAAAAAAATTTAAGAACACTTACAAATTATTTAAAACAATGAAGATTAAAACATTAAAAAAAACAGCAGTAATAAATATGTAGTACTATAAATATGTATGTGTGTGCTCCCATGGAAAAACAAAAGCGGCCCACCAAACAGGCCAATCCTCACCCAAAGAGGACACATTCTGAAAATTTTCCAGCATGGTGTCCTGATACAATGTTCGTTGCTTTTCCGATAATAAGGCCCACTCTGCATCAGAGAACTTCACAGAGACATCTTTGAATGATACTGGTGGCTTTTCAGGTTGGGAGAGAAGGAAAACAGTACAGTTAGAAATGGAACAAGAAAACAAAACAAAACTCAAACCAAAGTAATCTCCAAATGCACCGAAGGGAGAAACCTTCTTCTCAGACTTCCCCTGTTTAATAGCTCCCATCAGCCCACTTAGTCAAAATCTTGAAAAATTACTGTTTTGGACTTCAGCTAGCCATGACCCCTGGAAGAATCTAGAAGTTGTAGTTTTCTAAATCTTGCCTGTCAAACCTAAGCACACATCCCAATCAGGAGGAAAACAAGCATCATTCACACTCTACACCAATCCTGAAACAGTTTTACTTTGATAGTTTGTTTTTGCAAATTGTAATATGCTATTCACCAAAAATGTACAAAAATGGTTATGTTAAGAAGATATAGTACTCATGAAAACATATACAGCTTTTTTGGGGGTGGGTTCTGATAAAAATGAGCAACCCTGGTGTGGGAATGGGGAAAAGGAAACATAAACTTTAGAATTTTAAAAAACATGCAAAAAAGAAAGTGATTCATCTTTAACATGACAGAAGTAGAATACTATCCTGGAAAGCTGGCCAAATGAAACAGACAAATGACAGAGTCCCAAAATGTAGCAAAATGCAAATCTTGACTGAGTCAGTACTATTAAACTGGTCCTCATTTAACTCTTACTCATTCCATGAGAAAAAATGAACTAAGAAACACATTATCCAAGGAAAATTATGAATGAATGAATGAATGAATGAATGAATGAAATAACAGTCCTCAAGAGTTCTAAACACAAGGCTGATACTTACAGTATGTTGTGAATATATTATATCTCTGAAAAATAGCCAAGCAATATGAAAAGCCAGAAATCAAGGCTATTCTAGAAACTAGGTGGCTTCCTGCCTTCAGTACAGGTAGATATATTAGCAGGATGTAAATGAACTAAAACAAAATGTTCTATATTGAAATGTCTTTTTCCACACACATTCTTTACCCTTCTTACCTTCTTACCCAGTTGAAAACCTTCAGCAAGGTCCACTGCCTGGGCGCATGTTTCCGGACCGCATCGCCTGACCCAGCTTTGCATTTCTTGCGGCAGAATGTCCAGAAACTGCTCCAGAACGAGTTGCTCCAAGACCCGCTCTTTGCTGAGGTCCTTTAACCAGCGCCACGCAAGGGCCCGGAGCTTCCGGCATGCTTCTCTGGGCCCTTTAGATTTGTGGTAACGGTACTGCCTGAAACACCGCCATTGAATCTCTGGGGTGATTCCATGATGCTGCAAGATGCTGGCCTTCACCACGCTGTAGTCTCCAGCCACATCGCAGCAGGCCAGGAAAGCTTTGGGGCTTAGATGAGGCTTCAGATGGGCAACCCATTCTTCTTTGGGCCAATGATGGGCCTTGGCTGCCTGTTCAAAGCTCTCCAGGCAGGATTCAATATCATCTCCCAGTCGGAACTGAAGCATCCACATGTTTTCCAGGGAAAGAGACAAGCTTGACTCTGAGACACGTTCCTCCGATGCATCTTCGCCCTGAGAGCTGTGAACTTCTTTATTTCCTTCACTTCCATACCTCTGAACATGTGGCAAAGAATCAGCATCCAATGCTTCTAGGACTTGCTTCCAAGCATCCTCCCAGCAATGGGAGGGTCCAGGAGGTGGCTGCTGGGGCGCTATGTCATGGAGCAGATCCCCAATGGTTCCACATTGCACCAAGTTTGGCAGCTCAGCCAATTTGATAGAATTGTCTATCTCCTCAGTATTGGGCTCCATCTTGATCTGCCTGGCCAGAAGCAACCTGGTCTCCACATCACTGGCCATTTTCTTAAAGTCTTTCCAAACTTTGGATTCCACAGCGTATAAAGTCTCTTTCTTAGGAAGTCACCAGACTGAACTCAATCACTCCCTCTGTGTTCTAGAGCACTGTTTCTTGACCTGTGGCTCTCAACCCCAAATGGGGCTCCCTTGGCTCAATGTTCAAGTCCTGAAGAATTTGGCAACAGGAAAAGTTTTCTGAACATCACCTTGCAGCTGTTTTACACAAATCTGTGGCACAGTGTTTACAGTAGACTCTGCAGAAGATGCTTCAGCTATAGATCATAAAAAAGGAAAATCATCCTCTTTAGCAAGCCTTGCAAATGTTACTTTGTTATCAGTAAGTATTTGATTTTTATACTTATTTTATTTATATAGCTATATACCCAGGGTCATGTAAAAATTTATTGAGCTGGTGCAGTTTGGGGACAATGACAAATGATGATGGTAGTTTACCCACATCCTAATGCATTCTTTAATAAGACTATTCATAAAATCCAAAAACAAACAACGATTATTTCTAATAAATAGTACTACAAAATCCCTAACCCAGGCATCGCCAGGTACCTTAGCTAGTTAATATGTAATACTATAACACAATTGGCACACTAAAACTAATTCTGGGGGCTCAGGCTAGTGCTCTATGACTCTCTGATGCCTTAAGAGGATTTATCACTGTTTAAAAGTAGCTATTTTTCATTGACTACCATATTTTGCATCCCCTTCCCAGGGAGTTGCGAGAAGAGAACCCTACTTCTTTGCAGCAAGACTGGAAGTCTGTAGTTTTGGATTCTTTAGGATTCTGGAATACTTGTATTTGCATATGGATACATTATGAGATCTTTTGGAGATGACATCAGAGTTTAAGCATGGGATTTCATCGTAGTCAAAATAGACGTAATCTGAAGGGATTTTCACACAATAATTTTAATAATTTTGTGCCTGAAATAAAGTTTGTGTACATTGAGCCATCAGAAAACACTCTGCCACCCATGTGGAGAATTGTGGATTTTGGAATATTCCTGAATTTTGGAAAACAGATGCTTAACCTGTACTAGGTTTCATCAGGTGACCTTACTTAGTGAACGACCTGGACATCATGTAACAAATGTGTTTCTCTTAGGTTTTAGAACTATTTTCAGCTACAGAAGGAAATGTAGGTTGTATCCGTGATAAGGAAAAGCTATTATGCGTATCTTCCAGATTCCATCAGCAAATGGTCAGAACAGATAAAAAAATACCTGACCTCCTGGCCCAAAGAGAATTACAAAAAAGCTCGATACCAGAGCTTTCCAAACTGTGTGCCAGGACACACTAATGTGTCACTTGTAGTCCCTAGGTGTGATGTGTGAAAAATGCTCCCGTTCCCACAAACAAAGCCTGGTGTAGGTACAGTAGTTATAATTTTTATAATTTGCACAATTTGTTGATTGAGTTGTAGTAAATGCCACTAAGGAGCCCCCGGTGGTGCAGTGGGTTAAACCGCTGAGCTGCTGAACTTGCTGATCGAAAGATCGCAGGTTTGAATCCGGGGAGAGGCATGAGCTCCCACTGTTAGCCCCAGCTTCTGCCAACCTAGAAGTTCAAAAACATGCAAATGTGAGTAGATCAATGGGTATCGCTCCAGTGGGAAAGTAACGGCATTCCATGCAGTCATGCTGGCCACATGACCTTGGAGGTGTCTACGGACAACGCTGGCTCTTCAGCTTAAGATACTGAGATGAGCACCAACCCCCAGAGTCTGACACGACTGGACTTAATATCAGGCGAGAACCTTTAGCTAAATGCCATTAAAATGGGTAAATTTGTAATTAAGAAAAGAAAATTTGTTGACAATGATGTCTGTGATGAACTCCATGGAGCAGTTATAGAAGGAATTACACAAGGATCAACTGTGGTGCATAAGTATAAAAGGAAAAATTCCAGATCTTCTTTATATAGTAAATATTATATGAAACGTATATATTATACATTATTTAATATTAATATTGTATGAAACTCTTAAAAGAGGTTTGATTTAACCTCCGGTTTGCCAGTAAAATTAAATGACCATGTTGTGAAAGGATGCATGTCTGAAAAGCATGTCCCCAACATGAAAAGTCTGGAAAGCGCTGCCCTATATCCTGATTGGTGTTGAGTGCCAAGATCCTGCTTTGCTCGTGGGATGGGGATTATAGGGCTTTGCAAGTTCTAGTCCTGGGTCCATGTTGGTTGTGGAATTCTGGGGTTTGTCATTAAAGAAAAGTCATATATCGAGACTCTGCAAATGAATAATGTCTGGTTAGTGCTTTGATAAGGCGGCTTCCCCAGCCTTTGCCCTATTACGCAAGCCAAAAGGGAATAATACAAACTATCCATCTACACGACCTTTGAAGAAGCTGGGAGTGGCAACAGTCACAACAATAGCCATCTACAGCAGTGTTTCCCAACGTGGAGGTTGGGACCCGGGGGGGGGGGGGGGGGGTGTTGCAAGGGGTGTCAGAGGGGTCGCACAGAAGAGATTAATATACAAAGAGGAGTACGACAAGGTTGCCCTCTCTCCCCCCTTTTATTTATATTGGTGCTGGAAGTCTTATTAGAAGAAATAAGAAAGAACAAAGAATTAAAAGGTCTTAGAGTAAGATCAGAAGATTACAAAATGTTAGCTTTTGCAGACGACGTGGTCTGCATTATAGAAAACCCGGTAGAAATGGCATCAAAATGGATTACCAGAATTGAAGAATTTGGCAAATTGGCGGGGCTCAAGATTAATAAAAATAAGACAAAAATCCTCACAAAAAATGTTAAGGAAGAAAGAAGGGCAAAAATATTTTCGAACTCTGGAATTGAAGTGGTTAAAAAAATCAAATATCTAGGTATTATAATCTCATCCTCAAACTTACATTTATTCAAGGACAATTATGAGAAATTGTGGGACAGCATAAGGAAGAAATTCAATAATTGGAAATATTTAAACTTATCCATATTAGGGAAAATTTCAGCTATCAAAATGACGGTGCTACCCAAATTAATATTTTTGTTTCAAATGATACCAGTTATTAAATCAAATATATGCTTTAAAAAATGGAACAAAGAAATAGTAAAATTTATATGGGATGGGAGGAAAGCTAGGATAAAGATGAAGTACCTCACTGATGCAAAAAGTAGAGGAGGAATGGCTCTGCCAGATATACAGATTTATTATGAGGCTTGCGCGCTATCATGGGTCAAAATTTGGGCCACTTTAGAACAAAAAAAAATATTAACAATAGAAGGATACGACGCGAGACGAGGGTGGCACGCCGAAAACACAGTATTTTCTGTTTGTCATGAGGTTCTGTGTGGTAAGTTTGGCCCAATTTTATCCTTGGTGGGGTTCAGAATGGTCTTTGATTTTAGGTGAACTATAAATCCCAGCAACTACAATTCACAAATGTCAAGGTCTATTTCCCCCAAACTCCACCAGTGTTCACATTTGGGCATATTGAATATTTATATCAAGTTTGGTCCAGATCCATTATTGTTTGAGTCCACAGTGCTCTCTGAGTATAAGTGAACTACAACATCAATGCCCACCAAACCCTTCCGATATTTTTAGTTGGTCATGGGAGTTTTGTGTGCCAAGATTAGTTAAATCATTGGTGGAGTTCAGAATGCTCTTTGATTGCACTTAAATTTTCGATCCCAGCAGCTACAACTCCCAATTGACAAAATAAATCCTCAATCCCACCAGTATTCAAATTTGGGTGTATCGGGTATTTGTGCCAAATTTGGTCCAGTGAATGAAGATACATCCTACATATCAGATATTTACATTATGATTCATAACAGTAGCAAAATTACAGATATGAGTAGCAACGAAAATAATTGTATGGCTGGGAGTCACCACAACACGAGGAACTGAATTAAGGGGTCACGGCATTAGGAAGGTTGAGTAAGGTTGAGAAATCTCTGGATGTAGCTACTAGGGAAGTAATAAATATTTTAAGATACATCATAAGATAAATCTCTAATTTCAGGATTTCTATTATGCTTATGTATCTTGTCACGGGAGTTTATTTATTATTTATTTAGAACTTTTATATACCGGTCTTCTCACCTCCAACGAGGGACTCCGTTCTGTGTGTCGAGTTTGGTTCAATTCGTTGGTGGAGTTCAGAATGCTCTTTGATTGTAAGTGAGCTATAAATCCCAGCAACTACAACTCCCAAATGACAAAACCAATCCAACCCCACCAGTATTCTAATTTGGGTGTATTGGGTATTTGTGCCAAATTTGGTCCAGTGAATGAAAATGCATATCGGACACTGGTGGAGTTTGAGGAAAATAGACCTTGACATTTGGGAGTTGTAGTTGCTGGGATTTATATTTCACCTACAATCAAAGAGCATTCTGAATTCCAAGAATATCGGATAGTTACATTACGATTTATAACAGTAGCAAAATTACAGTTATGAAGTAGCAACGAAAAAAATTTATGGTTAGGGGTCGCCACAACATGAGGAATTGTATTGCAGGGTTGCGGCATTGGGAAGGTTGAGAAACATTGATCTACAAAGCGGATCTGAGCTTCCTGCTTTGGTCAATCAAACAATGTGTCAAAAGAGTTAAGACTTCAAAACCCCTGCTAAAATATATTGGTTAGTCTTACAAGCTGTCTCAAGACTTTCAGCTTTTTCCTTGTAGATAAACATAGAGCATTGAGCAATGATAATTCAAGAGCTGTCAAACTCAAGAGCTGTCAAATTAAAGTGGTCTTTAATTCTGTTTGTATTCTGACAGCTCGTTAAACTGTCAGATCTCTTCTGGGAAAGTATTCCATAGTCTATACTAGGCATGTGCAAACTTGGGCCCTCCAGGTGTTTTGGACTTCAACTCCCACAATTCCTAACAGCTGGCTGTTAGGAATTGTGGGAGTTGAAGTCCAAAACACCTGGAGGGCCCAAGTTTGCCCATACCTGGTGTAGATGCATCTTTAGTGTCTTTCCTAAATCTGGCCCACAAGTCTCCCATGGATCTTCCCTAAAATGAAGGGCAGAGATCCTGGGATCACTTGGGATCAACCCAGGCAGCCCCCCAGCCCTGATCTTACCTTCCTTTCCTCATCTGCCCCTTGGATTTCACTCCCTCCCTCTCCTTTCCCACAGTCCACTTCCTGAAGCAGGCAGATCCTGTTCTGCAACTGTTTCCAACGGCAGGTACCTGGAGGAGGCGGGCTTAAGCCCTCCAGAGGGCGCAGGCGATAAGCTGGTAGGGCTGTCACTCTGAAAGGCACAAGGGGACGAGTTTCCGTTGCCATCGCTCTGCCCTCCTCCCCGCATGTCATTACACTTTACGCATGCGCAGTTGGCTCACAAGTAGGAATAACTATTTTAAGATACATCATTAGAGAAATCTCCAATTCCAGCATTCCTGTTGTAGGGGCAATGATAGACCTATGTTTCTAGGTATAAACGGGAAGAGAAAGTACTTGTGTAAGATATATATTTTAATCTATTAATTAATTATTAAACTATATAAATAAAAATGTAATGTTTGTGAGATTAACAGAACTCAAAAACCAATGGGCCAATTGACACCAAATTTGGTCAGCATACACCTAACAACCCAATGTATGTACTTCACTCATTTTTTTTATTTTGTCATTTGGGAGTTGTTGCTGGGATTTATAGTTCACCTACGATCAAAGAGCATTTTGACCTCCACCAATTATGGCATTGAACCAAACGTGACATACAGGACTCCCATGACCAACAGAAAATACTAGCAGGGTTTGGTGGGCATTGACTTTGAACTTGGGAGCTGTAGTACACCTACATCCAGAGAACACTGTGGACTCAAACAATGATGGATCTGGACCAAATTTGGCACAAATATTCCATATGCCCAAATATGAACACCGATGGAGTTTGGGGGAAATAGACCTTGACAGTTGGGATTTGTAGTTACTGGGATTTATAGTTCACCTACAATCAAAGAGGATTCTGAATCCCACAAACAACAGGAATTGGGGCAAATTTCCCACACAGAACCCCCATGAACAACAGAAAATACTTAAGGCCATCCAGTCCAGCACCCTTCACCAGGGCAAGAAAATGCAATCGGAGCCCTCCTGACAAAGAGCCATCCAGTCATAGATATAGATAGATATGATTCACATGCACACACAGTATTATAAAAACAATTGGGCGAATTAACACCAAATTTTGACACAATACACCTATCAGGCCAACAAGTGACCATTACTCATAAAACACTGAAAAACACAGCAGAAGAGACTTTAAAAGCCAAGAAAAAATGTCAATACATGCGCAAAACCACATATATACCTATACATACACACACAAAACACATATACATGGATTGGGCCACAGCAACATGTGGCAGGGGATGGCTAGTCATCTACTATATCTCCAATATAACTTTTTAAAGAACAGTAAGATAAATTATTTGTAGACAACTAGGGTAAACTATGTCTATTTTGGGTTGGTGTAAGTTTTCCAGGCTGTATGGCTATGTTTCAAAAGCATTCTCTCTTGATGTTTCACCCACTTCTTTGGCAGGCTTTCTCAGAGGTTGTGAGATCGGTTGGAAACTAGGCAAGTGGGGTTTGTGGAATGTCCAGGGTGAAAGAAAGGACTCTTGTCTGCTTAAGGCAAGTGTGAATGTTGCAATTGGCCACCTTGATTAGCATTGAATGGCCTTGCAGTTTCAAAGCCTGGCTGGTTGCTGCCTGGGGATGCTTTGTTGGGAGGTGTTAGCTGGCCCTGATTGATTCTTGTCTGAAATTCCCCCTTTTTTTTAGTGTTGCTCTGTTTATTGTCGTGATTTTAGAGTTTTTTTTAATACTAGTAGCCAGATTTTGTTCATTTTCATGGTTTCTTCCTTTATGTTGAAATTGTCCACATGCTTGTGGATTTCAGTGGCTTCTCTGTGTAGTCTGGTGGTTGTTAGAGCGCTCCAGCAGTTCTGTGTTCTCAAATAATATGCTGTGCCCAGGTTGGTTCTATTCTTTTATATTTTAAAGCTTCAGACTCATGTCCAGTTTCAGCATTCCTTTCCTATATCTCCAATTTTAGTATTTTTAATATAATAATATTATATTTATCTCCCCAAAGGGGACTCAAAGCAACTTGCCATAAAAGCATTAGTATACAATTTAAAATATACACATACACAAACTTTGAAACAGAATCAAACACAAATAGCACTAAAAAAATCACAGTTAAAATCCATCAAAACATATTCAAAGTTAACTTTTATTGGAAGATATTTTAAAAATAATAACAAAATCAATAAAAGTACAAAGAAAAAAGAAATAGAAAATGACATCATGAGAACAGCTTCTGGTATCGCGGGAATTAAAGAGTAAACACTACAAAGCCCCGCCCCCGAATGGGCGGGGCTGCCGGGATGACGTCTGCGGAACTCTAGGACGCATGCGCCGTTGTGTGTAGGTAGGTTCTGGGCACCTCTGTGGAAGTTGGGGGTCTTTTCAATGCATTGCTGCATTTGATGGAAACCTAACCATTCCCAATTGGGACTCACCTCCTAGATGAATTATTTTTGTCAATGTTTTGATCATAACACAGGCCTGAGCATCTACATTGTAGAATTAATGCAGTTTAACACTACTTTATTTGGCATGGCTCAAAGCAATTGAATCCTGGGAGTTGTAGTTTTACAAGGACTTTAAACCTTCCCTGCCAAAGAGTGCTGCTGCCTCAGCCAAATACAACTTCCAGGATTCCATACCATTCCTCTGCCAATCTAGAGGTTTTTATTGATCGTCTCCCATCCAACTTTTAACCAAGGTGGACCCTACTTAGCTTCCAAGATCAGATGGGATCTGAGGCTTTTAGTCTACTTAGGTAGGTACAGGTTTCCCCTTGAAATTAAGTTCAGTCGTATACGACTCTGGGGGTTGGTGCACATCTCAATTTCAAAGCCAAAGAGCCGGCGTTGTCCGTAGATGCCTTCAAGGTCATGTGGCCAGCATGACTGCATGGATTGCCGTTACCTTCCTGCTAGAGCAGTACCTATTGATCTACTCACATTTGCATGTTTTTGAACTGCTAGGTTGGCAGAAGCTGGGGCTAACAGCGGGAGCTCACTCCACTCCCTGGATTTGAACTGCGGTTTAACTCATTGTGCTACCTGGGGCTCCTTTAGTCTACTTAGGCCCTATGTAGATGATTAAAAAAATTAGAAATGTGTATAAATAGATTATATTGTATGTTGTATATTGTCTTTCTAGAGCAGTGGTTCTCAACCTGGGGGTCGGGACCCCTACGGGGGGTCGCAAGGAGGTGTCAGAGGGGTCACCAAAGAACATCAGAAAACACAGTATTTTCGGTTGGTCATGGGTGTTCTGCATGGGCAGTTTGGTCCAATTCTATCATTGGTGTGGTTCAGAATGCTCTTTGATTGTAATTGAACTATAAATCCCAGCAACTACAACTCCCAATTGTCAATGTCTATTTTCCCGAAATGCCACCAGTGTTCACACTYGGGCATATTGAGTATCCGTGCCAAGTTTGGTCCAKATCCATCATTGTTTGAGTCCCCAGTGCTCTCTGGATGTAGGTGAACTACAATGCCAAAACTCAAGGTCAATGCCCATCATACYCTTCCAGTATTTTCTGTTGATCATGGGAGTTCTSTGTGCCAAGTTTGGTTCAATTCCATCATTGGTGAAGTTCAGAATGCTCTTCGATTGTAGGCAAACTATAAATGAAAACAACTACAACTCCCAAATGACATAATCAATCCCGTACCCAATCCGAGTAGTATTCAAATTTGGGTGTTTTGGGTATTTGTGCCAAATTTGGTCCAGTGAATGAAAATATATCCTGCATATTGGATCCTGCATTACAGTTCATAACAGTAGCAAAATTACTGTTATGAAGCAGCAATGAAAATAATGTTATGGTTGGGGGTCACCACAACATGAGAAAGTGTCACGGCATTAGGAAGGTTGAGAAATACTGTTCTAGAGATTTAACAGTAGACATTTCCTTCATGTTTTATTTCAATGTTAGCCCCAAGGAGGCTCCTCTTTGTCCCTCCTAGGCCATGTCGGTGGGCCTCTCTCTCACACGGGCGAATGTCTTATTCCGGCAACATCTTTTTACCTTCCTGGAGCACCCCAGTCGGCCCATCCACGCCTCCTGGGCTGCGTTCGCTGGACACAACAAATGGTCCAAGGTCAAGAATGTGAAAGGCCCAAAAGATCTGGCTCGGGCCCGCGTTTTCCAGAAGCTCACCATGATGATCCGACTGGCAGTCAAAGGTACAGTGGCAGCATTGGGATGGTGTCAAACTGTATTGCTTCTATACCAGGCATAGGCAAACTTGGGCCCTCCAGGTGTTTTGGACTTCAACTCCCACAATTCCTAATAGCCTACTGTTAGGTAGCATTTCTCAACCTGGGGTCAGGACGCCTGGGGGATCGCGAGGGGGGTTTCAGAGAGGTTACTGAAGACCATCAGAAAACAGATTTTCTATTGGTCATAGGGGTTGTGTGTGGGAAGTCTGGCCCAATTCTATTGTTGGTGGGGTTCAGAATGCTCTTTGATTGTAACTACAGCAACTACAACTTCCAAATGTCAAGGTCTGTTTTCCCCAAAGTCTACCAGTGTTCACATTTAGGCATATTGAGTATTTGTGCCAAGTTTGGACCAGATCCATCAGTGTTTGAGTCCACAGTGCTCTCTGGATGTAGGTGAACTACAACTCCAAAACTCAAGGTCAATGCCCTCCAAACCCTTCCATTATTTTCTGTTGGTCATGGGAGTTCTGTGTGCCAAGCTTGGTTCAATTCCATTGTTGACAGTGTTCAGAATTCTTTTTGATTGTAGGTTAACTATAAATCCCAGCGACGACAACTCCCAAATGACAAAATCAATACCTCAACCCCACCAGTACTCAAATTTGGGCGTATCAGGTATTTGTGCCAAATTTGGTCCAGCGAATGAAAATACATCCTGCATATCAGATATTTACATGACGATTAATAACACTAGCAAAATTACAGTTATGAAGTAGCAATAGAAATAATTTTATGGTTGGGGGTCACCATAACATGAGGAACTGTATTAAGGGATTGCGGCGTTATGAAGGTTGAGAACCACTGCTGTGAGGAATTATGGGAATTGAAGTCCAAAACATCTGGAGGACCCTCTGCCATGCAGGAACACACAACCAAAGCCATCCAAACAGTTGGCCATCCAGCCTCTGCTTAAAAAAACTCCAGAGAAGGAGGCTCTACCACACTCCCAGACATCCTGAGTCAATATGTGTGATTGTTAGTCACCTTCAGTGTGGAGAAAGGTCACATAGAAATAAAGATGATGTTGATGTTGATGATAATAACAATATGGTATTGTGGAAGGTCTATACTGACTAGCAGTGGTTTCCCAGTCTTTTCATACTATATACATGAATATGCCAGAGGATCAGATATGGGGCAGCACACATTCAACTACACAATATCCCAGAGTACTTGTAAGATATCAGCACAAACACAAAACAATCTATGCGTAATGTCAAAGTGTATTATCAAAAGAGCATATAGTATTCCATTTACCAAAATCCCCAGAACATAGCTCAATTCAGTGGTACACAGAAATCAAAAGGAGCAGCCGCTCTCAAACATAACAGTTCTAGGTCTGGATAAGGATTCCACTGTATATTGGCTTCAGGGATACATTCAATAAGAAAAGTCATATAAACAAAGTATGTATTGAGTCATGAGGCTATATGTAAACTGAAGACAATAAGGAGGATGAAGCGCCACTCTCAAAACAATCTTCATGGAAAAGATCCAACTAAAGTCCAGTGAAAATGGAGCACTGCTTCTCAAAATAAGTCTTCAAAGGAAAAGTCCAAATGGCATTCAACAGGGGTGCCCGGGTATTTTTGTAACCTGTTTCGGGGAAAACAATCCCCTTCCTCAGGAGTTGATAAAATCAACAACTCTAGACTCTTATATCATGCCATATAGCTTATACAAAAAGTGACTCTGCAGTGTCAACATCTTTGCCTGCAAGAACAGGAGAAAGAGGGTGTCTTGGCTACTCACTCCTACACCAGTGAGAGAAGCAGGTCAGAGAAGGAGGCTTTAAAACTGCTGTCTCCCAGCTGCTCTTTGCTTAACATCTTTGCCTACAAGAACAGGAGAAAGAAGGTGTCTTGGCTGCTCACTCCTACACCAGTGAGAGAAGCAGGTCAGAGAAGGAGGCTTTAAAACTGCTGTCTCCCAGCTGCTCTTTGCTTAACATCTTTGCCTACAAGAACAGGAGAAAGAAGGTGTCTTGGCTGCTCACTCCTACACCAGTGAGAGAAGCAGGTCAGAGAAGGAGGCTTTAAAACTGCTGTCTCCCAGCTGCTCTTTGCTTAACATCTTTGCCTGCAAGAACAGGATTAAGAGGGTTGTGTTGCTGCTCCTGTTGGGTGGCTGATCCGACTCCAGCATTTCATCTGGTGCTGCTACTGCTCCTGGCTCCAGCGTTGTGTTGCTGCTCCAAGTTATGTTGCTGCTCCTGTTGTGTGGCTGTGAAGTCGCCCTTTGGCCTATGTTGTTGCTCCCTGGAGAACTATTGTGTAGCTGCTTTTTGTGAACACACTGTGTAGAGCTACTCCTTTAGGCTCGGAGCAGCCTGCTTGATTTCTATCTGTGAAGCTGCTTTTCTGGTCTGTGAAGCTGTCTATTGATACCGATTTGTGAAGCGACCCCTAACTGTTGGGGCGGAGCAAGATGGCGGAGCAGCAACACTAATCCGCAGCAGCTCGGGAAAGAATTATCCATCTGCCGGAATCCTTACATCTGGGAGCCCCTAAAGCGATCCACACCAACAAAAACCCTACCTTAAGTAGGGCTGCCTTGACAGAAGCGACTAGGAAAGCCATAGAGGCCATTCTCTGGCCTTTAAAATTCTGGGCCTACCTCGCTGCGGAGCGAACTCGGCCTCCGCCACCGCCGCTGCCGATTGCCATCTTGCAGCGGTCGCGACGAGGACGGCAACTGGAGTACGACCGGGCTTGAGCTGGCCGAGGAAAACAGGCCGCGATACCACCGCTGGCGCTGCGACCACTGCTACGACCACCGCGGAGCGCCGCCGTACCGCCGCGTTGCTGTGCCGTGCAGGCAACGACTGGAAGGCAGACAGGCCTGGGCTGATTAGCGGAAAAGGGGGGCGCAGCGGGCTCGCCATCACCGTTCGGCCGTCGCCGGGAACGCAGGAGGCCTGTGAATTGGAACGTTGAGGCCATTGCGGATCGCAACCCCGCTACAGCTCATCCACGCCATTTCCGAGCGGCACTGGGTGACCAGGCTCGAGCTGTTAGCGGAGGGACGAGCTGCAGCAGCCTACCATCGCTGCTGCTGCCACTGCCACCTTGGCAAGCCGTCTTGTTGCGGGGCCATCCTGAGCAGCGGTCTGAAATAATTCGAGGCGCGGCCAGGTCCGGGTGGCCTCACCATCGCCACGACGGTCGCGGTCGGAGGAGAGGGCCCATCATCGCCTTCATCGCCGCTGCTGCTGACCCGATCGGGAAGAGGGAGAGGAGCTACCTCCATTGAAGGAAACATCATCGCGTAAGGGAAAAGGAGGACTCCCCTCCATTGAGTTATGCTGCTGAGCCCCTCTGCCATCTTGATTTACTACTTTATTTTATTTTTATTTTTATCTGATTGTTGTGTGAAAGGTTGTCCATCTATGACTCAGCGTTTTGCGGTCATCTCTAGAGAACTATACTGCCCTCTATGGTCAAGCCAAGTTGAGCAAGGCAACATCGTTCAACGCAGCCTAGGATCTGTGCTAGTAATTAGTGTTAAACAATTATTGTCTTCACCAGCCGGGCTGCCATCTTCCCGTGAACTGTATCATCTTCTTCAGAGGACGGTCAGGAAGAACCAGGGACTCGGCCAACGGACGCTGGCTTGTTCTCCACGGGTCCAGGGAGCTGGGCCCTTGGTTTGAACTTACTGTCCTGATTGAATGTTGATATCCAGAAGGCACTAATTTTGCACTTTAGATCTATCATAGCACTAAACCACTTTAAACCATTTTAAGCCAAGCACTTTCATTCTAGATGTATAAAAACCATTTAGCACTTTAATCCTGCACTTTAGGTCGCCTGGTTTTGTCAAAAGTCATTAACTGGTCCCAAACCACTAAGTTTGCTGCTGAGGTGTTGCCACTATAGCACTTTAAACAGACTGAGCCTCTAATTAACCTGTGATTTATACTGTGTTCTTCCAGTAATTTATTGATGTCATCATTTGTCACTTTTATTATTGCTGATATCCATCTTTGCCAGTGACGCACAAATGCACTTTACGATTTCCAGCAAACTGGAAGGAGTAGAAAGTAATGAGGGGAATGACCCGCAGGCTCAAGAGATATACAATTACAACAAGATCTGTCACTACACATCAACAACTGACTCTGTAGGTGAGGAGTATGGAGGAATTCCCCCCGGGGGGGTGGTTCTGCGGGTGAAGGGGCTGCCATAGGGGTGGTGACAGGTAGGGGGAGATACGGGAAAGGGAGAACGAATTATCCAATTCGACCCAAAATTTATAACAATGATCTGGCAAACCCAAAACGTATTAAGGACTCGAGACAAAAACAAATTCGGCCCAAAATTTACAATATTGGCAATCCCAAAGATTACTCATTCTACAACCATGCAAACGACTCGGCCTCGGTCGGCGGTGCTCGGGGCGGGGGGGGAGCGGGGAGTGCAAAAACGACTCGGAGGCGGGTAAACTCGGGCGGTCGGGGCGCGACACAGAGCGGGCCGGGGGGGTCTGGGGGGCGGTGCCGGGCGGGCGTAGTGCGGGGGGGCGGCGGGGAGGTTTCGGTCTGGGGGGGGTGACTCGGGTGCTCGGGGGGGGCGGGCGGTACCTTCGACGGCGCGACGGGGACGGCGTGTCGGTCGGGGGGGGGGGGACGCCGGCGGCGCGGGATCCGTGGGGAGGGCGGGCGGTCGGCCGCGGGCGGGGCGGGGGGGGGGGCGGGCGGACGGTCGGGGTTCGGCCTTCGGTCGGCGATGGTCGGCGGGGGGGCGGACGTGGGGGCGCGGGGCGCTCGGGGTCGTGCGCTTACTCGGGGGGGGCGTGTCGGGCGGGTGGATCACGGGCGGCTCGCGGCCGGGTGGCGGGGCGGCGTAGTTCGGGACGTCGGCTCGGGTCGGCCGGGGCGGGTCGGGCTCGGGGGGGGCGGCGTCGGTCGGGGGGGCGCCGGATCGGGGAGGGCGGGTCGGAGGGTCGGATCGCGGGCGGGCGCTCGGCGGACTTCGGTATCGGGAGGTTGGTCGGCGCGTACGGGGGGGGTCGGTGGGGACGGGGTGCGCGGCGGCGGGTCGTCGGGCTCGGCGGGGGACGGCGCGCGGGCGTGTGGCGGGGGAGAAGCGGGGCGGGGGACCGCGGGGGGCGGGGACGGGGGTCGGTACGGAGACGTATTCGCGGCTCGGGAATCGGGAGTCGGCGCGCCGGGGACTGGGAGGTCCGTCGGGAGAGTGTCGGCGCGACGGGCCGTCCATGCAAACGATTCGGCCTGAAAATGATAGGAACATATTGGCAACTTCTAAAAACCCTCCCGACAAGATACAGCTGAGGTGTCAGGATGGTGGTCCCTCTGGGTTAAGGGTGGTGCTGTTCAATGCCAGGTCGGTAAATGGAAAAACCTCCACCATTCGAGATCTAATTCAGGAGGAGCGAGCCGACCTGGCATGTATAACAGAGACCTGGCTGGACGAGGGGGGAGGGGTGAATCTCTCCCAACTGTGCCCGCCGGGTTACTCTGTGCAGCACCAGCCAAGACCTGGAGGGCGGGGAGGAGGAGTGGCAGTGGTCTATAAGGTTGTATTCCCCTGATCAGGTGCCCCATCCCACAATCATCATCATTTGAGTGTGCCGGCTTCAGGTTAGGTGACCGGGACAGGATAGGGATTCTGTTAGCGTACCGACCACCCCGCTGCACGACAGTCTCCTTACCTGAGCTAGCAGGAGTGGTCTCGGACATGGCGTTGAGCTCCCAGCGGCTTTTGGTCCTGGGAGATTTCAATGTTCATGCCGAGACCTCTCTTTCAGGAGCGGCTCAGGACTTCATGGCCGCCATGACAACCATGGGCCTGTCCCAATTAGTATCTGGTCCCACCCATACTGCCGGACACACACTGGATTTGGTCTTTACGCAGGGATGGGGGGACAGTGTCGGGGCGGAGGAGCTGACCATCGCTCCATTGTCATGGTCCGATCACTACCTGATTAGGTTTAGACTTACTGTTCCTCCCAACCTCCGCAGGGGTGGTGGACCCATTAGAATGGTCCGCCCCAGGAGACTTATGGATCCAAATGGTTTCCTGACGGCTCTTGGGGAGTTTCCCACCTCCTTGACTGGCGACCCTGTCGATGCCTTGGTCTCTCATTGGAACACCGAGATGACTAGGGCAATCGACACAATCGCTCCGGAACGCCCCCTCTCGAGTAACCGAGCTAACCCAGCCTCTTGGTTTACTGAGGAGCTGGCAGCAATGAAGCGAAAGAAGAGGTGGCTAGAGCGCGTGTGGCGCAGGAGTCCGACCAAATCAGCCCAAACACATCTGAATGCCTTTTTAAGGTCCTACGATGTGGCAATAGCGGCAGCACAAAAAACATCTTTTGCTGCCAATATTGCATCTGCGAAGAATCGTCCAGCTGAGCTCTTCCGAGTTGTCAGGGGTCTGTTAAACCCGCCGAAAAGCGAGATCCCTGACAGCTCTGGAGCTCGCTGTGAAGCGTTTGCTCGATTCTTCACAGATAAAATTGGGCGGATTCGGTCGGCTTTTGACACCACCTTACCTGCAGTCTCTGAGAATGTAACGAGAGCATCTGCTTGTCAGGTTTTATTGGATTCATTTCAATTGGTTCAGCTTGAGGATGTGGACAGGATCCTTGGAGAGGTGCGGACCCACCACATGCATCCTAGACCCCTGCCCATCCTGGCTGTTAAAAGAAGCCAGAGGGGGTTTGGCAGAGTGGGTGAAGGTGGTGGTTAATGCCTCCTTACAGGAGGGCAAGATTCCAGCGAGCTTAAAACAAGCTATCATCAAACCGCTGTTGAAAAAACCATCACTGGACCCCACTCAATTAGACAACTATCGGCCAGTTTCCAATCTCCCCTATTTGGGCAAAGTCCTGGAACGTGTGGTGGCACAACTCCAGGGATTTCTGGTAGACACTGATTATCTTGATCCGGCACAGTCTGGCTTTAGACCGGGACATGGAACGGAAACAGCCTTGGTCGCCTTGGTAGATGATCTTCGCAGGGAACTGGACAGGGGGAGTGTGTCCCTGTTAGTTCTGCTGGACCTCTCAGCGGCCTTCGATACCGTCGATCACGGTATCCTTCTGGGACGCCTCATAGACATGGGTCTTGGGGGTACTGCCTTGCAGTGGCTCCATTCATTTCTTGAGGGACGGTCCCAGAAGGTGTTACTGGGTGACACCTGTTCGGCCCCACAACCGTTGTTGTGTGGAGTCCCACAGGGTTCAATTCTGTCCCCAATGTTATTTAACATCTACATGAAGCCGCTGGGGGAGATCATTCGGAGTTTCGGATTGAGATGTTATCTCTACGCAGATGATGTCCAGATCTGTCACTCCTTTTCACCTGTCACCAAGGAGGCTGTGCAGACCTTGAATCGGTGTCTAGCTGCTGTGTCGGACTGGATGAGAGCTAACAAATTGAAATTGAATCCAGACAAGACAGAGGTCCTACTGGTCAGTCGTAAGGCCGAACAGGGTATAGGGTTACAGCCTGTGCTGGATGGGGTTACACTCCCCCTGAAGACGCAGGTTCGCAGCTTGAGAGTGATCCTGGACTCATCGCTGAGCCTGGAACCCCAGGTCTCAGCGGTGGCTGGGAGAGCTTTTGCACAACTAAAACTTGTGCACCAGTTGCGCCCGTACCTCGGGAAGTCTGATCTGGCCACGGTGGTCCACGCTCTTGTTACATCCCGAATAGACTACTGCAACGCTCTCTACGTGGGGTTGCCCTTGAAGACTGTTCGGAAACTTCAACTAGTCCAGCGAGCGGCAGCCAGATTGCTCACCGGAGCGACATACAGGGAGCATACCACCCCCCTGCTGTGCCAGCTCCACTGGCTGCCGATTCAGTTCCGAGCACAATTCAAGGTGCTGGTTTTGACCTACAAAACCCTATACGGTTCCGGTCCAGTGTATCTGTCCGAACGTATCTCCCTCTATGTCCCACCCGGAGTCTGAGATCATCTGGGGAGGCCCTGCTCTCGACCCCACCACTGTCACAAGTGAGGCTGGTGGGGACGAGGAGCAGGGCTTTCTCAGTGGTGGCCCCACACCTGTGGAACTCACTCCCAGGGGAGATTAGGGCATCATCATCCCTCCTCGCCTTCAGGAGGAGGGTGAAAACTTGGTTATGGGACCAGGCCTTTGGGCACTCTGGCAATTAAATCAGACAATCAGGCAAGTAAGACCAGCAGGATGGATGAATGGAACGAAAAACTAGATCTAGGTGTTAACAAACGCTGACCATGTAAGAGGAGAAACTGGGTTTGTATTTGGTTTTAATGATTTTATTGATTTTATGGTTATAATGCATGCATGTCAACTGTGAATTGTTGTAATTTTGTGTACGATTGTTTATGATGCAGGCATCAAATTGTGCCTTGTTTCTGTAAGCCGCCCTGAGTCCCCTTCGGGGTGAGAAGGGCGGGGTAAAAGAACCCCAAATAAATAAATAAATAAATAAATAAATAAATAAATAAATAAATAGAGTTGCTGACTTTATCAACTCCTGAGGAAGGGGATTGCTTTTCCCGAACCAGGGTACAAAAATACCCGGGCACCCCTGTTGAATGCCATTGGGACTTTTCCTTTGAAGACTTATTTTGAGAAGCAGTGCTCCATTTTCACTGGACTTTAGTTGGATCTTTTCCATGAAGATTGTTTTGAGAGTGGCGCTTCATCCTCCTTATTGTCTTCAGTTTACATATAGCCTCATGACTCAATACTTACTTTGTTTATATGACTTTTCTTATTGAATGTATCCCTGAAGCCAATATACAGTGGAATCCTTATCCAGACCTAGAACTGTTATGTTTGAGAGCGGCTGCTCCTTTTGATTTCTGTGTACCACTGAATTGAGCTATGTTCTGGGGATTTTGGTAAATGGAATACTATATGCTCTTTTGATAATACACTTTGACATTACGCATAGATTGTTTTGTGTTTGTGCTGGCAGCACACATTCAAAACAATTCTTTAGGATTCTGTCTCCTTAATATAAATTTTTGAAAGCAGTCATCATTATAAGCATCACAGAATTCTCAGCACATATTTTTCTCATTTTCCTTTACATCTAGTTTGCCTCGGCTTCATCTGTTGTCCCTAAGCTTAGCTTGAATTTTAGATTCTAAAGGGAACACTGTTGTTACATTCCTGCAATACCTATTGATGGTGTTCTCTAAGGTAGTGATGATGATGATAATATATTGTTTCTCTTTTCATATCTTTGGCAGAAGGAGGCCCCAACCCAGAACTGAACAGCAATCTAGCCAATGCTCTTGAGCAATGTCGGAACAAGAGCATGCCAAAATCTTCCATTGAAGCAGCAATCTCTGGTGGGGTATGTTCCTCAGATGTTTAGAGCTAGTAATAATAATAAACAAAACTTTATTTGTATTCTGCTCCCTGTCCCAATAGGTACATAGTACATAAATGTGGTTTACATAGTACATAAATGTGGTTATCATTGTTGCCTTTGTGAAAGAGATGATTTTTTAGAGAAGAGAGACTAACAAGGTCAAGAAAAGCATCTGTGCCCCTTCCATTGTTGTTAGGATACAACTCCCATCATTCTTCTAGTAGCTATCCCGATGAGAGCTTTATGGTTATTAATAGTCACATAACTTCTTGTGGGCGATATGGATTGTGCTGCTTCGTTTGCTGTTGGAAAAAATTGTTCTGTTGTGATTTGCTCCTCATCTTTGCATCCTCAATCCAGCAATGGTAGAATTACAAATGTGGCAATACTAATAGCACTGGCAAGCATACTCTGTGGTGTAGAATACATATACAAGTATACTTCAGTTAATGAATTAGATGTATTCTTGGGTAGAAGTAATGTGGAAATAATAGACATAGGTTCCTATTCCACATACAGAGATGTCTAATTTATGGCCTTCTAGATGTTTCAGGCTCAACTCCCAGAAGCCCAAGCCAGCTTGCTGAATGGCCAGGAATTCTGGGAGCTGAAGTCCAAAAGCACATGGAGGATCACTAGTTTGACACCACTGACATATAAAAAGGCAAACACTACTAACAGTATGCATGTGTAACATGAAATTTACCTGTCAGATGAGCTTTGCATAAGTCAACAAAAGCTGTTGAACTTTTAGAAGACTACTTCAGGATTTCTTCCAAAATATATTCAGATATGACTTTTTCTTTCACCTGCTTCTATGTTTGCATTATAGATCCATATCTAAACCTTTGTAAAAAAAGATATTGGAGATAGGTGGAGAGGCAGGCTGATATACTCCCTCTTTTCCATCTCTGTTTACTATTTATGTATGCTTAGTAAGTGATTCTGGAGTTATCTGCTATAGACCTTGCCTGTTGTAACCATGTACTCACAGCAGAATCCCACTTTTTTCTCAGCTCAAGCTTTAGTGCATTTCTCCATTCTTCCTTCACCATTTTCCCATTACAGATGCTCCTAAAAGCTTTTTAGATAGTCATAGGGTGAGAAGGAAAATGAAATGGGCCAATTGTAAAAAATGCTTCTTTGTCAGAAGCTTTGTTAACTGAGGAATGCATGTATTGTCTAAATTGGACAGCCCAGAGTAGACTTTCAGATGTGGCTGACTGATGATGATGAAGGTGAAGGTAAAGCTGATAATGATAGTAGTAGTAGTAGTAGTAATAATAATAATAATAATAATAATAATACATTCATTACTCGCCTCTCCTTGCAACTTGAGGCAGGTACAACATGGTTAAAACAAAGAGATAGAACACAACACTAGTAAAATACATAAAACTAGATACACGTAGATAAAATAAAAGTTAAAATCCACAAGTTAATTGACTGGGTAAACCTGGTGTAAGAGATAGGTCTTCAGTTGTGTCTCATATTCTGAAAGCTGGCACTCAGCATTCATTATCATTCACTGTTGTGGCTAGGACTGCTGGTATTTGTAGTCCAGTGACAGCAGGACAGCCATTCCATTTCCACCTTTTCTCTAAACAAACATTGAAATGTGATAAAGGCAGAGGTAAAAGCTACCCCTGACATTAAGTCTAGTCATGTCTTACTCTGGGGGGTGGTGCTCATCTCCATTTCTAAGCTGAAGAGCCAGCATTGTCCGTAGACACCTCCAAGGTCATGTGGCGAGCATGACTACATGGAGTGCTGTTACTTTCACCCAGAAGCAGAACCTATTGATCTACTCACATTTGCATGTTTTTAACTGCTGGGTTGGCAGAAGCTGGGCCTAGCAGCAGGAGCTCACCCTGCTTCCTGGATTCTAGCTGCCAACCTTTAGGTCAGCAAGTTCGGCAGCTCAGCAATTTAGCCCACTGCTCCACCAAGGGGCCTGGGATACGTGATATTGACTGTAAATAGAAATGACAAGATTTGCAGCTCTGGGATTGAGGAATTTTGTTTTGGGAGGAGGGAACCTAGAGGTACTTTGAACGGTCACCCATGGATTTGGTTTAAATGAACAGGGCTCCTAAATATAAAAGTTGTTCCTATTTTTCATTGTTTGGCTAGGACAAAGCCAAGTCCTCCTACCTGCTCTATGAAGTGCGAGGCCCTGGCGGCTCTTCCCTCCTTATTGAGATCCTGACGGACAATGCAAAGAGGTCTTCCAACGAAATACGCTATATTTTGAACCGACATGGGTGAGTGTGGTTTGCAACTTGGGCCAACAGCATCAGACAGATGCCTTTTAGGGTCCTTGTCCATTTTGTTGCCAAGTGTTAACAACTGTCAGGTGCTACAGAAAGGATTAATTTGTGTTAGGTTTTTGTTTTGTTTTTGCATCAGCTTGGCAGTTTGTGTCTGGTAAAAGATATGCAGGATGAAAACAAACTGGAGGAGTTTGCTCAACACAATTCTGCTTGCTCATGTGGGATGGAAGAGACAGGCCACACTTCTACAATTTCATATTTTGTGTGGTTTTACACTGTATAATACCTGTATAATACCTGAGAACCCATTGTCCATCAGCCTTAACTTGGAAAGCATTGGAAAGCATTCACATCAATTCAGGAATCTCATACATTCAGAAATGGGAAATATGGTCACTGTCCAGGAATAGTATGGAGAGAATTACAGTCAGCCCTTTACATTTGCTGGGGTTAAATGTGTAAAAGTGAAAAAAAAAACAGGAATGAAAAACTGCTATTATTTTACCCAAGGGTCTTTTCAGACAGGGCCTATATTCCAGGATCTGATCCCAGGTTTTCTGCTTTAAACTGGATTATACGAGTCTGCACTGCCAGTTAAACCAGGATAAACAGAAAACCTGGGATCAAATCCTGTCTGGAAGGGCCCTAAGAGAACACCTCTGTATGAATCTTTAGTTTTCCTAGTGATCCTGTGGTCAACATCTGACAGAAGCTGTTTAAAGGCCATTTAAGTGTATTTATTGTATTTTAATTCTGCTTTTTTTACCACACTGTTACCATTTGTTTTGTCTAACTTTGTATTGCACTTTTTAGACTTGTCTATTGTGGGATTGTTAGCTGCCTTGAGTCCCAACAAGGAGAAATGCAGGGTATAAATGATGATGATGATGATGATGATGATGATGATGTCACCAACAAGTGTGCTGCCAACATGAAATGTTTGGAAAGCTCTAATCTAGATATTCCTAGAGAGAAAATTGTAATCAAATCTGTACTAGTGAAACCTGCAAATGTGGAGTGCTGACTGTAGTTTTTTTCTGGACTCTGTTGATATGTGTGTGTGACTTCTTATCTGCTACATCGTCTCCCGCCAATAAAGCTTATGATATAGCACAAATGTATCTCGGTACTTTGTAGTAAACAAACTATTGGAAAGGCCTGAAACTACAGTAACTTTGTGAGATGAAACAGTCTAGTTTCCTCGTCACGGTAGAGAAAAATGCCACTTAAAATCTGGTTTCTGCCTCCTGCAGAATTCTGGAGTTTGTAGATTAGTGAGGAGCCTTTAACAGCCTCACTAAACTACAAACCCCAGAATTCTGCAGGAGGCAGAAACCAGATTTTAAGTGGATTTTTCTCTCTAGTGTGATGAAGTGGTTCGAGGGTTGCATTTAATATTTGAAATTGTTATCCAGTCAAGTAACTTGTCTGAGTTCTGAATTGGAATAAAAAAAAACAACCTCTAGGCCAGCCATTACTTAGTTTCATCCCAGGGCCTGATCATTTGGTTCTCTGCAGGGCCATCTTGGCTGATGGGGCTCGGCACAATTTTGAGAAGAAGGGAGTTGTGTCTGTGAAGCAGGAGGATCGATCCGGCAACCCAGTCAGTTTGGATCGGGCCCTTGAGTTGGCTATTGAAGCTGGAGCCGAAGATGTCCAGGAAGATGAAGATGAAGATGAGAAGACAACGTTAAAGGTGAGATGTGAGTTCAGTTCAAAATATGGGAAGGAGACGGACAGGGTGCAAACTAGTTTCTGCTGCTCTGGAGACTAGGACACAAAGCAATGGGTTCAAACTGCAGGAAACAAGATTCCACCTAAACACTGGAATACATTGCCAGGGAGTGTGACAAAATCTCCTCTAGAGGTTTGTAAGCAGAGGCCTTTGTGGTTTCTTCCAGCTCTAAGATTGTATGATTCTTGGGTTTTGATACTCCTTGTCATATTTTGACATATCTAAGATCAAATGTTACTTTCCTCTCCGGAGAGTGCTTCTTCCAAAGCAGCTTCCTTTTCATTCTCATGGCCTGCAAGACTATTCTTCGAGTTTGCAACAGGAATGCAGAATTCTACATCCTGAGCTTTGCATTAACCTTTGAAGTATGTTTGCAATGCTTCTGTAATCATGGTGGAGGGAAAAGGGGAGCAATACTCTCTGCAACTTGGTGGCCTCCAGATATATGACACTACAACTTTTGCTATCTCCAGATAATATACTGGGATTATTATCTGCAGCATCTGGAAGATGCTCGGTTAAGGAAGGCTGCCCCTTTGGACATTGATATTTCATATACCAATAAATTATTTGTAATTTAAGCAGAAATATATACAACCTCCTCAGTATCCTCATCTGATTTGGCAATATTTAATTGGCTACTTGTGAGATAATACACGGTGTAACAGTTTGAGACCTGGATCAGTGTTGAATCCCTGCTCAGCATAGAAACACACAGGGCGGCTTTCAAATAGTCATACTCTCTCAGCCACAGAGAAAAACAATGGCACACTTCCTCTGATTAAACCCTGTCAAGAGAACCTATGAGCTGGAGTTGACTTAAGTCACAGTAACAACATTGATTGCAGAATCTAAGGCTCCCATTCAGAATTTAGTTATATTGGACACAGAAAAAAAAAGTCTTAGTCCAGTGGTTCTCAACCTGTGGGTTCCTAGGTGTTTTGGCCTACAACTCCCAGAAATCCCAGCCAGTTTACCAGCTGTTAGGATTTCTGGGAGTTGAAGGCAGGACATCTGGGGACCCACAGTTGAGAACCACTGCCTGAGCCAGTGGTCCCCAAACTTTGGTCTTCCAGGTGTTTTAGATTTCAACTCCCAGAGTTCATGGCTCTTGGTTAAGTCAGCTAGGGCTTATGAGAGTAGAAATTCAAGTCAGAATTTGGGAATTACTGCTTTCACCTTATATTTAAAAATGAAGGAGACACTTTTGTTTTTACCTGCAAGATTATCCTCGTATTCTGTACATGCTCACGGCCTTCCATTATTATAGATTTTTTGGTTCTCAAGCCTCTGCCAATGTTTTAGCTCCCTTTATGTACCCAAGTTCTTTTTCTCTCATTTTGTACCGATGCTGGGAATCTTAACGCTCATTTTTGGAGGGGAGACTTCAGCATTTATGTTCAAAGCTCTGAAAGATTTTGCTGGCTGACTTGTCTTCTTTGCCTGCTCTCTTTCCCTCCAGTTTATCTGTGCGGTGCCCACTTTACGCCAGGTCCGTGAAAAACTAGAGTCACTGGGCCTTTCCTCGCTCTCTGCCAGTGTGGACTTTATCCCAACTATCAGCGCCCAGCTTTCAGATGAAGAAATGGAACGGGCATCACAGCTCCTAGAGGCACTTAAGGATCATATGGACGTTGTGCAAATTTATGACAACATTGCCTAGATTTACAAGACTCTCTGTGTAGGAACTTGTCTCCTCTGAATGGATGCTGCCAAAGATTTTGCAGCAGGGTCTTTTTCTTTGACTTTTTAAGTGAGGGACAAGCATGGGACGCGTTTTCTAATTAATTCAGATTGCCAGCCATGGGTGAAGGTTACTTTATTTGACCTGTCATTTCCTACTAGGCTCCCTCACAGTTCCTTACAAGAAGAAATGACCACTTGGTCTGTAGATAGAATGAAATGGTTTGTGAATCAAATGCAGATGCTGGGAAAACATTGTAGAAAGAGCTTGGAGTCTAACCATTTTGTACACTAGCAAATGCCAGAGTGTGTTTACCAAGAAGACCTAAAATAGATTGGTGAAGTGCAGCCATGGGCTACATCCAGCTTCACACACCTGTTTTGTGTCCACCGGGACCTCTCTGTCTGAAACAAAAAATGAAGAGGAAATGATTCCTGCTCACCTTCTGTTCTTAAAAAAGGCCTCTTACCTAAAACATGACAAAAATGTTCCCATGTGCACTAAAAAGAATTTGGGGGCAATTTAGTGGTGGGATACGGGCCTCCAAGGTCTTTTGGGATGCAAATGTTCCTCCTTAAGCTTTCCAGTTACTTATCTTGGCCTAAAATCGGAACTTGGGAATGTTACCTTTTGGACAGCATCTTCCAGAATCCCCCACTCAGCATAGCCATGTGGGCTGGGAATTATAGTCAGACAGAAAGGTGATTTTCCTAGTTCTGTTGCATATCCCATCCCTCTGGTGAAGCTGCAGTACTATCTGGTGGAATAAAATCTCTGCCACATGCCAGTGATCTTTCTGATTCTTGCTGGTCTAAGAATGTGTGCTGTCCCTTAGGTGCTCTGACCATTGAATGTCTTGCCACCTGCTTTGGAAACCAAACAGGCCAGCAATCTTGTTTGTCTTCTTTCCAAGGATATGGAAGATTGCTCAGTTTTTTTGTGTGTGTCAGGAGCGACTTGAGAAACTGCAAGTCGCTTCTGGTGTGAGAGAATTGGCAGTCTGCAAGGACGTAGCCCAGGGGACGCTTGGATGTTTTTGATGTTTTACCATCCTTGTGGAAGACTTCTCTCATGTCCTCGCTTGGGGAGCTGGAGGTGGCAGAGGGAGGTCATCCGCGCTCTCCCCGCATTCGAACCACCGACCTGTCGGTTTTCAGTCCTGCCGGCACAAGGGTTTAACCCATTGCTCCTGCTCAATAAGATGATTTTCAAAGCTTTTATTATAAAAAGACTCCACTGACAATTCTCATGCACAAGTCTATTAACAACGTAAAGTATTAAAACATTTAATTTTGACATTCGGTTGTTTAGTCATTACCAACTTTTGTGTAAAACCACCTTTTTGCCCCATAAGATAATTGTAGTCCAAAGGAGAAATATTTCCAACTCCTATAATAATGATAGTGAGAAGAAGGAGCCTGCTCACTGGCTGATTCTTTGCCAGACAAGCAAAGAGGCAACAATGAAGATGAAGATGAGGCACATCAGCAGCTTGTGACAATAGCAGTGAGAAAGCAGGCTGGACAGTGGAAGAGGTCTAGGGAAAATGACACTGCTCAATATCTTAACAAAAACTCAGAACTAGCCCTATTGTATAGGGACCCATTTAAAAGGAGAATTTTACTCTGGTATTAGGCAAAAATCAACAACAAAAGTTAAACTGATAAAATATTCATGCAAAGTACTAATTTCAAGAGTCTGTGTGAAAGATTTGTGTAGATCCTTTCCTGATCTACATACGAATTGATGGCTCAGAAGAATACAAGAGATAACTTCACATGAAATTTAGAAATACAAGAGGATGGTCCAAGCACTTTTATGTGATCAGTTCAATACAAACAATGAAGGGATGGTCACCTTCTTTCTACTCCAGATGTTGTTGGATTATGGTTTCCATCAGTCCTAGTCTGTGGTAAAGGATGTCTGGGGCAGCAGTTCAAACAATATGAAAAGGGCAAGCAACAGGAAAACTTGCAATGGTATATATAAGGGAACATATTCTGCCTGGAGTAGATCTTTACTTCGTAGTTTGATGTCACTTTAACTGTCTTACATAATCCTGGGGTTTCTACTGTACACTTGGAGCTTTTTAGCACAAAATTTTTGATCCCTCACCAAACTACTAATACCAAGATTCCATAAAACTGAGCCATGACAGTTAAACATTATTCCACACTGTTGGTCTTCAAATGAAGTTCTACATGGGTATGTGGCTGATCCAAATCAGTCAGTGTCACTTTCTGGGCTCTGGGGAATAGGGGACCCTCCTGAAGCACCACATGGCAGGAACAGTTCTGCATAACCGTTGCCACTGGGTGGAGAAGGGGTGGCAGCAGGGAAGTCCAGACCTACTGGACCTGCCAGGCCTTGGTTTTGGAATGCCTCAAAGTCCGTTCCAGGATTTCCTGAAGGCAACCCCTCAGGAGGGGCTCCGTCTGCAGGACGGCATACTTCGAAGCGTAACCAGCGGTATCCAGTGCACTTCCGTGCTCCAGGGCAGCTCTGGATGAGATGCTGAATGGCTGGGTGGGAGAGCCCAAAGAACTCCGCACCGGATGGATCTAGTTGGGCAGCACCCACAGCCTCAAGAAGTTGAGCATGGCAGGAGTCCGGGGTGGAGCCAGTGACTACACAGCCGGGCTCGTCTTCAGGGGCTATCTCGAAGAGTGGGCCGGAACCACCGTCCTTGATCTGGCAAGTGTACAGGCAGCGGTGAACAGGTCGACGTGTACTGGCAAAGATCCTAGTGCTGCAGTACCCCACAGGGTAGATGGCACTTTCTGTATGGAAACCAGGACGGTCAGAGACAATCTCACCCAAGCTGTAGACTGTCAGTGGGCCCAATGTGATAGGAAACACTGGCCGGCCGGAAGGATCCAAGGGAAGTGGTGGAACCAGCCTGCGAATGCCAAGCTCGGATGCCACCCTGCGCTTTGATGCCCGCCCGTTCTCTTTGCCTTTGCGTTCCCGGCGCGGTTTGCGGACAACCAGCTCCTCTGGCGAGGGCTGCGAAACGGCAGCGATGGTCGGCACAGGAGGCTCTTCTTCTGCCAGGGCTTGTGCCTGCAGCAGGCGAGCCAACAGGAACCGGCGTTCTTCACGCACACGGAGGTATTTGGCTTCCAGTCTGGCAATCTCATCACACAGGGCTGCATTCTCATAAACCAGCACTTTGGCTGCACGACAGAGACGTCGGAACTTTAGGCGGTAACGCTCGCCTTGGTTTTTCCGCAGGGTTTTTTTCATTATAAGAAGACTAATGGAACTGGCTGGAGAATCTAGGAAGGAGAAATATATCCAACGAGTGGATACTTAGTTTGGGTTTGTTTGTTTAAATATTTGTTTAAATCCTGTCCTCTAACACAGAGCTTCTTAAACTTTTTCCATCCATGACCCCTTTTCTATCTGAAAATGTTTTATCCAGGCATATTGGTATATAAAACAGTACAGCTGAATGACAGCTGTACTGTTTTATATACTTCTTCTGCAGTGTCCACTGTAAATGCTGCATGTTCAGAAACCTTTTACTGTTGACAATTTTTTCAGGGCCCCAACATTGAGCTAAGGGATCAAGGCCCACACTTTAAGAAGCTGTACTCTAACATAACATGTCGGGGAAGTATACAATTAAAACAATGCCAGAAAAAAAAACAATAGAATAATTTAAGTAAGATAAAAGCATGTTAAGAATTTTTTACATTCTCTTCATGCCAAAAAGTCTACCAGTTTAATATGACAGGAGTGTACCACAGCATTCTTCTCACCTTCTTTAGCAACTGCGTAACCTCCCAACATTTCAAAGATGAGCCGCCATATTCTGAGACAGTCTACCAGATGCTGGGGGCTGTCACAGAGAGGGTGAAGCAGGTTTGTTCACTGCTGCCTCTGAATGCAAGACTAGGTCTAATAGTTTTAAGTTACAGGAGGATAGATACTGATTGGACATTAGAAGGAACATCTTGGTGGTAAAAGCAGTTTGACAACTGAACCACTTAACTTGGGTGTGCATCTTAAAAAATAAGTTGGATAGCTACCCATTGGGGATACTTTGAATCCCATCTTGGAAGAAATGCAGAATATAAATTCAATCAATCAATCAATCACGTTTTACTGGCGATCCAGCACTGAGCTGGGGTATGGATTCAATGGCCTATGGAGATTTTTAAAAATTCTGTAACCTTGTGATGTCCACACTGATTGAGGATTCTGTATTTTCCCCAATTTTGCATGCTTTTCCAGGAGGAAAAGTGCAGGCTAATTTTTCTAGGAGACATACAGCTCTGGAAGCAGAATAGAAAGAGATTTTAGCTGAGAACCACACTAGGTTTTCAGGGAGGGAATTAACTGCTACAGTATATTTGTCAGGGAAGCAAACTATACCCACTGATGTTCTCACACCCTGCGTATGGGCTTCCTGACTGACCACTGCTAGATACAGAGTGGGCAAGATTGACTTTTTGTCCCAATCCATCTAGAATGAGTCTTCCTGCAACAAGACCTTGGATGTGGGGCCTTTTTGATGCCAAAAGGACTGTTAATCCCATCCATCCTAGGCACTATAGCTAGAAACCAGGACTGGTGGGATATATACTACTACAACCTACCTGAGTTACATTCCTGTTGTTATGTTTTTATCTCCACAAGAAAGACTCTGTTAAGAGGGCCATGGAATTTCCCCATCTAATACCACAGCACAACAACAATTTTTTTTCTTGTTGTCTTGATTTTTAGACCTATTCCTGGGGTTATTTGGGATGTTTATAAAGAAAATTGCATTGGATAGAGACTGCATCAGCTCCAGTTTCTTGGATATGGTTATCATGGTTTTTTATGAGCAAGCAGATGGCGATTGGTAGATCTGTATCTCAAAACCTAGAGCAGAGGAAGAGGAACTGGTGTCATTTTTGGAATCAGCATGTCAAATATGCCCAAAACCAGGGTTAACATTCGGGGCACCAAAATAAGTGTTGACCAGTGTAATAATATAGTTGTTGCTGACCTCTTCTCAAAGCTCTAGTCGGGGTTAAACCAAGTTAAAATACATAAATAAAGACAAGCCTAGCACTCTCTCTCTCTCTCACACACATACACACACACACACACATTAAAAGGCTATCATAAGATTAAAACACATTTTTGGAATCAGCATGTCAAATATGCCCAAAAACAGGGCTAACATTCGTGGCACATTCATTTGCACCAATGAAATGTAAGTTTGAATCCATAGGTTACAACTGATGGATTACCACATTCCCAAACTCTAGTTCTGCAAGTGTTTGAGACTGCAGTTCTCAGAAGCCTCAGCTGCCTTGGCCAATGCTACCCCTCTATTCTGCCTTGGTTAGACCACACCTGGAATATTGTGTCCAATTCTGGGCACCACAATTGAAGGGAGATATTGACAAGCTGGAATGTATCCAGAGGAGGGCGACTAAAATGATCAAGGGTCTGGAGAACAAGCCCTATGAGGAGTGGCTTAAAGAGCTGGGCATGTTTAGCCTGAAGAAGAGAAAGCTGAGAGGAGACACGATAGCCATGTATAAATATATGAGAGGAAGTCACAGGGAGGAGGGAGCAAGCTTGTTTTCTGCTGCCCTGGAAACTAGGATGCGGAGTAATAACTTCAAACTACAAGAAAGGAGATTCCATCTGAACATTAGGAAGAACTTCCTGTAAGAGCTGTTCAGGAGTGAAACTCTCTGCCCCGGAGTGTGGTAAAGGCTCCTTCTTTGGAAGCTTTTAAACAGAGGCTGGATGGCCATCTGTCGGGGATGCTTTGAATGCAATTTTCCTGTTTCATGGCAGGGAGTTGGACTGGATGGCCCATGAGGTCTCTTCCAACTCTTTGATTCTATGATTCTAAACAGCGGATGGATGGCCATCTGTCAGGGGTGATTTGAATGCAATTTTCCTGCTTCTTGGCAGGGGGTTGGACTGGATGGCCCATGAGGTCTCTTCCAACTCTTTGATTCTATGATTCTAAACAAAGGCTGGATGGCCATCTGTCAGGGGTGCTTTGAATGCAAATTTCCTGCTTCTTGGCAGGGGGTTGGACTGGATGGCCCATGAGGTCTCTTCCAACTTTATGATCCTAAATCAGGGTTAAACCGAGTTAAAATACATGGATAAAGACAAGCCTATCACACACACACACACATTAAAAGACTGGCATAAGATTAAAACACATTACAATAATTTGCACCAATGAAATGTAAGTTTGAATCCATAGGTGACAATTGATTGGATTACCACATCCCGAAATTCCAGTCTGCAAGTGTCTGGGACTGCAGTTCTCAGAACCTCAGTTGCCTTGGCCAATAGTCTGAGACTCTGGGAGCTGAAGCCCCCCAAACACCTGGAAGACCACTAGAATACACAACAGTATTCAGTTTCAATAGCTGCATTTAAGTAGTAATCTGAAAAAGAAGACAGTTTGAAGACACAGTTCTTCCACAGCCAGCCCCTTTCCCCACTTCTTTGCTGGTCCCATATTCACCCCTCCTTACCACAAAACTGATCCTCTTCCTCCCTTTTGCTTTCTAAGACAGTAAGCAGGAACCGGAAGTTGCCGTCCACCTTCAGGCTCCGGGCTACTACGTCATCTCTGCGAAATCCGTTCCTGTCTCAGACATCAGGGCTTTCGAAGAACCTGAAGCTGTCGAGGGCCCTTCCACACAGCCATATAACCCAGAAGATCAGAGCAGGAAATCCCACAATATCTGCTTTGAACTGGGGCACCTTCCACACAAATGAATAAAATCCCACATTTTCTGCTTTGGACTGGAATAAATGGCAGTGTAGACCCAGATAACACAATTCAAAGCAGACATTGTGGGATTTTCTGCCTTGATTTTCTGGATTATATGGCTATGTGGAAGGGATCTAGGTTATCTGAGTCCTCACTGCCATATATTCCAGTTCAAAGCAGAAAATGTGGGATTTTATTCAGCTGTGTGAAAGGGGTTAAGGCCCTTCCACCCAGCCCTATAACCCAGAATATCAAGGCAGAAAATCCCACAATATCTGCTTTGACCTGGGTTATCTGAGTCCACACTCAGATAATGTGGGATTTTCTGCCTTGATATTCTGGGATATAGAGCTGTGTKGAAGGCCTTGATCTAGACCCTGACTAGATCTTAAGCAGCTTCATCTTTAAATGCCTGTTTGAATTTTAAAAAAAAAAGGTTTTAGCCTGCTGAGCARTAGGAAAAGAGGASATCTGCTTTCTAGGTGGATGAGAAATTGACTCAATTAAGGAATAATAATAATAATAATAATGTATTGTCGAAGGCTTTCATGGCTGGAATCACTGGGTTGTTGTAGGTTTTTCGGGCTATATGGTCATRTTCTAGAAGAATTTTSTCCTGCCGTTTCGCCTGCATCTATGGCAGGCATCCTCAGAGGTTGTGGCGATGCCTGCCATAGATGCAGGGGAAACATTAGGAGATAATACTTCTAGAACATGGGCATATAACCCRAAAACTTACAACAACCCAATAATAATAATAATAATAATAATAATAATAATAATAATAATAATAATAATGTTGCAATCCCAGGTGACAGCAGGATTGAAGAGAAACAACTGGAAAATCTGACATGATATGAGGATTTTAAGATCGAACTGCAAAGACTTTGGCACAAGCTAGTAAAGGTGGTCCCGGTGGTGATTGGCACACTGCATGCATTATTCGCCGATACTTGGGAAGTGTCTGACGTGTTATCCAATGCAACAGCTGGCAGAGTGATCTTGTCTGAGTGGACTCATCTTGTTGTGTTTCAAATAATAATAATAATGTGCAATCCTAGGCGAAAGCAGGAAAAGCTGACATGAGGATTTTAAGATCGAACTGCAAAGACTTTGGCACAAGCCAGTAAAGGTGGTCCCAGTGGTGATCAGCACACTGGGTGCAGCGCCTAAAGACCTTGGCCTGCACTTAAACACAATTGGCGTTGACAAAATTACCATCTGCCAGCTGCAAAAGGCCACCTTACTGGGATCTGTACGCATTATTCGCCAATACATCACACAGTCCTAGACACTTGGGAAGTGTCCGACGTGTTATCCAATACAACCGCCAGCAGAGTGATCTTGTCTGCTGTGGACTCATCTTGTGTTTCAAATAAGAAGAAGCAGGAGGAGGAGGAGGAGGAGGAGGAGGAGGAGGAGGAGGATCTGGCATAAACCAGTACAGGTAGTCCCAATGGTAATCGGCACACTGGGTGCCATGCCAAAAGATCTCACCTGGCATTTGGAAACCATAAACATTGACAAAATCATGATCTGTCAACTGCAAAAGGCCACCTTACTTGGATATGCTTGCATCACTCGAAAATACATCACACAGTCATAAACGCTTGAGAAGTGTTCGATTTGTGATTTTGTGATACAAAATCCAGCATATATATCTTGTTTGCTGTGACATACTGTGTTTTTGTGTCAGTAAAATAGTAATAATAATAATAATTTGTCCTGACTTTGCAAGATGTGAGCCAAACTATTGAGAATGAGGCAACTTAGAAGTCTCTCATTCATAAGGTTACTATAAACTGAAGTTGAACAGAAATCCCACAGTTTAAACCCAAAAGGCCACTTTGGGTACTCTGCATATGTTCAGAGGCTACTTCTCCTGGACCTCCCATGCCTTGTCACTGAAAATATTTCAGAAGTACTAATAATAAAAAATAAACCACTTTGAGTCCACCCAGGTGAGAAAGGCGGTATATAAATACCATAAATAAATAAAACACACCATCATAAAACACATTCAATAGAATGCATATATCAAGACACGTTTTCTATAAAATGTACATATGCCAATAATTGAACAAAGATTAAAATACAACCGTCATAGAATGTTAAGTTAAAATGCATGGGTTAAATCTGACTGAGTGAATAGTTGATCTCAGATGATACATAAATTAGGCCTCTTCCACACAACTGTATAAAATCCACATTGAACTGGATTATATGGCAGTGTGGACTCAGATAATTCAGTTCATATTGTGGATTATCCGCCTTGATATTCTGGATTTTATGGCTGTGTGAAAGGGCCCTCTGTTGAGAAAACAAAAGGATCTGAAAGGTTGGAGAAGGGACAATTTATTTTTTTAATTTGCTATATTTATATCCCGCCCTTCTCAACCCTGAAGGGGACTCAGAGCGGCACACATAGAGGTACAACTTGATGCCATAAGTTACATACAATACATACCCAGCAAATAAAAACATATACATTAAAACATCTGCTAAAACCATATCAACATTAAAATTATTAAAATCACATAATCCAATATCCTAATCCACCATCGCTATTCTTTCCATCCTTCCTCACTTTCTTGCACTCAGACCAGTTCTAATAATATCAATTTATTTCCCTGTCCTTGTAATAGGAGCCCAGAGGACAGAACTATTTCTGACCAACAGTCATAATCTCAGCCAGAGGCTGCAAAGAAGGGCGAGCCAAGGTCATTTCAATGAAGTGTTAAAGGAGTCTTTGGGTGTATCTACACCAGGCGTTCATGGGGAAATTTTGTCTCTACAGCTGTTTTGGACTTCAACTTGTACAATTCTGAATTGTGAGAGTTGAAATCCAATACACCTGGAGAGCCAAACTTTGCCCATGTCTGCTCTACACTGAAGAATCAATGCAGCTTGACACCATTGTAATCGCTCCACGCTATGGAATCCTGGGAGCTGCAGCTTGGTGATGCCCCAGCACTCTTTGGGTTCTCCCATACTGCCATATAACCCAGAATATCAAGGCAGAATAACTAACCCATAATATCTGCTTTGAAGTGGGTTATCTGAGTCCACACTGCCATATAGCCCAGTTCAAAGCAGATAATATGGGATTTTATTCAGCTATATGCAAGGGGCCTTTGACAGAGGAAGCTATAGACCAGTGTTTCTCAACCTGGAGGGTTGGGATCCCTTGGAGGTTGCGAGGGAATTTCAGAGGGGTTGCCAAAGACCTTCAGAAAGCGCAGTATTTTTTGTTGGTCATGGGGGTTCTGTATGGGAAGTTTGGCCCAATTCTATTGTTGGTGGGGTTCAGAATGCTCTTTGATCGTAGGTGAACTATAAATCCCAGCAACTACAACTTCCAAATATCAAAGTCTATTTTATCCCCAACTCCACCAGTGTTCACATTTAGGCATATTGAGTATGTGTGCCAAGTTTTGCCCAGATCCTCATTATTTGAGTCCACGATGCTCTCTGGATGAAGGTGAACTACAACTCCAAAACTCAAAGTCACTGCCCACCAAACCCTTTCAGTTATTGTTTTGTTTTGTTTTTTGTCATGTCAGGAGCGACTTGAGAAACTGCCTTGAAAAAATACCGTTCCAGTATTTTCTGTTGGTCATGGGGGTTCTGTGTGGGAAGTTTGGCCCAATTCTATCACTGGTGGGGTTCAGAATGCTCTGATTGTAGGTGAACTATAAATCCCAGCAACAACAACTCACAAATGGCAAGATCTATTTTCCCCAAACTCCACCAGTGTTAACATTTGGGCATATTGAATATTCATACCAAGTTTGGTCCAGATCCATTATTGTGTGAGTCCACAGTGCTCTCTGAGTATAAGTGAACGACAACTCCAAAACTCAAGGTCAATGCCCACTGAACCCTTCCAGTATTTTCTGTTGGTCATGGGAGTTCTGTGTGCCAAGATTAGTTCAATTCCATCATTGGTGGAATTCAGAATGCTCTTTGATTGTAGGTGAACTGTAAATCCCAGCAACTACAACTCCAAAGTGACAAAAACAATCCTCAACCCCACCAGTATTCAAATTTGGGTGTATTGGGTGTTTATGTCAAATTTGGTCCAGTGAATGCAAATACACCCTGAATATCAGATTTTACATTACGATTCATAACAGTAGCAAAATCACTGTTATGAAGTAGCAACGAAAATAATTGTATGGCTGGGAGTCACCACAACATGAGGAACGGCATTAGGAAAGTTGAGAAATACTGATCTAGACCTTGTAAAACTATAATTGCCACTATTTGTTTATTTACGACATTTATATGCCACTCTTTTCACCCCAAAGGGGACTCAGAGCAGCTCATAATATAATATATTGTATACATACAATACATTATATTATTAGCATAGTCTAATATCAGTATTATATATTATTATATTGTACTATACCATTATATTGTAATATTATTAGTTAAATATATAATTATAATATATTATTAGTATTATTATATTGTATTACATTATAATATTATAAATATTATATGTGTATACAAAAGATTATATTATATTATATATTATATTATTTGCATAGCACAGGAGACAAGATGGAACTGTCCCCGGCCGCTCCAGGATTCCATAGCAGTTAAAGCGGTGTGAATGTGCATCAATTCTACAGTGTAGCAGATGCACCCCAAAACACCTGGAGGTCTAGAGTTTTGGATCCACTGATGTAATGTAAGCTTGTGGGGGCAATTCCACTTAGTAGCCCTCTTTTCTTTCCCTTGGTTCTTTACCTGGGTAATTGGGACCCCCCCCCCCCCATCACAAATTCCCCTTTCCTGCCTGATCTTGCGCATGGAAAGGAGGGTGGTGGGTCCAGAGGCGGAGCTGGAGTCACTGGCCTTGCATTGTCTGGGCTTCACGCTTGGTTGCAAGGGAAGCGGCATTGGAGAGCCATGGAGAGGGTAAGGGGGTCTTTGGGGGGATTGGAGCTGGGAGAAATGCCTGGCGAGGGGAGAGCGGGTAGAGTGCTTGCCACCCACCCCCATATCAACACCCCCTTGCCAAAAGGGCAGTTGGAAATGTACTCCAACTCCCACCATTCCTAACAATCCCAGGCCCCTTCCTCTTCTCTCCCCCCCCCCCCCCGGGTCTGTTAGGAATGGTGGGAGTTGGATTCCCAAACACCTGGAGGGCCCAAGTTTTCCCAGGCCTGAGGACATTAAACCACCCCCCCCCCCCCCCAATCCACAGATGCAGCTCCTATCTGCAGGCTGGCACTGTCATGAAAGACATAGCTCATCATCCCCAGCCAGGATGGAAGATGATGGTGGTTGTAGTCCAACACACCTTGAAGTTGGCAGTTCAGTGGTGGTTTTTATAAGATTCAGCCCTTCCTTTTCTAGAGCAAGAATGGAGTGGCACTCCAGACCTTGTTGGATTGCAACTCCCAGCATTCCTTAGAATTGGCTCTCCTGTCTTGGAATCAACAGGAAGACTGCATGATGGCCACATTATTATAGAGTGGAGTTTCTCAACCTTCCTACTGCCACAACCCCTTAATACAGTTCCTCGTGTTGTGGTGATCGCCAACCATAAAATTATTTTGGTTGCTACTTCATAACTAATTTTGCTACTGTTATGAATCGTAATGTAAATATCTGATATGCAGGATGTATTTCCGTTCACTGGACCAAATTTGGCACAAATACCCGATATGCCCAAATTTGAATACTGGTGGTGTTGGGGGATGAATTTTGTCATTTGGGAGTTGTAGTTGTTGGGATTTATAGTTAACCCACAATCAAAGAGCATTCTGAACTCCACCAATGATGGAATTGAACTAAACTTGGCACACAGAACTCCCACAACCAACAGAAAATGCTGGAAGAGTTTGATGGGCATTGACCTTTAGTTTGGGAGTTGTAGTTCACCTAATTAATATTGCTGTAATTGCCTTTTAAAACTACACCTCCCCCACACCTGCAGCCAGAGAGCACTGTGTACTCAAACAATGATGTTTCTGGATCAAACTTGGCATGAATACTCAATATGCCGAAATATGAACACCAGTGAAATGTGTAAAAATTAGATTTTGACCCCTCTGACACCCTCTCGTGACCCCCTCCAGGGGTCCTGACCTCCAGGTTGATAAACGTGGGTTTATAACAAGAATGGAGTGCCACTCCAGACTTTGTTGGATTGTAACTCCCAGCATTCCTTACAATTGGCTCTGCTGTCTTGGAAGCAACAGGAAGATTGCATGATGCCCAACTTATCATAGAGCACTGTCTTCATTGCACATCATGAACATCTCAGGATCTGTGTGATGTATATTGAGCCGCAGTGGGGCAATGCTTATTGTTTCCAAATGCCGGCTGAGATCTTTTGGCTTAGCACCCAGTGCGCCAATGACCACTGGGACCACCTGTACTGGTTTATGCCAGAGCCTTTGCAGTTTGATTTTGAGGTCTTGAATGCGGCTGAGTTTTTCTTGTTGTTTTTCCTCAGTGTGGCTGTCACCCAGTAGGGCGACATCAATAATCCAAACCTTTTTGTTTTCCACAATCGTGATGTCTGGTGTATTGTGTTCCAAAACTTTGTCAGTCTGGATTCAAAAGTTCCACAGTATTTTTGCATGTTCATTTTCCACTAACTTTGCAGGTTTATGATCCCACCAATTCTTTACTGTTGGTAGGTGGTACTTGTGGCATAAGTTCCAGTGAATCATCTGGGCCACAGAATTGTGCCTCTGTTTGTAGTCTGTCTGTGCGGTTTTCTTGTAACAGCTGAGGATATGATCCATGGTTTCATCAGCTTCCTTGCACAATCAGCTGATTTTTCAATCCTGGCCTTGACTGCATTTGTTCTGATGGCTTTACTCCTGGGCTGCAAGAATCAGGCCTTCTGTCTCCTTCTTCAGTAGTAGTAGTAATAATAATATTATAATTATAATTATATTATTATTATTATTATTATTATTATTATTATTTGCATGTATTTCTTCCTGTGTCCCTTCAGCATATAGTAGGCTCTCTACATCCATGGATTCTGCATCCATAGCTTGGAAATATTCCAGAAAAATCCAAAAAAGCACATCTTGATTTTGCAGTTGTATATGAGGGACATTGTTTTAGTACATCCAGTGGGACTTGAGCAGCTGTGGATGTTTGTATCCACAGGGCATCCCAGTGGATACCGAGGATCCACTATCTATCCACTTCTTCTACATGTATATGTAAGAGAAAGAGGAAAATACTTGGCATTTTCCCAGCTTAAAAATGTAATACCGCGAAGCCTCATCAAACCATCTGTGCACAAGAGGATAGCTTTATCTGGCAAGTGCTTTCCCCACATCTGAGCCAGTAATCTGCAGTCTTTCCTCAGCTCTATTCCTATCCACTTGTTTTTCTTGTCTCCTCTTATGCAGGTGGAATCCATCTCTTTCCCAGGCTTCCTGGTGGGAGCTGAAAGTCCTGGTCCCTTTCCTCTGGAAGACGATCCCAACACTCTCAGGTAAAACATTGCTTTTTCCCTCTTCTTCCTTTCCCTGTATTTTAAATCCAGTGGAAGTAGAATTATGACCGTTTTATTGGAAATGAATCCCACATTGAACCCTGTTGGGTTTTCATTTCCTATGGACATGCAAAAGGTCAGCTTTGCATGATATCAATTGACCTGGAACTGGATTTGCTTGTATCTGTGCAATCCTCAGCAGAAGGTAGGTGGGAGTCTATTGGTAGTTTTGAAGAGTTGAATCATGTCATTAACTACCCATATAAATGGCTTGTCACCTCTAGGTTTCCCAATGCTGAACCACACTTTTCCTGGATGGAGCTAGGAGAAGAGCTACAGTTGCCAGATTCAGGAGACAGGCAAGAATTGACTGTTGTTAATTCAGGTGAGGAATAGTTCATTGCGTCTGTGGGAGGCAGTGTTGTATAATGGTTAATTCCCAAAGTAGGAGACCGGAATTTCTCCAGGTGTTGTTGGGCTACCATTCTTATCACTTATGGCCTGTGGCTGCTCTGGTTGAGGCTGTTGGGAGCTGGGATCAGAGACCACGAGGAGGACTACATGTTCCCTGTCCTGATTCAGAGCAGAACCTAGAAAAATAAAGTTCTTAGATTGGAACTCTGAGGATCTTCTGGGTATTGGAAAGTTTTAATAAAAAAGGCATTATAGGTCTACATCTGTTCAAGTGGAAATGCCAGGATTGAACATGGGACCTTCTACATGCAAAGTGTTAACGTCTATACTCGACTATTCGCTGAGTTTTTCCAGCCCTTTTTTAGGCTGAACCCCCCCCCCCCCTTGGCTTATACTCAAGTCAAGGTAACATTTCTTTACTCTGTTATTATTATTACGTTTATTATTTACTCTATTATTATTATTACATTTACATTATTTTACTCTATTATTATTTTATTACATTTATTTGTTTACTCTATTTATTATTATTATTATTATTTTACTATATTATTATTACATTTATTAATTTACTATATTATTATATTATTAGTTTGCTCTATTATTATTATTATTACATTTACATGAATTTACTTTATTATTGTTGTTATTATTATATTATTATTTTACTCTATTCTTATTTTTATTACATTATTTTACTCTATTATTATTGGAAGGATACATAAGCACATTTACATTGAAGAAGGTTAGAATAATGGTTTAATCAGAGTTGGACAGTCTTATCTTAAATTACGGTTTTATGTAAATATTAAAAAGGATGTAACCTACTGATGCCTCCATTAATGTAATTTTATTGGTATCTATTTTAATTCTGAAATTTACCTGCTGCATTTCCTACCCTTAGCTTATAGTTGAGCCAATACGTTTTCCCAGTTTTTGTGGTAAAATTAGGTGCCTCGGCATATATTCGGGTTGCCTTATACTCGAGTATATATGGTATTTTCTAGCACTGAGCTGTGGCCCTTTGTTAATAGAACACATCTATTAACTGTGGCCAAGTGAAGACCTGAATCCACCATTCTCATATCCACACTGACTCCTCTTATTCTCTTTAAACACGCCCCCATAATTTATAGTTTTGAGTCTCTTTTAAGAGTCTCAAGAGAGGAATGTGGGGTATAAGTATTATAATGATAATATTATAATAGGCTTATACTTATGGCCTGTCCACACAAATGTACGAGGGTGGGTCAAAAAGTAATGCCTCCATCGTTCTAACTTTTATTTCTTTCACAGCTACTGGACTATCTATACATGATATGATAGAGGTAACCTTACTCTACTGACATTCTCTTTTCTTTTTCTGTTTGACTGATTAAAACCATGAATCTGAAGCTAAAAGAAAGAATCATCATTGAATTTCTGACAAAAGAAAGTTGTGTTCTTAAGGAAATCCATAATCTCTTGAAGAATGTTTGTGATTTAGCCCTTTCTGAGTTTTACCTATTTGGACCTCTGAAAGACCTCTGAAACCTACATGATTTTAGATTCAATGGCTTGAATGATATTAAAACAGCTTTAAAATCAAAGGTCACAAAATAAAACTTGGAATTTTTCCAAAATAGTTTTGATGCCTGTGTTAAACAAAGATGCAAATGTGTCCAAATTGATGGTAACTACGTTGAATGGTAGTTTTGTGTAGGGGATAGTTCAGGCTATGATCTGTAGCAACGTCTGCTGTTATATGTTTATTCATAACGTTTTTATGACACAGGAGGCAAAACTTTCTGACCCTCCCTCGTATATAATTCTGCAACACTGGTGTTCTCAGGACAGTTTGTTAATGATCGTTAGTGTTCTCCATTGAAAGTATTTTTGTATACTTTTTTTATAGGTACAAGATTGAGGCTTTTGGTCCCTTTGTTTACAGGTTTAGATTTAATTATTCAGAGGTAATTAGAATAGTTTTTAAAAAAAATGTCCGTCCCCCCTTTTATAGGGGTCCTGGACCCCTAACTCCTGTGAATGTAGAGGACTTACTATAATGTTCTGAAAGATGTAAGATTGAATGAAACCTCTTCCACACACCTCAAAACTGACAACCCCATAATTTATGCCAATCACAGGTCTGAGGAGACATTTTGAATAATAAAGATATAATCTCAGATGAATGATATGTTTTTCTCCAGGCTTTGACACACCAAGTGAGGAAGAGCAAGAGGAAGAAATGGTGGAGGAAATTGAGGAGCAAGAGTCTAGGACTTTCCCTGAGACCTGTGATTGGTCCCAGGTGATGTCGGAGGAGAAGTTTACCGATGCCCTGGTCACGGCTGATCCTCGTCCATTCTGCTGCTTGGAGTGCGGGAAGGGATTTGCCCAGAGATCAAACCTGGTGAAACATCAGCGGATCCACACAAGGGAACGCCCGTTCCGRTGTCCTGAATGTGGACGGGGATTCAGCTGGAGCTCATYGTTGGCCGAGCACCTCAAAACACATGGTGGGTGCCGTCCCCATGCCTGCGGCGAGTGCGGGAAGTGCTTTGCTCGTGGCTCGACGCTGGCAGAGCATCAGYGGGTGCACACTGGGGAGAAGCCTTTCCGGTGCCAGCAGTGYGGAGCCCGTTTCTCCCAGAGCTCCAYCCTGGCGCACCATCTGCGCACGCACTCTGGGGAACGGCCCCACATCTGTCCCAACTGTGGGAAGTGCTTTGGCCGCAAGTCCACCCTTGTCACGCAYCAACGGACTCACACCGGAGAGAAGCCCTACCTCTGSAAGGAGTGTGGACGCTGCTTTGGTGTCAGCTCCGATCTTGCCAAACATGTACGCAACCATCGTGCTAATGGTGGCAAGTGGGAGAATAATGGGACAAGAAGATGCCCGGTAATAAAGAGGAAGAAAGAAGAAACTGAAGAAGCTTTCCAAAAGGACTTGGATATAGCCAAAGAGCCTCAAAGTGAGCCTGCGGATAGAAATGAAGGGGGAACTCAGTGTGGAGAGAACGTTCTCCAGGATTCTGCACTAGCTATCCATCAGAGTGAGACTTCTGACCATTGCCAACCATGTATAGAAGTCTTCCCTGACCCATCAGAACTAGAAGCCCAAGCAAATCATGACATAGAGAAGAAGCCTTACAAATGTTCCAGCTGTTGTGCTTGCTTTTTTGAAAGACCTGCACTTGAAATGCACAACAGGGTACACCTTGAAGGTCTATCCTCCCATTGCCCCCAAGAAGGAGAGGACTTCCCCAATAGTTCTGATTTGGAGCAGTGCCAAAGTGTTCCTGATGTAGAAGAGAAACCTTTAAAGTATATGGAGCACAGGGCCAACTTCGATGAAACCACGGTTGTAGCTACACAGGAGATAATCCCCTTGGATGAGGAACCTTATGCTTGCACACAGTGTAAAAAAAAGTTTCTCAGTAAAGATGAGCTGACATTTCACCAGGAGAGTCACACTGTTCAGGAAAAAGAGGATGAGAAGTCTTATCAGTGCCCTGTTAGCAATGCTCCATTCTCTGACAGTACAGTTTTTGTGATGGATAATGCGAGTCACGAAGCAGATGGACAATCTCATTGCTGCCATCAGTGTGGTGAAATGTTCATGACTAACTCAGAACTTGCTGTTCACCAGTTGAGTCATCCAGGAGAAGCTTCTTTGGACAAACCATATTCTTGTGCTACCTGTGCCAAGACCTTTGCCCTTTTTGCCACACTAGTTGCCCATGAGCAGACTCACATGTCAGATGATGATGCCTACTGTTGCCCAAAGTGCGGCGAACATTTCCCAGACAGTAGCAAGCTGTGGAGACACCAGCAACGTCACTTGGGTGAGGAGAGGCCTTTCTGCTGCCCAGCTTGCGGCAAGGGCTTTGTGCTCCTTTCGGGGCTTCGGCAACACCAGCGTGACCCTCCTTTCCGGTGTCCGCAGTGCAGCAAGACCTTTGTGTGGCGCTGCCGGCTGACTGAACACCGCCGGAACTGCCATCCAGCTGAACGGCCCTATAAATGCCCTGAGTGTGGCAAGAGCTTTGCGCAGAGTTCAAAACTTCTTCGACACCAGGTGACACATACTGGAGAGAAACCTTTCAAGTGCCCTGAATGTGGCAAGATCTTCAGCCAGAGCTCCAATCTGGTGGAGCACCGTCGCACCCATGCTCCTGGTAAAGCCCATCGCTGTGCCATCTGCAGCAAAGCTTTTGCTCTGGGTTCCTATTTAGCCAAGCATCAGGCCACTCACACTGGTGCTCGTCCTTTCCGGTGCACCGAGTGTGGCAAGGGTTTCCGGCAGAGCTCCAATCTCATCCAGCACCAGCGCACTCACACAGGAGAAAGGCCATATGTTTGTGCCTCCTGTGGCAAATCCTTCACCCAGAACTCACACTTGATCAAGCACCAGCGAGTTCACACGACTGAGCGCCCCTACCGCTGCCCTTTGTGCGGCAAGAGCTTTCGGCAACGCGGCAACCTGGCTGAGCACCAGCACCAACACGTTGGTACCCGGCCATATATCTGTGGCACTTGTGGGAAGTCGTTCCGGTGGAGCTCTGCTTTCTCCAAACACCAGCGTCTCCACCTTGACTCTGATCTTTGACCCTCTGCAAGGGGAACAAGAGACAACAGATGCTCTTAGTACTGGGATAGGCACCTGGACCAATATACCCACCCATATGAGCAACATAGAACCTTGCACTCCCCAAAATACAGTGGCTCTTGGTTAACTGGGGCTCAAGCAATCAGTGAAAAATTGAAGAAACAATACTTTACATACTATAAATAAAATACGAGCAGACTTTGCTTTCTAGTGTCTACTTTTCTATAGCCAAGAGGAGGAAGGTAATTCTAGGTTCTTGACTGAAATGTTTTATAGCCTGTCTCTTTTCAGATAGGAAATGTGTGTTATTTCATTTACTTCGAACAGTGATGAGCCACTCCACCTCCAGTCATCTTGAAAGGGGGGAGAGAAGGCATTTTCTTCATTTTGTCAAATGGGATCCAGACTGGTCTACCACTTATCCCACCAATTTTCAACATTCACTTATTTACTACTTAGGTGATCCTTCATAGCCCGAGGATGATGGCCCTCCAAGTATAGTGTGGAGACCTATTCTTGATCCGCATGTTCCGCAGTGAAGACATCGGTTTCTAGGTGGAAGGTGTTCCTGGAAGGTTTGACACCCCTTCCTCTTGGCGTGTTTCTCCCTTTCGCCCTCCATTCACACCTCTTTAAATTCTGCAGCACTGCTGGTCATAGCTGACCTCCAGTTTGAGTGCACAAGGGCCAACCATTAACCTCAGAGTCCCATCCCAATTTGGGGTTCACATTGTGTCCTGATTTAGACAAAATCATTACCTCCTGGTCCAGATTCCGACCTATAGACTAACTATAGCCTTCAAATCCTCTTTCTTAGACAGCTGATCTTTTTTCAGATCCTCATGGTGGAAGAACACTGCCATGATCTCATTATTTCCATCTCTGTGGCCTTAGTTTAAATTTCTCTGTGGTCCAGACATTGGTTTTGGAGTTTTCCCAAGAGCAAACCTCATAGGTTCCCTCTCATCCTTTGAGGAACTTCACTCCTTGATGGCACATTTACTTATTTTCTTCTACTCTAAATCTTTGCCCAAGTGAGCTGAATCTGATCTTTGCCTGAATTACTGAACATCTACTACCTCTGGTTAAAACTGTCTATCAAATATACACATATCCCATTCTTGAAAGGATTACCCCTTGATTGAGAGAAACTTCAGAATTGTTTACCTGCCTGTACCATTTATCTTGTTATTTTGCCAACGAATTTTTTTGTCAGTTGATGTCATTGCTTGGCTAGGGATTCCTTTACTCAAATGCTTTCCTAGAGAGCTCTAGTGAACTCACCTCAATAATAGTGCGTGGATCGACACATATCCAAAACCTGGGTCCCATTTGCCATAACATGGGTTCTTCTGGTTCTTTGGGCTTTTCCAGAAATCTACAGGACTCTGGTTTTTCTTCCATATGTGACTACAGTCCTCCAATATCCTTCAAGTTAGCCTCTTGTTGCAGCAGTGGGCATTAGTCATTTCTCTTGTTGCTTCCTTCCTGATGTTTGTGTAGATTTGAATGGGGCAAGACCAGGCATGGGCATAAGGGGCTGAAGGGGGAAAGGAAGGACCCGAGGCTGTTAGGAATGGTGGGAGTTGAAGTCCAAAACACCCAGAGGGCCGAAGTTTGCCCATACCTGGGCAAGACTCTTGAAACTAGGATTTTAAATTGCTGTCTATATGGACAACTCAGAATATCATGTCACACGAGGAAAGGCCGAAGCCCTGTTCTAATACAACCCCAAAAGTTATAACTATGACCTTAAATGTGTCCTCTTTCAAAAACTATAAATTCTTTAATAGGTTGCAGAGATGCTATGCAACTTAATTTTTGACAGTCTGAGGGACCCAGAGGATTGCAGGGGTATTCAATTAACTGGCAGGTCTGTTGCAATTGCCTACCCTTAAGTTATACCCCAATCATGCCACTACTTTTTGATTAAGCCGGTCAATTATAAGTATTTACACAGAATGGCAGTGCTTCCCTAGTGTTGTTTCCGGGTTTTGAATGTGATTTTCATACTTCTTGTCGGGGGTTGGACTGGATGGCCCACGAGGTCTCTTCCAACTCTAAGATTCTATGAGTTCCCTCTTTCTCTTTTTAAATCCGATTTTCAACAGTGGAAATAAAAATCTTGGTGCAAGAACTGAGTTATAGCTCATGCTCCCATTTGATGCTTTACTTTGTCCTCGAGGATATGGCTGGGTATAATGGAAAGTCCATGTTTTCACTATTATCAAAGTCTGAATGGTGCTTACTTGGTAACTATTAGGAAAAAAGCACACAGCACAATCCTGTTCCAAGCTGACAACATTCTGTAATAGAAAAGCAGATTTCCCGAACTTGAACAAATTAAGTTTGCAAAGGTACGTGCATTACTTCTTTTTATTTGAACCGCTATTTTATTTATGCATTACTTAATTACTCAATTTTATTTGAACAAGGAACACTGCAGTGCTGTCCATATTGCTATAAATCAGCCACTTCAGGCCACAGAAATTTCACCAAACATTCACCACATCCTTGAAGCATAAGGACTGAGATCCCGAGGGACTGCATGGTTTAAAAGGTAAGTGTAGAGGAACCTTTTTGGTCATTGCAATGCTACATTGTACAGGTAATTATTAGGATTTTTTTTTCATGTCAGGAGTGACTTGAGAAACTGCAAATCGCTTCTGGTGTGAGAGAACTGTTGCACTCCAGGACAGGAAAAGCCCTCTGACTTTAAACACCACACGATTGGATAGGGAAACAATCCTTTTATTGAAGATAATTAAAAAGTAGAAAAATAAAAAACACTTTAAAGAAATAAGTAAATCCAATTAGGTAGGAAGATAAGCAGGAACAAAGTAGTCCAGGGTAATAGTCCAGCAAAGTCCATAAAAATATAGTCAAAACTTTCCAAACAAGATAGAAGAAATCAGAAAACATGAACCCAAGGCATGAATATAAAAGCATAAAATCCAAGAATCAAAACCATGAAACAAAGGCACTTAAACATGAATTTTCCAAGCAAAGCTTCCATGAAACAAGAATGAGATCTTGATTCCAAACAATGCTTCATCTGACTACATATCCTGTACTTGGGACTTTTATCTCCTCGTTAGCTATGTCTCTAATGCTCAGAAATTGGTTTCACTTTAGCTGAGACTGTCTTATCTTTTTCTCTCGGAGCCTGGCAGAACGCCGAAGCCACTGTTCAGCTCTCCTGTTTTGACTGATCTCCTCCCATCTATCTATTTGCTCATTAATTTCTGCAGCTGGGCCAGGTGCTGAGCTGTTTTCATGTTCCTTATCATGAGAACTCTCTGGTAACAATTCAGAGAGCACACCATCATCCCCACACCCCTCAGGGACATTCTCATGGGAAGGTACACTTTGAACAGGGATCTCCTGGTCATTCTCTACATCAGTGTCATTGACCAAACCATTGCCAACTTGAAACTAATCTTGAAACTCATTGACATCACTCTCCACATCCAAAGCACCCTGATCCTGAAACACAATCACAGGCTGAGGTCCAACAAGAACTGGCCTTCTGCAAGGACATTGCCCAGAGGATGCCAGATGTTTGAAGTTTTACCATCCTTGTGGGAAGCTTCTCTCATGTTCCCGCATGGGGAGCTGGAGCTGACAGAGGGAGCTCAATCTGCTCTCCCTGGATTTGAACCACAGACATATCGGTCAGCAGTCCTGCCGGCACAAGGGCTTAACCCATTGCGCCACCATGGGCTCTTAACTACTAGGATGCCAGCTATTATCTTTTGCAGAGGAACACAACAAAAATGAAGGTTCTTAGGAACCTGAATACTGCAGCCAACGTTAATCTAGTGATATATTTTTATTTATTGAAGGATTTTTGATGCCAAGAGGGTGGGTGGGTTGGTGGTGGAGAGAGCTGAATTGTAAACCTAATCCCTAGTCATTACGGTTGTAACTTTTTACCATGGAGAAATCAAGGGGTTCTTCATAATCTCCTCCCGGTCTAGAAGATGGAAAGTAGGTCTTCGTGAAGGCATATTATCTTACACACTTTCCCTAGTGTCTGTAAACTATATTCCAGGTGAAGAATGTGGCACAACTACCACTATTCCTTGATTAAAAAGTCCATATGAAATTTATGAGGAGGCCATAAACCAACAAGAAGAGACACACAAAGAAAGAAAAGCTGCCTCTGTGTCTCCAGAGGGCAGTAGTGGGCTGAAACTAATGATTTGCAGTGACTAATCTTAAATTTCCATCAGTGTCTGGAGTGAAGGAGGTTTCCGCTGTTGGATTTTTGCCTTTCCTATAGCTTTCTAAGTCTACATATCCAATCCAACTTCTATGTCTTTGTGACACTAATATCTGACAAAGAGATTGCATTTGAGATGTAGTTTGTAACAATCCTCAAATCCAGCCAATACTTTGTACGATTCACCTTCACAAGAACCCTTCAAAATATACAGAAATTTATAGGTTTAGGATCGCTTCTCTTTTTTATTTTTCTTGAATGAGGCATCAGTTTTCCCTTAGTGTTATTTCATACCCTCCAATATTTCCTAGATGAAAAAGGGAATATGTGGCCAAGGAATTGGATTCAGCCAGAAGGACGCTACAGTGAAGTCTACTGATCAGATGCTTGATACTTTTGGGGAAATGACTATGTGTTGACTTTAATATGTAAATGAAAATATAAAAAATGTCTTAATATATATATGTGTGTGTATAGACACACACACCTACATGAGGGTTGAATGAAAAGCAATGCCTCCACCTTCGTTACTTGGGTTTGGATGGGAATATTTTAATAAATCAAACGCAGAAATAATCCTTAGAATGTGCTCTTTAACTACTACTATTCACTCTTCCACATAATCACCAGACAATTGGATACATTTCTGCCAACGATAAACAAGTTTTCTGAAGCCGTCACAGAAGAAGTTGACACTTTGTTTCCGCAACCCATCGTGCACAGATCTTCCAATAGCCAAGCAAAGCAATAATGTGACTCACACGTTCTTGTGAAATGCTGATTATGCTTGAAATTTCTCTTTGAGTGATACGACGATCGTCCTGAATCAATCTGTCAACCTTTTGCTTGTGAAACTCGGTAGTTGCTGTCACAGGATGTCCAACTCTTTGTCTATCACACAAGTCAGATGTTCCCAGCTCAACATCTTTAAACTTTCCTTCGACACACAGTACTCACATCAACACAATCACCATAAACAGCTTGCATTCTCTGATGAATCTCCTTTAGGGTGACACCTTCTGCTGCCAAGAATTCAATGACTGCACGTTGCTTCAGTCGCATTGACCAATCGTCTATGCAGGGTTCCATACTTCGCACTTTAATAACACAACAATTTAATGCTAAGGCTTCCCACCAAAATGGAACTGTAAAGGAGAGTCTACTGAACAAACCAGTACCTGCCGCATATCAGTACTGCCATCTGTTGAGTTATGAAGGTGGAGGTATTACTTTTCATTCAACCCTGGTATGTATGTATGTATGTATGTAAGTATGTGTATGTGTGTATGTGTATAGAGAGAGAATGAGTAATCATGAATGGCAATCACTCACAGCCAAGTATGATTGTCTTCCAAAGGTAGAGCGTTGGCAATGGATCCATAAATGATGGTGAAGAAGACCCATTTTGGATCTGCATTGTCTTGAACATACATTTCCAGATGTAAGGCAGTCATGACAAGGGTTTGCTCAATGTGCCTTCCTCTTGGCACATTTCTCCCACCCTCCATTTGTGCCCCTTCAAAATCCATAATGCTGTTGATAACAGCTGACCTCCACTTACAAAGCTTGAATGCCAGGGCTTCCCAGTTCTTGGTATTCATTCAATATTTTTGAAGGTTAGCTTATTGCTTTAAGTCTATCTTTATAGAGTATGCATATGTAAACAGACAGACAGATAACGGTCAATTATAGCTGGACCCATAGAACCCAGAAAGAGGTACTATCTACAGAAATGCAAGATGGGTGATAACTGCCTGAGCAGAAATAAAAGTACATGTAAAAGAGATATATGGAAACTGGTTGTAAGTATTGAATTACTGGGTTGTTGTAGGTTTTTTCAGGCTATATGGCCATGTTCTAGAGGCATTCTCTCCTGACGTTTTGCCTGCATCTATAGCAAGCATCCTCAGAGGTAGTGAGGTCTGTTGGAACTAGGAAAATGGGTTTATATATCTGTGGAACCACCAGGGTGACAAAGAACTCTTGTCTGTTGGAGCTAGGTGTGAATGTTTCAGCTGACCACCTGGGGCAATCTTTTGTTGAGAGGTGATGATCTAACCCCATTTTCCTAGTTCCAACAGACCTCACTACATCTGAGGATGCTTGCCATAGATGCAGACGAAATGTCAGGAGAAAATGCCTCTAGAACATGGCCATATAACCCAAAAAAACCTACAACAACCCAGTGATTCCGGCCATGAAAGCCTTTGACAATATATTGAATTACTGTATTGTCGAAGACTTTCATGGCTGGAATCATTGGGTTGCTGTGTGTTTTCAGGGCTGTATGGCCTTTTTCCAGAAGCATTCTCTCCTGATGTTTGCCTGCATCTGTGGCAGGCATTCTCAGAGGTTGTGAGGTTTGTGGGAAACTAGGGAAATGGGGTTTATATATCTGTAGAATGTCCAGACAATCTTGTCTGATTGAGGTAGGTGTGAATGTAGCAATTGGCCACCTTGATTAGCATTTAATGGTCTGGCTGCTTCCTGCCTGGGGAAATCCTTTATTGGGACCTGATTGTTTTTTGTCTGGAATTCCACTGTTTTTGTTTTTTATTGTTGTTATCTAATTACTATTTTCACCTGCAGGGCAGTAACTCAAAAGATTATTGCATTTCTATTATAATGCCCAGATTAAAATTTCAACATTTTCCAAAATTTCCAAAGACATGATATTTCCAAATAGTTTCTTATATATCACAGTTCTCACACATTCCTCCTGCTGGATTATGCTCACTAAAGGATTTTTTAATTTTTAATCTGAAAGGTAATTTTTGCAGACTTTACTCGACTAACAGCCATATAACCCCCGTCATAATCCTCTGACTAGCATTCGCTTTGGTTCTTTTTACCAACTTATATAAAAAATGGAATTTTATATTGTCCAAGTTTCAGAAAAATCTTAAAACTTGGAAATGACTATTTGGAGGAAAATATGTTGTGGTTTCTATGCAGAAGCGAGTGTGATCTCCAAGTTTTTTTTTCCTGATGGGAAATTAAACTTGAAGCACCCCTCCAACTCTTTGAACTGTGGAAAATTCCAGGAAAATGGAATATATATTTATGCATGTGTATATGTTTCTGGTGGTTTTGTTTCCAAAGGATTTCCAGTGAACCTGAACAGCAAAGCAGATCAAAGCCTTTAAGATGGCACCTTAAAGACTAACACGTTTATTGCTGTGTGAGTTTTTATAAGCGGGGAATTACTTCATCTGGACCCTGAGGTTGCCGAGAAAGGTATTTCAGTCCAGATGGTTGTGTTGATCCTTTTCAACACAATTTACAAAGGAAAAGTATTAATAAATGGCCTCCAAGAAAAACAGCTGTGGCAAATAGAGGAGCCAGGGCAGCACCAAGATGGACAAGTTACTTTTTGGACTGGAATTTCTCAGATTTCTAGACAGTTTAGTCAGTGGATTTTGGCAGTTGTAGTTAGGTAAAGTAATTGTCCAATTCTTAGAAATGCATCAGATGAAATTGTCTCAATGTATATGTATATGTATAAATATAAGCATCTTTTACAGTCGGCTCTCCATATCCACGGGTTCTGCACCCACAGATTCAACCTTTTATGGCTTGAAAATATAGGTAAATGAAGATTGTGTTGTTGAAGGCTTTCATGGCTGGGTTGCTGTGAGTTTTCCGGGCTGTATGGCCATGTTCCAGAAGCATTCTCTCCTGACGTTTCGCCCACATCTGTGGCAGGCATCCCTAGAGTTTGTGAGGTCAGTTGGAAACTTGGTGAGGTTTTATATCTATGAAATGTCCAGGGTGGAAAGATTTATATATCTGTAAAGATTTACAGATATATAAACCTTTAATTTCAGATATTAAAAAACTGCAAGATCAGGACAATGAATAAAGAATAAATAAATGAATAAATGAATAAAGAACAACATTAAAAACGGGAATTCCAGACATGAAACAATCAAGGCCAGTTAACACTTCCTAACAAAGGATTCCTCCAGGTAGGAAGCAGCCAGTCTTTCAAGCCGCAAGATCATTCGGTGTTAATCAAGGTGCTCAATTGCAGCATTCACACTTGCCTCAAGCAGAGAAGAGTTATTTCTTCCACCCTGGACATTCCACAGATATATAAACCTCACTTGCCTAGTTTGCAACAGACCTCACAACCTTTGAGGATGCCTGCCATAGATGTGAGAGAAATGTCAGGAGAGAATGCTTCTGAACATGGCCATACAGCCCAGAAAACTCACAGCAACTAAATGAAGATTCTTTTTGCAAATATATACACTGCATATGAACCATTTTACACTTAGCATACATAGCTAAGTGTCAAATGAGACATACTTTTTTCCTAGACAGCTAGAAATTTTGGATTGAATTCATAGAATCTTATGCAGCTCAAGAGGAACTTAAAACTTCCATCAAAACTTGACATGAATGGCTCTCCTGTGGTGATACACATATTTAAAAAGATGAAAAAAGATTGGGATGACAGACAACCATCCCTGCTACATAGGGAAAACCTCATCTTCCAATGGGAGATGAGGTGAGGAGGTTTCATTTTGTATTATTTTAATAGTTTTTTATTTTAAAACTTTGATACAATTTTAATTAGAACCAGAATGGCAGCCCCCTCTGCACAAAAAAAACCAAAACCCTGCAATAGTTTTTCTCTAGGGTCATCATGATCTGCCCTTGCACATTGCCGCTCCGCTGCTGAATACACATGCCCAGTATGGAATACATCTCACCACGTTAAAACAGTGGATGTGGCTCTTAATGAGACATGCCACATTATCACAGGATGTCTACACCCTACACCACTGGAGAAATTATACTGTTTAGCCAGTATTGCACCACCTGATATTTTTCAGGAAGTAGCAGCCTGTAATCAAAGGACCAAGGCATTGACATCTCTGGTCCATCCTTTGTTCAGATATCAGCCAGCAGGCCAATTTATACTTTTCCTTAAATCTTAAATCAAGAAATAGCTTCCTAAGATCTACAGCAGTGGTTCCCAACCTGTGGTCCATGGATCACCAGAGGTCCACAAGAATTGAAATGTGGTCCATGGCCTGACTTACTACACTATTGCAACTAGAGCGACTGGTCTTGCAAAACCCTCTTAGGAACACCTCAGCAAGCGAGAGTCCAAAAGTGGCAGGCTAAAACCCGGAACCTCAATCAGTGACTGAGACTGGATGAGAATCTCCCCCCTGGGCACAAAGAAGACTGGGCAACTTGAAAGGCACTGAACAGACTCCGCTGTGTCACCACAAGATGCAGAGCCAACCTTAAGAAATGGGGCTATAAAGTGGAGTCCACGACATGCGAGTATGGAGAAGAGCAAACCACAGACCACCTACTACAATGCAGCCTGAGCCCTGCCACATGCACAATGGAGGACCTTCTTATAGCAACTCCAGAGGCACTCCAGGTGGCCAGCTTCTGGTCAAAGGAAATTACTATAATGCCAAGTTTTTTACTTTGTTTGTGGTTTTTCTATATATTATAATTGTATTCTCAATTCACTTCTAACACAATAAATAAATATAAATAAATAAAACAATTATTCAAAAACTAAGTTAATAAGTTAGTGTCTTAATTGATGTCAAGCAAGGCTTTCTTAGAAAAAGGCAACTAAACTGGAATAAGCAATAATAATCAATAATCATCATTTTGTAGAAAGTTTGCTTAGGTGATTCCCACTCCTTATTTACTGGGTGGCAAAACTGGCTGGGGGCTTATGGAAGCTGTAGTCTAAAATGTAACTTTCCCAGGCAATGTTTAAATCAGTAGCCCACCAGATATTGTTGGATGGTAGCCAGTGATAAGGAGTGCTGGGATATGCAGTACGATAATATTGAGAGAGCCAAACTATAGTTTAATATACTAACATCCCTTTTGTTACATGTTAGTATCTGATTAATACATGAATGAGTGTCTGAATGAGTGCAAGAGCAAAATATTAATAGGGGTTGTATATTTTTTTTCATAAAATGATTAATAAGACCTCCAATATGTCTTGAATCAGGCAAATCATAGTGTGAGATGCAAGTGGCAGGAGGAGTGACACTAAAGCACAGCACAATTGTTAACACAAAGAATAATGGTGACATCTTGACACAGTAATATGGCAATATACAGGAAAAGTATAAACAATAGATGAATATGTACATGATCATATATTGGACAAAATATCTTTTTAAAGTCACAGAAAGACTTAAGCCATAGAGCTCTGTGAGTGCAGCATTTTCTCGAATGAAGCAGAGAGTGTTTGAGGATTGGGACATCTGTAGTGATGCCCTTCATCACACTAGAGAATGAATCCATTTTAAATCTGGTTTCTGCCTCCTGCAGAATTCTGGGGTTTGTAGTTTAATGGGGCTGTTAAAGGCTCCTCCCTAAACTACAAACTCCAGAATTCTGCAGGAGGCAGCAACCAGATTGAAAGTGTATTCATTCTCTAGTGTTATCGAGCCCCAAGGTGCTTGTTTATAAAGGTATTGTCCTCCTAGTCCTGTTGTACACCTGCAAAACGTGGACCATCTAGAGATGTCACACTGAATTCCTGGAATGATTCCATCAGCGTTGCCTCTGAAAAATCCTGCAAATCTCTTGGGAAGACAGGTGGACAAATGTTATTGTGCTGGAAGAAGGAAAGACCACCGTCACTGAGGCGATGATCCTTCACCATCAACTTCACAGGACTGGCCATGTTGTCCGAATGCCCGATCACCGTCTCCCAAAGCAGTTACTATACTTCCAAATCAAGAATGGAAAATGGAATATTGGTGCACAGGAAAAGAGATTTAAAGATGGGTTTAAAGCTAACCTTAAAAACTGTGGCATAGACACAGAGAACTGTGAAGCCCTGGCCCTTGAGCGCTCTAACTGGAGGTCAGCTGTAACCAGGAGTGCTGTGGAATTTGAAGAGGCACGAATGGAGGGCGAAAGGAAGAAACATGCTAAGAGAAAGGCATGACAAGACAACCCTGACCGGGACTGCCTTCCACCTGGAAACCAATGTCCTCACTGCGGAAGAACATGCAGGTCTAGAATAGGGCTCCACAATCACCTGCGTATCCACCGCCAAGACTTGGAAGGCCATCATACTTGGACAATGAGGGACTGCCTAACTGGAATTAAACAAGCCAGAAACATTTTTTTTGGAATGTAGCAGTTTATTGCCAGTCCGTTTCTTTTGGGGGGGGGGGGGAATACATTATATCCATCCAAGCCATTTTAATAATAAGAATACTAGCTTCTTTATTTATATCTCTCTTCCCTCTCCTAAGGAGACTCAAAGCAGTGTATAAATACATGTAAAAACTAAGGCTGGAGAGTTACAGTCAGAAACAATTTTGGATGAAAATGTATTGATTCTGTCTTCAGAAGAAAGTGCCTAATTTGCTGCAGATTTACTTTTTCTTGTTTGGAGATTTTAATCAGATATTGAGAGCCAGCATGGTGTAGTGGTTTGAGCATTGAATATGGAGACCAGGGTTTGAATCCATGCTCTGCCGTGGAAACCACTGGGTGACAGAATGAAGAATACACAATGACTTCTCAGATGAGTCCATCTGTAAGCACTTGATCTTCAGTCTGACATGTGTCCAACCAAGTCTCTGTCCGTAAAGATAATTGGCATGTTATTGTTTAGAGAAGGGCAAGCAGCAGGCTCGGATGAGTCAAAAGAGTCAGTTGGTATGCATCCAATGTTTTGATCTTCAGCCAGTCATATTTCCAAGACAGCCATTGTCAAACAAACAAACAAAGAAACAAACAAAAACTTACGGCAGTTTAAATAACCCTTCTAGAATCTATAGTTTCTAGGAGTGGAAAGTACGGAGTTTGGGAAGACTGAAACATAGCCTTGCAATGATTCAAGGAGTTTCCTTCACATGATTTTTCTCCGGACAAGCCAGAATTAACCAGGTTAAGGACCTACAATGAATAAAAAGAAGATGGAGCCATAGAAAAATATTAATTAAAATAAACAAGGAAAGACACAGTGTGAAAGAAATATTAGACAGGATGGCAGGGTTGGCACTACCATGAATGGATTAGAAAATCCCAAATACACATTAGTAAGTCAGGCCAAAAGTGCAATTATATAGGCCAAGCTGCCATTGCTTATAGGACAGGCATGGGCAAATTTTGGCCCTCCTGGTGTTTTGGACTTCAACTCCCACAATTCCTAACAGCCTCGGCCCTTTCCTTTCCTCCCCTCATCCACTTAAACAAAGGAAAGGGCCTGAGGCTCTTAAGAATTGTGGGAGTTGAAGTCCAAAACACCAGGAGGGCCAAAGTTTGCCCGTGCCTGTTATATAAGATCTCAGCTGAGATCCCATGCACTTCCACTCCAAATACTATTTATGGATGCTGCTTCTAGATTTTGTTAACTGAAGGTGCAGATAGCAAGTACAGACTTTGGAAAGTATGTATATGCTTCAATATATTGCCTTAAAAGGAATATATAAATTTTAATGTTGAACTCTTAATTGCAAACATTTAGATACATTAGACCAGGTTGAATTATTAGAGCAGAATTTTGAATTCTGTGAAATTTTTATTTTTGTTGTATTCCATATTGGTGTCTTTGAACAATATGACATTTTGGCACCTGAGTGGAAATGTTTAAAAAATCTGTATGTTGGAATAGATTCATTTGGGTACTCTTTCATTTCCTAATTATTTTGCTAAAAAGAAAAGACTAAATTTAAATCTTTCTAGAAAGTTCTAAGGCTACAGCATTTCCTGTAAATTTGTAACACTCAGATCAGGGATTTTATTTTATTTTATTTTATTCATCCCCCAAAATTTGGAATTTAAGTCTTCCATTTTTTACATGGTTCATAATTTTTCATGCTATACATTCCTGTCCTCAAAGGGAAAAGTCTTCACAAAATCTTATAATTAAGTTAATATAACTTAACTTAACCCACTGCGGTGGCACAGCGGGTTAAGCGTTAAGCTGCAGAACTTGCTGACCGGAAGATCGGTAGTTTGAATCTGTAGGATGGGATGAGCTCCTGTTGCTAGCCCCAGCTTCTGCCAAACTTGCAGTTCAAAAACATGCTAATGTGAGTAGACCAATAGGTACCACTTCTGCAGGAAGGTAATGGTGCTCCATGCAGTCATGCCAGCCCCATGACCTTGGAGGTGTCTACGAACAATGCCGGCTCTTTGGCTTAGAAATGGAGATGAGCACCACTATCTAGAGTCGAACTCGTCTAGACTTAATGTCAAGGGGAAACCTTTACCTTTACCTAAATGCAATTTAATTAAAAATGAAAACATTTCTCCAATTTTTAACACGAAAGAAGACTTTAAAATCTTTTAGGAGTTTCATAAATATTGCTTGAAAAATGCTGGACTGGATTATCCTCTGATTTTCTACATAAACTTTCCACATTTCCATCAATTTCAATAAATGTATTCTAAGTCTAGCAGTAAAATCCTATAGCCAACTAGAGTCCCATTGAGTTCGGTAGGTTGAAAAATGACTAAATTTGCTTGCTATACATAGTCTCTCTTTCCTGTTATGACAGCCCTAATAAATTGTCTGTTAATATTCTCTTATACTAAAAACAATTATAGTTTCAGCGTAAGATAAAATGGAATATACATAGACATACATATTTTAGACTAGCTATGAGTTAACATATTTCTCCATCACTCTTGTGTATTTTGTTCTTGATATGATACCATCTGCCTTTTCTAGACTTGATATCAAAGAAATAGATTTAGGATTTTAGAAATTTGTTTGTCGTGATTCAGTTTTTTGTGTGGGTGGGGAACTGTATTTAAGTGTGTATACTGAAATCTTCCTAAACAGTAGACAAGGCATGGGCAAACTTTGGCCCTCCAGGTGTTTTGGACTTCAACTCCCACAATTCCGAATTGTGGGAGTTGGAGTCCAAAACACCTGGAGGGCTGAAGTTTGCCCATTCCTGCAGTAGATTCTCAGTTAAATGAAACTCAAAAAACTGGCAAAAAATTAATAAATAATACATTAAATAAAAATGAAAATAAAATCACAAAACTATTATAATAAAACTGTGTTACATTAAGTTATGCTTGTCTTTGTCTTAATTTGTTTTAGTTACTGAATTTCAACATTAATAACTCTCAATATTAGTAACTTTCAAGTAACCAGAAATTAAATTTAAACAGCATCTACGAATCCTGATGGGTGTTGGTTAACTGAGAGCCTACTGTATCATTCATCTCTTTTGTCTTGCAGCCCACGACACTCTTTTCTCTGTCCCTTCCACAATTTATCAAACTTCAGGAGTTATGAAAAGTTAAGTGGTAAAACCAAAATATTGCAATATATTAAGAGTTGTGCGCGGATCTGTTTTCCATCATTACAGCCATTCTTTTGTTACTTTTGTTATCTTTGGGAGTATGTAACGAGAAGCCCCCTCCCGGTATGAAAATCAGCTCAACACGAAAGCAAGCGGGAGCTGATCCCGGCTCCTTGCCTGCTTTTTATGAGCAACCTCCTTGCCTTGGAAAGACTGTGTGTGTGATGTCCAGGCCCAGAAAGCTTGCAGCTGAGTGCCTCTCCTCTAGAGTAGAAACAGCTTAAATGCCTGTGACGGGAAGGGGATCCTGGAAAGCACACCCCCATAGTGGGTTGATAGAAAACAGATCTTTTGACACCCCAAAGCGAATACAGATACCTATCCTCCCGATTTCAGGAGGCTTCCAAAAAACAAATCGGGTCCCCTACCGAAAGCTGGGACACGAAATGGGTCAAGGTTTACCCAGATTGCACAAGCCTACAATATATAGCTTCCAGTACCTCTAGCTATAGAATTTGGCAGACAAGGAGGTTCTTCTGTGGAAAGAGTGGAAATCTCCCATCAATAAAATACCAACTTTTTCCCATATTAAAATTGTTTATTTATCCAGAAGCATGAGGAAACTAGATGGAGAAAAACTTTTGAGGAAATTATTAAATTGCTCACCAGGATGACTGTCATGATAAGACGGTGGTGAGTGGGAGAAATTGAAACAATTCTCATTTAACTTTTGATCAGCAACAAAGGTGTCCCCATGATGCACTTTCCACCATTCTAAACTGAAAGGCTACCTCACTGTTTATCCTTTTTGGGCTCCCCTCAATTACGCATTTTCTATTCCTACCTCATCCAGGGTTTTATCATTTTACCTCGTCCATTCGGTCTGCCCATTCTGTTCGATTTGATATTGTGTTAATTTGCTTTATTTTATTTTGCTACTGTACGTATTTTATTCTGATGTAATTTTTGTTGTCTGCATTCTGTATTTTATTTTGCTGTATTGTACCTTTGGGCTTGGCCTCATGTTAGCCGCCCCGTCCCCTTTGGGGAGATGGTGGCGGGGTATAAATAAAGATTATTATTATTATTATTATTATTATTATTAAAGACTGATGGTTTAATTTGTTTTTTAGGATTCAATAGGTTTTGCAGATAGTTGAGCCCAATCCATGCTAAAGCCATATAGAGGAGGCTAGGGTAATGTGTACAGGTCTCTAATGGAAGCAATCAGTTTGTAAATAAGTATATGTGTATTGCTTTGCATATAAATGGTAATTCGGTTTTCAAATGCCACTTTCCTTTGGTAAAGAACTTCTTTACAATAGAGAGGGGCATTATTGTTACTGAATTTCTGTCCCTGCTTTCCAAGAGTTGCCACACAGAAAATTGCCTACTTTGAGACCTGCTGAAGATACCACTTCCTTGTTTAATTCATTATTGCCCATTTCTAGTCATTGCAAATAATTTAAAACGATTTCACAAATTAACAAAGTAATCCAGAAACAAATTTATATTTTTACATTAAAATTTTGTTCTTAAATTTTTAATTTTAACTAAGTCATTTTTTAAGGAGAGATGTTCCCAAGGAGTTGTTGCTGATCCATTTCTAAGAAGCCCAAGAAATCAAGGATTCTGGGGGTTTTTTTCGTGTCAGGAGTGACTTGAGAAACTGGAAGTTGCTTTGGATGTGAGAGAATTGGCTGTCTGCAGTGACGTTGCCCAGGGGACACCTGGATGTTTTACCAGCCAATGAAAAGCTGGAGCCGACAGACAGGAGCTCACCCCTCTTCCCGGTTTCAAACTGCCGACCTTTCGGTCAGCTCTCCTGCCGGCACAAGGGTTTAACCCTGATGGTCATGATAATAATCAGGATTATTATTATTATTATCGACTTACATGTGGAGAAGATTCCCTCCGTTCGGAATTAGCATGACCCAAAGGTGATCTCTATCCAAATTTTGACCTCAATAATGTGCTTAATCCATTATATGCAGCACACAGCACAATACCCACCTCAGTGCCCCTTATGTACCACCAATTCCTTACTTATTTTCTGCTCAGACGTCTTCTGCACCTTCTCCTGGAGGCCTGGCTCTGCTTTGGAGACATCTCAGGGAAGCATGTGAAGTCCCCCGTTGGCGAGTGCGCAGGTACTCCCGGTAGTTGCGTGTTAATAAGGTGTAGAGGAAAGGATTGATGCAGCTGTTGCCGTATGTCAAGCAGGTCACTAGGTGGTTGATGGAGATTTCTGTCTGGACTGGCAAACGGGCAGCTGATGGGCAGTAAAGGGGCAGGAGTTGCCAGATCCAGAAGGGCAAATAGCAAGCCCAAAAGGCCAGGACAATGATGAGAATGAGGAGGAAGACACGGTTCTTGGGAGTATGGCCCAAGCCACTGTGGGTCTGCGACATCCAGTAAGTCCTTGCCAGGCGCCAGTAGAGGGACCCGATGACCACTCCGGGAGCCACGATGCTGGTACTGAAAAGGATGCTCAGGTAGAGCCTGTACTGCTCCTCGCTCCAGGTTGGCGAGCAGAGACGCCGAACGATGGCTCCGTCTCCCACTGTACGCTCCTCTTGATGGATCATCACCATCATGGGGAGTGTCAAGGCAAAAGACAGAAGCCAGATGGCCACAGCCAGGGGCCGGCGGCATCTCCCAGTATGGCTCGCGGCCTGGAAGGGGTGCGCCACCGCACTATAGCGTTCACAGCTCATCAGTGTGAGAAGGAAGATGCTGGCATGCATGGTGAGGAGGTCCAGGCTGAGCAGGATCCGGCACCCCACCTCCCCAAAAGGCCAGTCTTTCACCAGCCCATTGTGGACAATGAAAGGAGCTGTGGAGAGATACAGCAGATCAGCTAAGGCTAGGTTGACCAGGTGGACGCGCAGCGAGGAGGCTGACGGGGAGGCTCGCACAATGGCCAAGGTGTAGAGGTTCCCAGCCACCCCCGTGGCACACATCAGGCTCAGTACGGCTCCTAGGGCTGCGGCCGATTCGGCACCCTCCGACAAAGAGGCATTGACTAAAGGCACCCATAGAGAAAGGTTGGTGGTTGATGGATCCATAGGTCTTCTCAAGGGTAGCACAACAAGTAGTGTCCTGAGGTCATTAATGAGCTTTGAGAGAAAGACCTACTAAAGAAATATGGTCATTGTTTTTGTATCCAGATCCACAGAAGAAGAGAGAAAGAGAGATTGAGAGAGAGAACAGGGTTCTTCAAGTTTGCTCATATAAAACAACACGGATGAGAATGAGTCAGTGGAGAGTACATTCCCCTCACTATTGAGAAAGCACAATTCAAAGGCTCTCACTAATCATTCAGTCTGATTAACACTCAATCATTGTAAGGGAATCATTGTTGAGCTGCATGTCTGTCCAAGTCCCTACTCACCATTTAACCTGTTGCTCTGTCTCATTGTTTTCATTCACTCCAACTCATCTTGGTGATCTGGCTTGAGATTACAAATGATGATGTCCTGGGGGTCAGTCTTCCTAGCCCAGTGTCTCTTGTAATTGATGAAAAAGGCCACTGCTTCACATTGAGCTCTAAAGGTCCAGCTTATTCTGTTGTCTTGTTCTTTTGCTCCATGTGTTCGAATCCGGTAGCGACGCAAAGAAGAGCCCAGTGTATGTGTGTGCAAGCAAAGGATCTGCATGTGTCTGGGACTGCAAATACTTTTCTCTCACATTCCTTGCACCCTGCTAGTGTTGGTATGTCAGGGTCGAACCATGGCCTGGCCCCTCTCAGGGAGCAAAGCTCTCAGCTCCTGTCCGCACAGAGGAACCTGTTTATCTCATCCCTTGGGTTGGGATTCTGACAGCGTGTCAGCTAAAGGGGCTACAGGGCGGGTAATGGGACAACGCCTGGGGATCCGATTGGTCCGGAGATCGGAACATTGTCACCCCCCACCTCCCTTCCATCTCCCCCCGCCAACATAACCCCAAGACAGACAGTCCGGGTCTAGCACCCTGCTGGCATAACCATGCAGCTTTCCATGGAATTATGCCAACTGGGAGGGAGAAAAAATAACCAAGAGATACAAAGACAGAAGGGGACTGTATGGATCAATGGACAAAAGAAACCCATAAATGCAAAGAAGCAGAAACTCACAAGAAAAAGACAGAAAGAAAGAAAGAAAGAAAGAAAGAAAGAAAGAAAGAAAGAAAGAAAGAAAGAAAGAAAGAAAAGCATAGAGGTGGACAGAACATTGCTGGTTCTTCTGTAGACTTATCACAGGTTGTCATTTCTAACCCTAATTCCAGAAGCAAATAGCATAAACATTCCAGATTTTATTCTTAACTGAGAGTTTACCTACTCACTTGAAGAGGCAAAAGGAGGGAGATTCAGGATGGGCCTTCTTTGTCCTTGAACTGAGGTGCATGTTTGTACCAACAATAATGAAGACTACATTGGCTCTGAACATGCGGCGAGAAAGTTGCTCTTGTTACTGAGAAAGTATAATTGAAGATATTGTCGAAGGCTTTAATGGCCAGAATCACTGGGTTGTTGCAAGTTTTTCGGGCTGGATGGTCATGTTCCAGAAGCATTCTCGCCCGACGTTTTGCATGCATCTATGGCAGGCATCCTCAGAGGTTGTGAGGTCATTCAGTTTGTTGTCGAAGACTTTCGTGGCTGGAATCACTGGGTTGCTGTGAGTTTTCCGGGCTGTATGGCCATGTTTCTGGAACATGGCCATACAGCCTGGAAAACTCACAGCAACCCATTTTTCAGTTTGCAAGTATTGCACAATTCATTTCCCCCCCAAAAAAATAATTTTCCCAGAGAAAGGAGGAGAGAACTTGCATTCTTCCTCCCCAGCTTGAAAATTTCTAGAATTTTTACATCTCAAACTAAATATACATTGTACAGAATAAAATGTCCCTCGTAGTAAAATGGTTCTAGTTTGTTTACAGTAGAAGTGGGGTATAAATGGCATACATTGTCTGTATCATTCTCACAATAACCCTGCAAGGTAGGTCACCTGGCTGGAAGATTCTGTGAATTGTAATTTAAAATAGTACTGTGTCTAGGTCGTGGATCTGACTAAGAAAGAATAGTTTGTTCCATGGTCACCCAGTGAGTTTCATGGCTCCAGACTAACTTCAACAGTCTGACCATTACACCGCAATGGCATGGACTTTGCTAAGGATAATACTGACAGATATTTCTCATGGAAAGTGTTGACTCACACTCTGCTCCTAATTAGATTTTATGTGGAAGTTTTGATGCCCAGCTCACAGCTTGCACCTCCCGGCCCCCAAAAATGTGCCAAAGACTTTGTGCAAGAAGTCCATTTACGTAGGGGAAAGAGGTTGAACTTTCTCAACACTTCTGTTCTGAGTAATTTTCAGGAAAAGTCCCACTGAGATTAAAGCGAGGGCAGCGGGACTCAAGGAAACTCCGAGTCCTTGCCCACACAAACACTTATTTGCTGGATCTCCAGCTTTTGATATTCAACCTGGAAGTTCCCAAAGACATTGTGCATTATTAGACTAGGAATGACAGTGAGCAATGCACACTTCACTTGGTTGTATGATATAGACAATTATTGTGCAAATTGGGGAGGAGCACCATCTGTCTTTGGTTAATGTGCATGTATGAGTTGTACATGTTGTTGTACATGGGCCAGTATATCATTCCACTGACTGCATTCGCCTTAAACACATATAAAGTCTGCAAAAGTTACCTTTCTGAATTGCACCTCTCAGAATCCTCCAACCAGGTTGACCACTGGATGTAGATAATGTGTTGCATTCCAGGCCAGGAAACACCTCTGTACCTAACCACCACACTCCAGTCCAAGTTAAATTAGCAAAGCAGTTTATTAAAAATTATATAAAAAGTACTGTAGCAAAAATAGTAAAAACTTCAAAGTCTATACGTATAAAATAGTCCATAAAGTTCAAGGTACAAGAGTAATCCAAAATCTGCAAAGCAACAGGGCATCCAGCACAGGAATACAAGAAAACCAGGAAGTGCAAGGCAGCACAGAATCCAATACAAAATCCAGGAACAATCCTTCAAACTTGGAAGCATGAAATGGGAGCAAAGACATGGAACTAGAATTCCCTCAGAAAGCCTGACTAGGACTTGGCAAGAGCTGTTGCCTCAATTACCAACATTGACCAGATTGGCTGGAAAATCCCCCAGCCCCTCTAATGATTTCTTGATACAGGTCTCTTCTATAACAAGTGCTGTGACCTTTGTTGGGAATCAAGAGCTGTTAGGCTCAAAAATAACCCTCTCTGGGGGTGATTCCACCAAAATATAGCAGAGTGCAGGGTGCACAGTAAATAAGCAGCAGAAACTTACATGTAGTGAGCAAGGTACGACTTCCATTCAACAGGATGGAACAGGATTGCAGATCCACAACTCATAGGATCAAAATAATATGTTTATTAAAGATAAAAGAAATCCATTCTGGATAGGAAAGGTTCTTGGAGCTAACTAGCTTCACTGAGCTATCATCTAAGGTAAAAGAAAAGGAAAAATAATAAAAGTAACTATTTCTATTACATCCTTGCTGGACAAAAGCAAGATGCTTCCTCACTCTATGGAGGATAAAAAGGAAGTGAGCCTGAAAATGGAGACAGGCCACATGGCCCAGCCTAGGGCAATAAAAATACCTTTAAAGGGGGAAGTTACTTTTCCCTATAGGATTACATTCCTAGGTATTCAAATGGGGAGGAGATAGTACCATGCAAAGGGTAATTCCCCCTTCTTAACCCCTTCTTAACCAACTTAACTACAGGAAATAGGGAGGAATCCCTAAGTTTATCTAGTCTATCTACTCATTGAGGGCTGGAGACTTGTGCAGTCAGGGATGAAACCCAACAACCTTTTGAGATTCTGTTGAGCAGCACAAAGTTTAGGAAAACTGAGTCTCCTATCTACCAGCTCATTATCTTAAACTCATTATTCTCTCCACCCGAGATTTCAGCCTCTGAACTTATTTCCCTAGAGAACGGCTCTTCTGCACCATTTCGGTACTTCCCTGGAATGTGACTTTCACTAACTGCTGGAGACACAGACTGATCATTTTCAGGATTTAAAATATCATATTAGCTCACATGCCCAGAGTTCCTATGATCCACTTCCCCATTTACATTGGTATCAACCACAACCATGGGCTGAACTACAATATCATGGGAGCTTTAGACCAAAAGTAACTTTTCCAAGGCTTCCTCTGCCAGGTTGTATATTCACAAGTATGTCAGAAACAGGGAGGGCAAGAAAGGATTTGCTACATATTGGCATGACGTTAACTCTTTTAACTTGTATAAGTTGAGATACTGAAACAGGAGGGACAAGATTTGAGAGAGAGAAATAGGAATGCAGACAGGATTTGGTGCCTCTTGCAGATATTCCTATTGTGCACTTCATACATAGTGATGCCAGGGCCTTTCTCCATTGTCCCCCTGCCCTTAGACGCCTCCCTGGAAATTATCTGCCTTCATATTCCCCCCGATCTTCGGCCAGTCTCTGGCTTGATCTGAAAAGGGTTTATTTCTGGCTTGAATTGCTGTGGATTGTGCTGAGCAAAGGGGAGAATGTGGAGCGGGGAATCCTCGCCAGCAAACTAGACCCTTGGCCAAAGCAAACTCGGTTGGCGCTGCTGGGTTTGTCTAACCTTGTGACTCTCTGGTGCAAGAAAGGAGGGAAGGGAACATCTCACAGTGGCAAGGAGCCAGAAAGACCTTGTGAAGGAACGTTTGGGCCTCACGTAAGACACAGTCAAAAAGAGACAAAGTCACAACTTTCAAATTTGTGAAGATAAGGAGTAATTTGTCTGAACATGAACAAGCATCCTCATATCTCCACACTTGTGAAATCAATGCAATCACCCTTGTATTTGCAAGGCATGACCGACTGGTGCAGGACCCATTGCTCTGTAGTTGACCTCAGGTATGGATTAAGGCCTTCCATATCTTTCACTGGAGCTCTTTCAGATTGCACAATTTATACCTATATGATTCCGCTTTAACTTCCACGGCGACACCATTAATGTGGTCAATGTGGCAGGATTATGAATGAGGAAGAACACAAGCTGGATGAGCCTGCTGCAGTTTGCTTTTGCTTGAATTTACTGGGAAGAACAAGATCTTATCCGCTCCTATCTTTTCCCCTTCAGTGAGTTAACTGAGTGCAAACAAGTAAACTGAGGACTAATTGGGAAAGCAAGACAAGGACAAAGAAACAGGGATATTTCTTTTTTTTTAATGTCAGGAGCAACTTGAGAAACTCGAGAAACTGTAAGTCACTTCTGGTGTGAGAGAATTGGCTGTCTGCAAGGATGTTGCCCAGGGGATACCCAAATGTTTGATGTTTTACTATCCTTGTAGGAGGCTTCTCTCATGTCCCCGCACAGGGAGCTGAAGCTGACAGAGGGAGCTCAACCCGCTTTCCCCAGATTCGAACCGCCAACTTGTTGGTCAGCAATCCTACCGACACAAGGGTTTAACGCATTGCACCACGAGAGCTGAAAAAGTAGAGTGACAGAGGATTAAAAGGCAGTGTGCCTGACAAATCAGGACAGTTGAGGATATGTTATTCATCACAACTATTAAAATGTCAAATTCCACTATGTAACAAATTTTGGGGGAAAAGATCTGTTCCTGGTTTGAAAATGTTATTTAATTGTAAGTACTAACTTTGAAATTAGTTGCTATACTCCAGAAACTTTGTTTTTGTGGCTGCCACAAACTATGGGCCCTTCCACACAGTACTGTAATCCAGAATATCGAGGCAGAAAATCCCACAATATCTGCTTTGAACTGAGTTATCTGAGTCCACACTCCCATATATTCCAGTTCAAAGCAGGTATTGTAGGATTTTATTCAGCTGTTTGGAAGGGGTTGAATGGGTTGAGACTGTGAGATATTCATTTGTAAACCATAGTAAAATGTGCTGCAGGATTCATAATTTGTCATTTAGGAAATGACATTTATAGCCCAGGAACAAAAACTGTATTACATAGTAATTCCTTGCATAGTAAACATGAATGCAAGTTGAACTCCCCCCCCCCTCCCCCCAAAACAAAATTCCTGATCTTTTGAGAAAGAATAAATCTGAGTATTTGTTAGCGGAGGTGTGGGCCCTTTTGCGCTGCCCCACATCTGCTCCTGATCCCTCTCGGTTTATTTTTCTGTGAGATGCTGGCACTGGTGTGCAATCTAGGCATCGGTGGCCAGGAGCCCCCTGCTGTCCTCAGGCTCTGATTTGGGAGATGGCAGCCAAGGGAGGACGCAAAGAGTCATGCTCTCTGCTCTCCCAGTTTTCTGCTTCCAAAAGGCATCTGTCTATGAGGTAGGGAAAGAATGGACAAATCTATGGAATAGGGAGAGGGATCAGTAGAGCATGCAACAGAGAAAGAAAGCAGGAAAGCTATTCATCTTCCTTTTTTCTATGTGCCATCCACACCTTCTGTGGAGGCAGATTTATTTATTTTTTGTCGTGTCAGGAGCGACTTGAAGACCCAAGTGTCACTGTAGTTTTGATGTCAATGCATGAAAGGAATTCACAAGGGGTGGTAGTAACTGGGAATAATGACACCCCAGGAGATGAAATTGAACTATTTCAACCCAATATCACTTTATTTATTTATTTATTTATTTACTTCACTTGTATACCACTTCTCTCACTCCAGACTTAAAGCAGTTTCCAACTTATTTATGGCAGAATTTAATGCCTCACATACCCATGAAACCCAACATAAAACAACAATAATATATAACTATGAATTAGATCATAAAAACATAGCAATATTTGGACATTAAAACATGGGATTAAAAACATATTAATATAAACATTAAAATCACATAATTCAAAAATCGTAGTCCAGGTCATTCCAAATATCAAGCATCAATTGCACATAATCCCTGATGATTCCTTGTATTGCTTACTACCCAAAGGCTTTAAGCCCATCTTTAAATCTCTGATGCAGCACTGCTGCTCACAGCTGACCTCCAATTAGAGCACTCAAGGGCCAGGGCTTCCCGCTTCTCAATGTCTATGCCACAGTTTTTAAGGTTGGCTTTAATCCCATCTTTAAATCTCTGATGCATGTCTAAAAAAGTGTGTCATTAGCATGAAATGTTAAAAAAATTCTGCCTTAGCCAATGGTGAGGAATGCTGGGAGTTGCAGTTCAATGACATTTGGAGGATTTCATGATTCCCATTCTTAAATCCCATAGAAGTTTATAAAATCATGCATGATAAGAATGTAACCAGGAAGATGTTTTCCCTTTCTATTCTCATTATTCTTATCTTGTAGTGAAGCGCTCTGGCAGGTGACTGACAGATAAGAGCAGGTTACAAGCAGATGATACCACTTTGATGGCCGAAAGCGAGGAGCTGAGGAGCCTTCTAATCAAGGTGAACGAAGAAAGTGAAAAAGCTGGGTTGAAGTTAAACATAAAAAACCCCCAAGATTCTGGCAACCGGACTGATTGATAACTGCAAATAGAGGGAGAAAACGTGGAGGCAGTGACAGACTTTGTATTTCTAGGTGCAAAGATTACTGCAGATGCAGACTGTGGCCAGGAAATCAGAAGATGTTCACTTCTTGGGAGGAGAGCAATGACCAATCTTGATAAAATAGTGAAGAGCAGAGACATCACACTGGCAGCAAAAATCCACATAATTATAGCAATAGTATTCCCCATAGTAACCTATGGATGTGAGAGCTGGACCATAAGGAAGACTGAGCGAAGGAAGATAGATGCTTTTGAATGGTGGTGCTGGAGGAAAGTTCTGAGAGTGCCTTGGACTGCGAGAAGATCCAACCAGTCCATACTTCAAGAAATAATGCCCAACTGCTCATTGGAGGGAAGGACATTAGAGGCAAAGATGAAGTACTTTGGCCACATCATGAGAAGACAGGAAAGCTTAGAGAAGACAGTGATGCTGGGGAAAATGGAAGGAAAAAGGATGAGGGGCCAGCCAAGGGCAAGATGGATGGATGGTATCTTTGAAGTGACTGGGTTGACTCTGAAGGAGCTAGGGGTGGTGATGGCTGACAGGGAGTTCTGGTGTGGGCTGGTCCATTAGGTCACAAAGAGTCAAAGCATCTGAATGACTAAACAACAACATTTTTGTCATGTTACAGATGTCAAGGACAAAGAAAGGAGTCGGCTGAGGCTGATCTGTCTGGCAAAGCTGACCAACAACGATCCAAACCCAAGCTTCTCCACAGAGTCCCCGGCTGGTTTCCAGTTTGGAAAACAATCAATTTAAATGTGGCTGCGCATGTGAGATGCTTTACATTAAGGCATGCAAATAAAATACTGGTAGGTCTTCCTTCCCTCTGTTTCCATTCCTTGTGTGCCCTTCCAGAAGAAGCCATCTCAAAAAAAGCAAACAAAAACCAACCAGCAGGAATCAGAGACAGTAGTCAGAGGCCTGGTTTCGGACAAAAATGTCTCTTGGCCGCCCTCCCCTGCGGTGCAAAGCCTTGGCCCCTCTCGCCAGTCTGTGAACATAAGAGGGATCTTTGTTCATGGGCAGAGTTTGTTTTGCCACCTGTGTGTGACAAGCGCTTTGAGGTGAAGCCGGGGGAGTCTGCAAGGAGGCTTTGAGTCCATCTTTCGGGTTGGGAAGGGGGTGATATTTGCTGACATGCAGAAGTGGGAATGAGGGAACGCCAAGTCCCGCTGCTAGATAGGGGAACGCACCTCGTTGTGTAGTGTACTCAGAGGAATGGTGTGAGTGTAGAAGGGGATGGAGGGAGGGAGACGGGCTGTACATCTTTGTGGGGAACTCAGCCTCACTGAACACAATGGGGTTTTTCTCCATAATAGGTCTTTCAGTAAAGACAGTAAAGTCACTCTAGAGGTTAGAGCAGGCATGGGCAATTTTTGGTTCTCCAGGTGTTTTGGACTCCAACTCCCACCATTCCTAACAGCCTCAGGTCCCCTCCTTTCCCCCCTCAGCCGCTTAAGCGGCTGAGGGGAGGAAAGGAAAGGGCCTGAGGCTGTTAGGAATGGTGGGAGTTGAAGTCCAAAATACCTGGAGGTCCAAAGTTTGCCCATGCCTAGATTAGAGCAACCTCCTTTAAATTGGTACTTTCCAGATGTGTAGCACTACAGCTCCCTAGATGGGAATGATTGCCAGTAACGTTCCTGACCTTTTTTAAATGCCTGAGCAAGAAAATCCTGGGCTTTGTAGCTTGGTGAGGCACCAGCATTCTTTGAAAGAGAAAGTACAAGACCTTGTAAAACTACAACTCCCAAAATTGAGCAGTGGCAGTTACAGTAGTGTCAAACTGGGCTGTGACATAGTTAGCTAGGAGTTAGCTGCATTAAATCACCACTGACTGAAAGGTCATGAGTTCAAAGCTCCTAACCATTTGTCTAGCTTGCTGTCGATTTTTTTCAGCCTGAAGGACAACTGTACCTGTCAAGTAGGAAATTTAGGTACTGTTGGAGCTCAGCCTGTGACTGTGTTCCACGATCAGGGTGCTTTGGATGTGGGGAGTGATGTCAATGAGTTTCAAGATGGCAATGGTTTAGTCAGTGATCTTGTTGCAGAGAATGACTAGGAGATCCCCGTTCAAAGTGTAGTTTCCCATGAGACTGTCCTGAGGGGTGTGGGGATGATAGTGTGCTTTTTGAATTGTTAGCAGAGAATTCCCATGATAGGGAACATGAAAACAGCTCAGCATCTGGCCCAGCTGCAGAAATTAATGAGCAAATGGATAATGAGCAAATAGATAGACGCGATGAGTTTAGTCAAAACAGAAGAGCTGAACAGTGGCTTTGACGGTCTGCTAGGCTTCGAGGAAAAAATGATAAGTTCTCAGTTAAAACGAAACCAATTTCTGAATGCTAGAGACTGAGCTAATGAGGAGATAAAAGTCCCAAGTACAGGATATGTAGTCAGATGAAGCATCGTTTGGAATCAAGTCAAGATCTTGCTCTTGTTCATGTAAGTTTTGCTTGGGACATTCATGTTTTAAGGACCTTTGTTTCATGGTTTTGATTCTTGGATTTTATGCTCTATATTCATGCCTTGGGTTTATGTTTCCTCATTCTTTGTATTTTATTTGGAAAGTTTTGCCTTGGTTTTTATGGACGTTGCTGTACTATTATCCTGGACTATTTTGTTCCTAATTATCTTCCTACCTAATTGGATTTACCTATTTCTTTAAAGTGTTTTTCCTTATTGATTTTTAATGATCTTCAATAAAAGGATTGTTTTCCATCCAACGGTGTGGTGTTTTAAAGTCAGAGGGCTTTTTCCTGTTCTGGAGTGCAACAGATATCGCTTATGTGGGGAGGCTAATTTAACTAATTTACGACGCCATAAAAATCTCCAGCAGCAGGTGAAAGAATGAGGAAGTACTTAATCAAGGACTCAGTGTCACAAGTGTACCATGAAGCGACAGCTTCCCCAGTGGCCGAAATTTTAGCATACCCTCATGAAGCTTCAATTGTCTGTGTGTTTCTCTATATATGTTGTGTTTCTATGGCATCGAATGTTTGCCATGTAATTTGCCCTGAGTCCCCTGCAGGGTGAGAAGGGTGGAATATAAATACTGTAAAATAAATAAATAAACTGCATTAATTCTACAATGTAGATGTACCTTGAGTCTGCTTTTTTTGTCATATGTAATTAGAACTTCAGATGTATCTTTTTCAGCTATTTCCTAATCAAAGTATCACTGCTATATGCAATTTGATCTACATACTTATATTCTTTATTCTTTGTTTCTATTATATTTCAAGGGGATGGGTCTCGAATCCCTGTCAATTCACATTTGAAAAACAATCATTAAAATAAATATACCCCTTTCCTGCATTTAAAGGTAAAGGTTTCCCCTTGACATTAAGTCTAGTCATGTCCAACTCTGGGGGATGGTGCTCATTTCCATTTCTAAACCGAAGAGCCAGCATTGTCCATAGACACCTCCTAGGTCATGTGGCCAGTTTGACTACATGGAGTGCTGTTACCTTCCCGCAGAAGCAGTATGTATTGGTCTGCTCACATTTGCTTGTTTTCGAACTGCTAGATTGGCAGGAGCTGGGCTAACAGTGGGAGCTCATTTGAACCCCCGATGTTTCAGCCAGCAAGTTCAGCAGCTCAGTGGTTTAAACCACTGTGCCACTAGGAGCCTGTTCCTGCATTGATAGTGGCTTAATATACAAATGGAAGCCCTTGACTTTGACTTTTAACATATCGCCAATAAAACAGTCAAGAATGGCAAACTGAATGGACTAACTGGCTAGATACAGTGAATCAAAGGAAAGAAAAATATAAGTGTTAAATCTTTGTTTTGATCCCATAATTGGTTCTTTATTACCAGTCTCTCTCTTACCCTCCTCTACCCTGCAAAAAACAAGATCTGCATTTACGTGGGTGACGATGATGACCAATTACTTTATAATTGCTTGTTTTATCACAGAGACTCAGAACAAGGGCTAAAGAGGAAGGAAAAGGGGAAAGTGGTTGGTTTCTTTTGTAGCAGCGAATTCCATGCCATGGATGGTGTCTCCAGGGAGCCTGATGGCACCTCAAGTACCTTAAGACCCTGGAAGGCCCCAGGAAGCTGTAATTGGGGCAGGTGGAGATAGCAGCCACATCCCAGTGAGAAATATGTGCTAATTGGGAAGTGACTAATGATGCACTCAAGAGCAAAGGGTTACAAAGAAGGGCATGGAAGAATGAATGAAGTTAAAAAAAACTGTGACAGTGGCAGGGAATGTGACCAGAAACCATAACAGTACAAAACAAAATTTGAAAAAAAAAATCCTGTTCCTAGTTTGAAAGTGTTGTTTCCTGATTAATTGTGCACTACTTACTTTGAAAGTACTTGCTATACTCCAGAAATTTCTTTTTTGTGTCTGCCATGAACTCCATTGAATTGGTTGAGACTTGATGAGATAGCCATTGAAAAACTATAGCAAAATTTGCTGCAGGATGTCCTGCAAAAACAATTTAATAAACTTTTCTCGTGTTTTTTTTAATGACAGAACCAATTCGGAAATGACATTTATAACCCAGGAACAAAAATTATGTTACATAGTGTAATGGGGGGTGGGGGGTGGATTTGATCCATCTTCTTGAGAGGGAGGCTGTGTATTCAGTGTGTGGAAGCCCAAGAAAAAGCAGATCTGAAAGCACTGTGGTAGGTATTGTGTAAAGATAGCTTTAGGGCAGAACTTTGGCAAAGTAACTTTTTTGGATCATATCTGCCAGAATCCCCAGCTGACCTTTGGCTTTGAAGTTATTCTTTTGGAATATCACACTTTTTTGGAGTCCAGAAAGTAACTTTCCAAACCTTGTTAAGAACTGCCAACTTTTTGTTCTAGGTCTGTTCATGACTGAATTGGCATAGAGAAATGCATTCAAGGGAAGCTTCCTCCACCCTTATTTCCATTCCCAGGCCACAGTCTGAACAAACATGGTGCAGAAACCTGAGATCCTAGTGTGATTCATGTCAGGATGGGAAATCAGCTAAGAAACTCTGCACTTTGCCTTGAGTTCTACAAGGGATGAAAAATGGGTTATAATCAATACACAGGAAAGTTTTGATCCAGTTGGAGAGGGAATTGGGCAGATGGGCAACTGGGCAGAAAGACCAGGACAGGGAGGAATAAGGTGGCAATGGAGGACAAATGTCTCTTCAGAAGTAAGCAACATTTAGCTCAATGGGACTTACTGACTGGTAGAAGCTTATAGTATTTGGCCCTTAATGAAGCAGTGATGGAGGTCGCATGTCTTCAGTTCTCAGGCTGGATCTACACTGCCATATAATCCAATTCAAATCATATAATCTGGATTCAGAAACTGGATTATATGGCAGTGTAAATGGGCCCTTAGATTGCAGCTTCCAGCATTCCTCATTATTCTCTTTGCTGGCTATGGCTGCTGGGAATTGCAGTTCAAGAACATATCTATGATTCCCATCTATGCCAAAAACCCTGGAGGGACGCAATATCCTTGCTACGGCGCCTAGCATTTGTTGGATAAACTGGGGATTTGTGATGGTAGTTCTTATTATCTCATTATCTCATATTTATTGATAATGTCCTTCTAATGAACTTTAGATCAGTTTATCTGTCTGTGCAATATAACTGTTCAACATATGAACTGTTCAACATATGAAAACCTAAATAAGGGGGATTCTGGGAGTTGTAGTCACAAATGTCCAAGCTCACATAACTCAAAGCCAATGCTAACTTGGCTCTGTTTTTGAAGGTTGCATTTTCATGCCTCAACTTGTGTTTCACTTACATTTTGCTGTTTGTTTTGATGCTGATCATTGACTTATATGTGTGTGTGTGTGTACTGAATCTGATGGGAGTTGCAGTCCAACATCTGGAGAGCAACAGATTGGAGAATATGGATACCAAAGTGGCAGGTTCCCTTTACCTCATTTAGCCCCATCTTTACAAGAGCCAGCAACTCTGGCAAACCTAACATTTCCTTCTTAGCTAAATAAATTCCTCAGCAATTAATATCATGGACCAGTTTGACTGCAGCGGATGTGATTTTCCTTAGCAGGGGTGGGAGTGGGGAGAGAGCAAGAGAAGGAACGGGGAGGGGCTTCTAAGCATCTTCAGCATCCTTTATCCTGTGCTGGGTACCAATCTCTGAACAGCCTGCCTTGGGGAAAGAGCTGGAAGAGGCAGATGAAAGAGTTTGTTGGAGGCAGTAACATTACCAAGTATTGACAGCTTTACTTGGAAACCACCTTCTCAAACCTTCTAAGAACAGGTATGTGGGATTGGGAGCAGCTTTAGGAATGATATACCTTTAACTTGGTGCAATGCTGTCTTCTTTAAGTGCTATTTTTGTGATGAGATCTCATGTAAAATAAAGATTACATTATGTTAAAAGTGGGTTTTTTCTGTTTCTGGTTTGAAAATGTTATTTCCCATTTAATTGTGCAATGCTTACTTTGAAAGTAGTTGCTACATTCCAGAAATTTTGTTTTCTGGCTGCCACAAGCTATGCTGAATTGGCTGAGGCTCTATGAGATACTCATTAGAAAACTAGAACAAAACGTGCTGCAAGAGGTTCCTCCCATAGAAACAGAGTTTTTGCGGTTTAATAAACCTTTTCCATTTTTTTTATGAAAGAACCAATTAGAAAATTACATTTATAACCCAGAAACAAAAATCATGTTATATAGTGTTATGGAAAAGATCAGTCTGTCAAAAATAAGGAATGATTGGAGGATTCAACACATTGGAGGATTAGACCAGTGTTTCTCAACCTAAAGTTCGGTACCCCTGGGAGGATCGCGAGGAGGTGTCAGAGGGGTTGCCAAAGACCATCAGCATTTTCTGTTGGTCATGGGGGTTCTGTGTAGGAAGTCTGGCCCAATTCTATCACTAGTGGGGTTCAGAATGCTTTTTGATTGTAGGTGAACTATAAATCCCAGCAACTCCCAAATGTCAAGTCTATTTTCCCCAAACTCCACCAGTGTTTACATTTGGGCATATTGAGTATTCGTGCCAAGTTTGGACCAGATCCATCATTGTTTGAGTTCACAGTGCTCTCTGGATGTAGGTGAACTACAACTCCAAAACTCAAGGTCAATGCCTACAACCCCCCCCCCTCCAGTATTTTCTGTTGGTCATGGGAGTTCTGTGTCCTAAGTTTGGTTCGATTCCATCATTGGTGGAGTTCAGAATGCTCTCCGATTGCAAGTGAACTATAAATCCCAGCAACTACAACTCCCAAATGACAAAATCAATCCCTCCCCCAACCTCACTAGTATTCCAATTTGGGCATATTGGGTACTTGTGCCAAATTTGTTCCTGTGAATGAAATACATCCTGCATATTTATTTATTTATTATTTAAACTTATATGCCGCCACTCCCCTGGGGCTCGGAGCGGATATATCAGATATTTACATTATGATTCATAACAGTAGCAAAATTACAGTTATGAAGTAACAACAAAAATAATTTTATGGTTGGGGGGGATCACCACAACATGAGGAACTGTATTATGGGGTCGCAGCATTAGGAGGGTTGAGAAACACTGAGATAGACATTTGTTTTGGTTCAGATGTGTGGTTATGCTTTCTAAATTGCCACTCCCACAATCCCTCGGACACCATTTGTGCTTCTCAGACTGTTTGATGTGTAGGGCTGGTAACTATCTTTTTAACGTACCAGGGACTGGCACTGCCCTTGTTTCTATTTGTACTACGGTTGTTTCTTTCCTGGAAATCCATCAGGACAACACCAGTCCAGGAGCAACTGCTCCAAGTAGCACCATACAAAGGAAATTCTGATAGTGGCAGTCCAAAAAAAAAAAAAAATTAAAATTTTCTCCAAATCTAATCTTTTTGAAGAATACAGTGGCAACCTGAGTGCAACCAAGTGACAACCTCTCAGTGCGGCAACCTG